GCCTGGCTCAACGTCATGAGAATGGGTCTTGGGTATTGTCAAATGACCGAAACTATCATTCTGCAAGTGAATGATATATATTACATTTGAGCCAGAATTGTGATGACAAATCGGACAATGGGATTTTAAAAAGACATACAACTTACAGAACGACGAACACTTGGGCTCTCTTCAGTTTCTTCAGAAGCAGTAAGATTGTTCATGTCTGCTGCAAACGTCAAATGGGATGAGGAAGTCAAAGAGAAGTTGCATTGCTTTCAATAAATTATAGGGGCTTAAGACCACTCACCCTCTCCATGATTTTGATCTACTGCGGCCACTTTGTCTCCACTTTCATCATTTTCTGGGCTGATTTCTTGGCTGACTGAGGAATCAAAATAAAACTCTTATACAAAAGAGGATGCAATTCAAACAGTTGACAGTTATTGAGGATTCAACTTGTATAATTCAAAGTAAATGAGCAATAAAAGGTCAACAAATAGCAAGCGCAGAGTTATGCCAACCTCTCCCAGCAGTATAACGTCTGAGCAGCTCCTCAACTGGTAGATCCACTTCATCTCGCAAAGCTTCCAACTCTTCCTGTCTTTCCCGTTTGGTAAAGTGTTTTTCATCCTCCTCAATAGTATTTTCATCATCTTCCTAAGTGTAATTGTGGGTTTAAAATGAGATATGGAACATATCACTCCTCAAAAGATCAGGTATAACTGAACGTACGATAATCCTATCTTCACATAAACTATCGAAAACTAGAGTATAGCCTATATGTTGGGTGCAGGGTGGTGTCATGACAAAACATATCAATTTCTTTGACAAAAAGATCAAGCTATTTTTCATATTTTCTTTGAGGTGCAGGTATATTCAAGCTGTGATACACAGTAACTGCCAATAAGTGGTAAAACAAAAATAAAAAGATGATAAATTGAAACTCACGGTCTCATCCTCGGATTTTAGATCATAATCCTCATCAATTTCAGGACTTCCTGATTCAAGACCTGCAGTTACCGCGTCATATATTGTTAGGATCCAGTTCACTTGCTTACACTTAACAATAATGCTGTGTTGAGTAATAGGGTGCTCACAAGAATTTATCTCTGGAGGTCTCTGTTCTGCCCTCTCCTCATCAGTTTTTGATTCGATAGCAAGCAGTGCTTTTGGAGAAGCATTTTCGCCCTGTTTATAAGGTTCCACTAAATTTTCTGCCAACATGGTTGAGTACCTAACATAAACAAACAGGTCAAATTCAAATATTAAAAACATGTTCCAGGTTTACAAAAGTACGTAAGAAACATTCCATAGTAACCTCTCGGTTTGGCCTAACAGAAACTCAAGCTGCTTGTCCATAGCCTTCTTCTTTTTCTCATTGCGTGCCAGCTGATGCTTGTAAAGCACCTACAAAGTTGCCAGACCACACAGAATAACAAGTTTCAGATACACAGAAGTTATACCAAACCTTAAATCTCAAGTCCCGGGAAGAAGAGTAAAAGACTAACCAGCTTCTCAACTTTCATCCAAAACTTCTTCATGTCTTTCGAGATATTGAGGGCTAATTTCTTTAATCGTTGTTCTTCTTCCTGTAAGAAAGCAATAATGTAAAATAAAACTAATGCTGGAGTGTGTAAGTAGTCTGAAAGAGAAAGAGAAAAAGAGGAAAGAACCTTTAGCTTCCTTTCTTCTCTAGATGCCTGATCAAGCATGCCTTTGCTGGCCCTCAAAGCAACCTTCTTGGCCTGCGCCAGCTTCCATTTCCTCTCAGACTCAAAGTCCTACAAAACGTCACCAATTAGAAGAAAGGGAAACAGCATGCATGCATACCCATCCTTGCTGAATGATAAAGAAGAATGGCACCCTTGTATTACCTTGGACAGCCAAGCCATCTCTTCCAAAACATGGTCCCAGTGAGTTTTAGGGCGACGTGGTTCTTTAGGAGCTTCGAGCGTCTGAAAACAAAAACAAAAAACCCGTTAACACTAAGCTCGGAAGATAAACTCAAAAACGTAAAGACGAAAACTTGGAAGCTAACCTTCTGGCGCTTAGCTCTAGACTCATTGTCAGGTTTGGATTTCCCACCTTTGGACGCCATTACCATGTCAGGTTTAGATTTCCCACCTTTAGACGCCATTACTAACGCCTCTGTGCAAAGTCTTCAAAGAAACCGCCAAAGAGGGCGAATAAGAAGATGACTGCAGAGTGCAAAGTGAGCCACTCCACAAAGTCCCCGAAACTAGGGTTTTCCACTTCAGAGCAATAAAACAAACGTAACGATTTCATCACTCGCCAGAAACATCACAGTTAAGTTTCCAAATCTCAAAACTTTAACCCACTAATCTATGTTTTAAAAAAAAAGTATCTCGATTCGAAAGGAGACGAATTAGGTTTTGTATCAAATCTCTTCACTTCAGTCTTAGTTAAGAGGACGTGATTTGAGATCGAGATAAAAATGAGAGATACGCAAGTCTGAAGCTTTGGTTTGGGGGGGTGAGAATCTTTAATCGACAAGGAGCTTGGGAGATGGAAGCGAGCTCGCGGCGCAGATAGATCAAGCCAACCAAAAAATAAAATAAAAAGGGGGCTGGGTCTCGTTTCCCTTTTTTTTTTTTTCTTTCTTAAAATTAATTATTTATTGATAATACTTTTATGTAATTAATTAAAAATAAAACTAATTACATAGTTTCGTGGTTTGTTATTATTTAATTCCCGAGTTAACGAAACTTTTGACTGTAAATCGTCGTCATTAGGCAACAAATTTGTGATTAGTATACAAATAAATTAAATTTTGTAATTTTATAATTTAAAAGAAAAAAGCGGAGGAGATATTTAAATTTGATTTTGGTGAGTAGGTGAGAGGTTGAGTGGCTCTATAGTTTTTTTATTTGTTGGTTTAGTTAGATTGTGCTTTTACCGAGTTTGCGTGTGTGGTGGTTATGGAGTCTCCGTTCAAACCTGATGTGATCAAAGGTAAGGTAGCTCTCATCACCGGCGGCGGATCCGGCATCGGTTTTGAGATCTCCTCTCAGTTCGGCAAACATGGAGCTTCTATCGCCATCATGGGACGCCGGAAACAAGTTCTCGACGACGCCGTTTCTGCTCTCCGCTCTCTTGGGATTCAGGTGATTCCTTCTCTCCTTCCCCGATTTTTTTGTTTTTTCTCCTTGGATTTGTCTGATATTGCTGCTTCCTTGTTTTAGGCTATTGGATTGGAAGGTGATGTTCGTAAGCAAGAGGATGCGAGAAGAGTTGTGGAATCAACTTTTCAGCATTTTGGTAAAATTGATCTTCTTGTTAACGCTGCTGCTGGAAATTTCCTGGCTGCTGCTGAGGATTTGTCTCCTAATGGCTTCAGAACAGGTTCATACTTTGTTCATCATCTTTTTTTTTTTTTTATAATGATTTGAGAGGAATTGTTCCTGAGATTTTGTCATTTTGAGTGTTGCTTTAGCTGAAGGAAACGTTTTTTTTGTTGTTGTTGTTGTGTAGTCTTGGACATTGATGCAGTAGGAACATTCAACATGTGTCACGCAGCACTTAAGTATCTTAAGAAAGATGGGCCTGGGAGAGACTCATCAACTGGTGGTGGTTCGATTATTAACATAAGTGCTACTTTGCACTACACAGCTTCTTGGTACCAAATACATGTTTCTGCAGCCAAGGTAATCCCATTTTTATGGTAAATTCATTCAGTGTCTCGAGTTTTGGTTATGAAATCAAGAACTGAGTTATAGGAACAATCAGATGTAGCAAATGGGATCTTATGAGTCTGAAACTTGAAACAGGCTGCTGTTGATGCTACGACAAGAAACTTGGCGTTAGAATGGGGAACAGACTACGATATCAGAGTGAACGGGATTGCACCAGGTCCCATTGGAGGTACCCCGGGGATGAGTAAACTTGTACCTGAGGAGATTGAAAACAAAACCCGGGAGTACATGCCTCTCTATAAGCTCGGTGAGAAGTGGGATATCGCTATGGCTGCACTTTATCTGAGCTGTGATTCTGGTATGTTGAGTTAAATCACTGTCTTTAGTATATAAAACATATAAATGGTAGATGCTGATGACACATTGTTTGGTTAAACAGGGAAATTTGTAAATGGACTGACAATGGTAGTAGATGGAGGACTGTGGCTTAGCAAACCTCGCCATTTGCCAAAAGAAGCGGTGAAGCAACTCTCGCGTGCTGTGGAGAAGAGGTCCAGGGCCAAGCCTGTTGGTCTGCCCACCAGCAAACTTTAGATCATTTGGGTTTCAGATCTCAATTAAAAATGTATTGGGTTATTGAATTACAATGGAGACAGAGGAACTAAGATTATGTAGATCAAACTATCATATGCACAATAAAATTAGTACATTCTTTACAAAAATGTGGATGTGGGTGAGTTTTATTTATTCATCTCCTCTTAATTAACCAATCAAAATACGACAATATGCCACGTCATTTTTTATTTAAAAAGTAAATCAAAATTATAATAAAAAAATAAAGCAAATTAAGGATACAAAGTAAGATTTTTATTAAGAAAATATAATTCGGTTTGGGTTGACAGTAGTTAAGATTTAGATTTGTAATTAATAAAAATTATATTTCGGTTTAGGTTGACAAAATGGTAGTTAAAATTTAGATTTTGTAATTAAACGAAATTATATTGTCGGTTTGGGTTGACAAAATAATGGTTAGGATTTAGATTTTGTAATTAAAGAAATTATATTTCGGTTTGGGTTGACAAAATAGTGGTTAAAGTTTAGATTTTGTAATTAGACGAAATTATATTTTGGTTTGGGTTGATAAAATTGTGGTTAGGTTTATATTTTGTAATTAAACAAAATTGTATTTAGGTTTGGTTTTATAAAAGAATGGTTAAAGTTTGTTTTATTTTTGATTTATTTTTTAAATATAATATGAGATGACATATTGTTTTATTTTGATTGGTTAATCAGTAGAGATGAACAAGAGTAACCCAAGTATTCCTCAAAGCTTCTGAACCTCTCATCAGTGATAAGAAAAAAACATTGCAAGCTCCCTAAAAACCCAATGGCCATATATCTCCCTTGATCCATTTTATCTCCTTTGAGTCACACTCTCTGTTTCTCATCTCCTAATCCATTTTATCTCCTTTGATCCACATGGCTTCAACCGCCGCAAGTCGCGCCTTTTCCTTCTTTAAGTCCACCGGCGGCGTAGCTTCCTCCGACGCAACTCGTGCACGCGCCTCTCTCTTGCCAATTCCCTCTACCTCTGTATCCGCGCGTCCTCTTGGCTTCTCCGCCACTCTCGATTCCCGTCGTTTCTCCCTCCACGTTGCTTCCAAGGTTGAATCAGTGCGGGGGAAGGGGAGCAAAGGAGTGGTTTCTATGGCGAAGAAGAGCGTCGGAGATCTGACCTCAGCTGATTTAAAGGGGAAGAAGGTTTTCGTGAGAGCTGATCTCAATGTACCTCTCGATGATAACCAGACTATCACCGATGATACCAGAATCCGTGCAGCTATTCCAACAATCAAGTATTTGATTGAAAATGGTGCTAAAGTCATCCTCTCCACTCATCTGGTAATATTCCCACACCCACACACTATACATTCGAATTATCCATCGCCCCTGAACTAAATTACAACACTTTATGCGTTTTGATCTTTCTTTCAGGGAAGGCCAAAGGGAGTCACACCAAAGTTCAGTTTGGCTCCCCTTGTCCCTAGGCTCTCCGAGCTTCTTGGTATTCAGGTAAAATTCGTGTTTTGTCTCACTTATAAATCTTCTTCCTTTGCTTGAGAGCTTTTTTTTACGGTGGGTTTTGCAGGTCACCAAAGCTGATGATTGTATCGGTCCGGAAGTGGAAAGCCTTGTCGCTTCTCTTCCTGAAGGTGGAGTTTTGCTTCTTGAGAACGTCAGGTTTTACAAGGAGGAAGAAAAGAACGATCCTGAGTTTGCCAAGAAGCTTGCTGCATTAGCTGACCTCTATGTTAATGATGCTTTCGGAACTGCTCACAGAGCTCATGCTTCTACCGAAGGAGTCACTAAGTTCTTGAAGCCTTCAGTTGCTGGTTTCCTTCTGCAGAAGGTGATATATTGATAGAGATTCTACTTTCCTTTGATTGCCAATTCTGTGTCAAAGCATCGTCTCTACAAATGGTACCATGGGCTTATTTGTTTATTTCTCTCTACAACTACAGGAGCTGGACTACCTTGTTGGTGCTGTTTCAAACCCAAAGAGACCATTTGCAGCCATAGTGGGTGGATCCAAGGTCTCGTCCAAAATTGGAGTTATTGAATCGCTTCTGGAGAAGTGTGATATCCTTCTTCTTGGTGGTGGAATGATCTTTACATTCTACAAGGCACAAGGTCTTTCAGTTGGTTCCTCCCTTGTTGAAGAAGACAAACTTGAATTGGCTACAGAACTCCTTGCCAAAGCTAAGGCCAAAGGAGTCTCTCTTTTGTTGCCAACAGATGTTGTGGTTGCTGACAAATTTGCTCCTGATGCAAACAGCAAGGTATGTCTCTCTTATCTCGCCATTGCTTAAAGCTTGGCAATTTAACTTCTTGGGTGATGATAGTAAAACGAAAAATGGGAAATGTATTTTTGTAAGAATTTTCTCTGCTGAGGTTTTTAGACAAAAACCCTTTTGACTGGCCTACTTAATATAAAAGAAAAAGAGAAAAGAGTTGCTCCTTCAAAAGCTGAGTTTTAAATTCTTATGGGAACCCTATGTTAGCTATATGTGCTTCTTATAAAAGAAATTTTGGGAAGTCAGTAAGTTGTGCTCCTGTTTAAGCCTGGTGCTCTATGTAAACTCGTGTGGTTTGTTATTGCTTGATGATCCCAAAAGAGAGATGTGAGAAGCAGAAATGTTAAATATTTAATTTTTCTATAGCTTTTGTGTTCTGAGCAAAGTATGTAATGTGGATGTTTGTAGATCGTGCCTGCATCAGGCATTGAGGACGGATGGATGGGATTGGACATCGGTCCAGACTCTATTAAAACTTTCAATGAAGCTCTGGACACAACACAAACAGTTATTTGGAATGGACCTATGGGAGTTTTCGAGATGGAAAAGTTTGCGGCTGGAACAGAGGTAAGAAAGTGACTCCGCATATAATAAACACATGGTAGATGAATACTAGATTTAAGTTTTTTGTTGTGGTTGTTGCAGGCGGTAGCCAATAAACTAGCTGAGCTAAGTGGAAAGGGTGTGACAACGATAATAGGAGGAGGAGACTCAGTGGCTGCTGTCGAGAAAGTAGGAGTAGCAGGAGTCATGAGTCACATCTCCACTGGTGGTGGAGCCAGCTTGGAGCTGTTGGAAGGCAAAGTACTTCCCGGTGTTGTCGCCCTTGATGAAGCGATCCCAGTCACCGTTTAGAAACTCTTTTCATTGACGAGGCAAACAATGTGTACTTGCAGAGTTTCTTTCACTGTAAAGTATAAATCTACCTATTCAACTCTTGACTTTTGAATTTGTATCAGAGAGTGAGAGACTCATTTCTCGGAAAAGAATCACTGAATCAGATTAAAAATCTGAAAAAACAAATTACAAAAAGATAAGAAAAGACACTAATAATCGAAAGGCAAGTACTTGCTGAAAAAGCTTTGGTTTTTGGATGTCTTCTTGAAACCATCGGGCTTTGTATTGTAGGCTGAGTAGTAGGGAGATGAAGAACCATAGTAGTGACTGCTTAACGTATACTCTTTCTCCTTCAATTTCTCCAGCTCTGCTTTCAGATCACTGTTGAGAAGATGCTCACAATAAGCTTTATTGTCAACAAACGCAATGTACACCTTCCAGAACATTTTCTTGTCCCTCTCCTTTTCCATATCAAACTCTTGCATCAAGTTCCGCAGAATCATCGGCCCCTTCTTCCTAAAAAACCCTTGTACGAAATCTTGAAACCCAGCGAGCGGCCGTTCCAGTAAATCTAGCATCTGCTGACCTGACTTGTTGGTGTTCATCAACACAATGTCTTGAATGTGGAGAAACACATCTAATATGTTGTAGCAGAGCTTTGCTCTCAATGGCTTTTGGGCTTCATGAGTACTCAAAGGAAGTCCATACGGATGGTAGTAGAAACTCGGTGCTCCATAGGGATACTCAGAAGGGAACTTGAGGTCAAAGAAGTACAAACTATGATTCTGATGACAATCTGTCACGGTTACAGCAACCCTCATCAGCTCTTTTCTGTCTTTGTAAGTTGTCACAAAGAAGCTAACTCCCTTCTTCTCCCTAGAAGCTAATCCTCTCTCAAGAATCCCCCACTCCCGCTCCACGGTACCTCTGTAGCAATCGCAGCGGCGAGAGTAGCAGCAACGGTAGCTGTAGAAGTGATGGTCTCGTGGAGCGCCTCCGCAAACAGCTTCGAACTTGCTGAATCTTGTGTAGTTCAAATCCACTTTGTCTCCCAACTCCATGATCTCTTTCTCGAAGATATCAATAACGAAGTAACTGTTCTTCCCAAAACGAACGATGTCCCCCACTTTTTCTTCATCTGATTCCGGTTTAGACTCCAGTACACGTTTTTGGGATTCAACGTCTTCCTCCTCCTCTCTAGTACAAGGAAGTGCCCAAACTTTCTCCGCACGTCTCATGAACTGATGAGCAGATCTTGACCTATATTTTTCTGAAAGTAACACTCTAGATTTACCTGCTGGATCATCGTCAGAGTCATCATCAATACCTGCTCGATCACCTTCATGATGATCTGAGTCACTGCTGCTTACATCAACACCTTTCTTCATGCCTTGTTCGTGCTCTTCACACAGATTACTAGTAAATAAAGTCATGATTTTGCTTTTCTCTAGTGATATATGTTCTTAACCCTCTCCTAAATATTTATAATGGAGTGCTGATAAACAATGTCATAAAGGATCAGGAAAGAAAGTAAAAAGTAAAAACCCTAATGGCAAGATCTTATAAGAATTGAAGGATAACACTGGGATCTTATTTATGTAGATTCTGACCCATATATGATTTTGAGCCTTATTTTTAGTGTGTTTTCTTTAATTGATAAAACTTTATTAACAAATTTCGTATGATTTACTTTCCTTAACATTGTTTTTAATCCCCAATATTAGTACTTATTAATAATTATCTATACATTAAATATTAATATATTATCTTTCAATTTAAAAAAAAAAAAAAAGAAAAAAAAAGATAATGACCTGAACTCGTTCCACGGGCGTTAAAAGTTAATAGGCTCAACTTGGGCCTCCCAAGTCCAAGTCACATAACAAAAAAGTTACCAAAATTTTCCACATAAATAAATTGAATTCAAATAGTTATGGTGATGACTGATGAAACTGTGAAGGAAACGCACTAGTCAAATAACGAAGAACGAAAAAGAAATGAGGCAACATTAAACAATGTCCGAAGCAGCTCTTCTTGCTTCTCCTTTTCTCTACAGTAAGAACTGAATGTGTTGTGTTTCTCTGTCCAATTTGATCCCAAAACGAAACCTCATGATGTGTGAGAGTATGTTATTTTGTTGTTGCAGCCAATTCAGGAATCCACTCCGATTCTTTCTACGCCTCGCTTATTGATAGTTCCACTCATAAAGCTCAGCTTAGGCAAATCCACGCACGTTTACTGGTTCTGGGTTTGCATTTCAGTGGCTTCTTGATAACCAAGCTCATTCAAGCCAGCTCTTCCTTTGGAGACGTTACTTTTGCACGTCAGGTGTTCGACGATTTACCTCGCCCTCAAATATTTCCTTGGAATGCCATCATCAGGGGTTATTCAAGAAATAGTTACTTCCAAGATGCTCTTCTCATGTACTCCAAGATGCAACTCGCTCGTGTTTCTCCTGATTCTTTCACTTTTCCTCATCTTCTTAAAGCTTGCAGCGGTTTGTCTCACCTTCCCATGGGTCGGCTAGTTCACTCTCAGGTGTTCAGGCTTGGATTTGAAGCTGATGTGTTTGTTCAGAACGGTCTTATTGCCTTGTATGCAAAATGTAGGCGTCTGGGATGCGCGAGAACCGTGTTTGAAGGACTGCCATTGCCAGAGAGAACGATTGTCTCATGGACGGCTATCATTTCAGCTTATGCTCAGAATGGTGAGCTTGTGGAAGCTCTCGAGATTTTCAGTCAGATGAGGAAGATGGGTGTGAAGCCTGACTGGGTAGCTCTCGTTAGTGTACTCAATGCTTTCACATGCTTACAGGATTTGGAGCAAGGGAGATCCATTCATGCTTCTGTTGTGAAGATGGGTCTTGAAACAGAGCCCGACTTGCTCATCTCTCTCAACACCATGTATGCAAAATGTGGCCAAGTCGCAACTGCCAAGATTCTGTTTGATAAGATGAAGTCACCCAACCTTATTTTGTGGAACGCCATGATTTCTGGCTACGCGAAAAATGGTTATGCCAAGGATGCTATTGATATGTTTCATAAGATGATCGATAAAGATGTCAGACCCGACACCATTTCTATAACATCTGCCATTTCGGCTTGCGCTCAAGTTGGTTGTCTTGAGCAGGCCTGCTGGATGGAGAAATATGTAGGCAGGAGCGACTACAGGGATGATGTTTTCATTAGCAGCGCCCTAATTGATATGTTTGCTAAATGCGGAAGTGTAGAGTGCGCAAGATCGGTTTTTGACCGAACTCTTGACAGGGATGTTGTCGTGTGGAGTGCTATGATTGTTGGTTATGGATTGCACGGACGGGCAAGAGAAGCAATCAGTCTGTACCGTACAATGGAACATGATGGAGTGCATCCCAATGACGTTACTTTTCTGGGGCTCCTCATGGCCTGTAACCATTCAGGCTTGGTAAGAGAAGGCTGGTGGTTCTTCAACCGGATGGCAGATCACAAAATAAATCCGCAACAGCAACACTATGCATGCGTAATTGATCTTCTTGGGCGTGCTGGTCATATGGATCAAGCTTATGAAGTGATCAAATGCATGCCGATCCAGCCCGGTGTAACAGTTTGGGGAGCACTCCTAAGCGCGTGCAAGAAGCATCGCCACGTGGAACTGGGAGAATATGCAGCTCAACAGCTTTTTTCTATAGATCCATCCAACACAGGCCACTACGTGCAGCTCTCAAATCTATATGCTGCAGCTCGTTTGTGGGACTGTGTTGCAGAGGTGCGGGTGAGAATGAAGGAGAAAGGATTGAGCAAAGACGTAGGATGCAGCTGGGTGGAAGTGAGGGGAAGGTTGGAGGCTTTTCGAGTGGGTGATAAGTCACATCCGAGATACAGAGATATAGAGAGACAGGTAGAGTGGATAGAGAGTAGACTAAAGGAAGGTGGATTTGTGGCATACAAGGATTCTTCATTGCACGATCTCAACGATGAAGAAGCTGAAGAGACGCTGTGCAACCACAGTGAGAGGATAGCGATCGCATATGGGCTTATAAGTACACCCCAAGGGACAACACTGCGGATCACAAAGAATCTAAGAGCGTGTGTGAACTGTCACGCTGCTACAAAGCTTATCTCAAAGCTTGTAGGCAGAGAGTTTGTCGTGAGAGACACAAATCGGTTTCATCATTTTAAGGATGGAGTTTGTTCGTGTAATGATTATTGGTAGACAACAGATAGAGGGAGGGGCAATTTTGGTTTCATTATACTAAAAAACTAGACAAGTCTCAAAAGTTGAAAAGCTGACTTATTTAATAATCAATTTCAAGATTCTGACCAGAAACACAATAAAAATCTGTAAGATAAGTAAAGTCTATTAAAATAATGAGACGAAAGGAACATAGTAACAAATTACTTCTCCCAGTTGGCTGGTCACTTCTCGACGACGTTCTTGTCATACAAGTACTCAACGAATTCATCAATGAGGTAAGGCCATGCTCCTTCTGCATCATAATTCGACAGCACAGGGTCGACCATCTGCATCACAAAAACTTGTTCTCAATCCATATATCAACGCTACTCAATAACAACTGTGTCTAGTTTTTTTCTTACCCTTGAAAATTCCAGGAGCTGTGCCCATGTGTCCTTAGATATGGCCTTGTTATGACGATCCTGATTTATGGGAAACAAAATTGTATCAGAAGCAACAAATAAGATAGAACATACCTTGATGGATATATTATACTCATTTTTACCTGCAAGAAATCACACCAGTGAGTTACCAACGGCCACTCTCTTTCTGCAAAGAGCAACTGCCACATCCCGATCGCTGTGTCTAGAGCAAGAGATTTTTGCCCCTGAAACATTTTACCATTAAAATATTTATCAATAACCCAGAAAAAAAAACATCTGCTAAAAGCAACTACTACCTCAAATCAAGTTTTTTACCTTCTCTTTCGCCCACCCAAACGCAAAGTTGTATATATCATGGAACTTTTCTGAACAAGATAGATGCACAATGCACAAGAGAACATTACACATATGTTAGTTAACATAGGACTTTCCATCAATCAAATTGTGAACCAGATAAGGAATGGCCACTCAATTTTCTCCTTACGTTCATCTTTAAGCTCAGAACGCATAAATGGCAGCTTTTCACGCAACTTCGCGATGGAATCTACACTGCCATCAGAAAATTGGGTTTTAGCACAAAAAAAAAAAGGCCCTTACGAGGTCAAAATGATACACAAATCGAAAAGTATCAAAGCTAGTTCACTCACCCTAACGCCTGTAGTCCAGTGATGAACTCTTGCTTGGAAAATTCACACGCTGTGGCAGCGTTCATATGCCACGAAAGAACCAACTGGAATTGGAGTAAGTACTCATTTCAGTAAATATCCAGAAGATTTACAAGAAAGCCCAGAGCAACCAGTGAGTTAAAACCCACTTTCATTCTGTTCCTCTATCCATAGAAATTGGAAATTCTCATCTAACTCAATTTTTGTCGATCTCTTACAACATACTTAACTCATACTGGGTGATTTTTTGGTTCCCTAAGGCAAATCTAAAAACCAGATACACACAAGCAAGTGGTAGGAAAAATGTTTCAGAATAAGCATACCGTGACTATGTCTTGTGGTTCCACCTGCCGATTGATTTGAAGACAGTTTTAATTCATACTATGTAAGAGAAACCACATTATTCTTAAGAATTTATTCAAGAAGACAAATATACCTCAAGTTCATTACAGAGATTCGAGATACCCTCCGCCAGAATCATATCAGAATATTGGTCTGCAAAATGTAACATAACATCTATAATGCAAACGGTACACAAATGATATCAAACATTGGTTTGATCAACTCGGAGAACAACAAGTAGCTTGCCTTTATATCTATTGTAGAGCTCCTCCAAGCGTCTTACATCAGCAGCATTGCTTCTTGGGTGAGGCTGGCTGTAAAACACATCAAACGCTGCTTCAAGGTGCCAGTCACTGGCTTTGAGAGCCTGAAGAGCACTCTTCTCACTGCCCAAATAAATCAACATGTCAAAACCAAAACACAATTTGAGATATATAGCCAAACCCAGAAATGTTGCAAATGTGTTTGCTATCACGCTACAGAGGTAGTTCCTTGTTTTTGGCCTTATGTAACAATAAATCTACAGTGAAACTAGCGATAAGCCTTGCTTTTGAGGGAGAGATCCAGTTACCTAGCTCCTGTGATAGCCACGAACTGCTGAAGTTTGTCACGGTTGTTTCTATTCAACTTATGCTGCAGAAACAAAAGGGATCATACGATTACACACCCACAGAGATGTCAATTATCACTGAAATCGAAAAATTAAGGAGCCTTGTTCGTTTCTACTCGGCTTGAAATGAAACTCCGAAAAGCAAAAAAAGGCACACAGACGCTATAAGAGGATCCGTAAACCCAAAGCAGAACAAAACAAAACAAAAAGGATGAAGGAGAAAGCGCGTACCATTGTGAAGAAGAATCTAGAACCCTAAACAAGGTAATCGAAGGAAGATGAATAAGGACGTTCGTTGTGAGCTCACTGTCTCTGTACCAATTCGCCGCCGCGGAGGTGTGAGAGGAGAGGAGTGACTCAGGAAGACTCGAGAGTCTCTCACGATTGCTTCTTTTGCTGCTCTCCCTCTCTCTCTCGCCTCTCTCTCTTCTCCAATGCTAATGATTTTTTTTTTTCTACTTTTCTTTGTTAAAAATGTTTCAATTACGCAAAGACTCGGTTAACCAAACCGGTACATCGTCAAAATATCTCAGTAGATAGTATCCAAAAACGGACCGGAAGACTTATTTATGTAAGTAAATCACCCGGTATATATATGTGCTAATAACTTTTCCTTTTGCTAGTTTAATATATGAGATATAAATATATCTACTGTTGAATTTAATTTTGTAGGGAAAAATGGTGAAATTAATTATATACGAAATTAAGATTGGTAAAAAAAAAAAAAAACTGAAAGTATCGTTTTTGTTAATGGTTTTAGTACCACTTTTATGATTAGTAGTAGTTATCAAAACAGTAAATCATTTACCAAAGTTACCAGACAAAACAAGAAAGTGAATGTCTTAAATACAGTAAAAGAATAATTAGGGAAACATATCTAGCAAAAAAAAAATAGTTGGAGATATGAGACCACCAATTAGGCAGTGTTTTTGCTGTAAAAAGGTAAATTATGATTAAAGTATTTTTTTAGTGATATCATAAAGATTATAAAATCTAATGGAGTTTATTATTATTTTACAGAAAAATAAATCTAATGGAAATTGTGGTTTTTAAAGTAGGTATATTGTGGTAGTTAATTAGGGAAAATTTCGGCTAATATCCACTGCAAGTTCAATTAATTGTTGGTAATTTATCATTTTTATGGTTTTATATAAATTACGGAAAATCGTATATCTAGTACTAAACAAATGAAATGTAAAATCGTCCAAAAAACATATACTATATATATATATATGCATAACATCATCGACATTTTCTTAATTTTCATAATAATTTCATCTTAATATATTGAATGGAAATCTTTGATGGGAAAAGAGAAGGAAAAAGAAGTCAATGCATTCATGTTAAAATCAAATAGGGAATGCACATGTAGATGTTTGTGAACGATTGATTGATGCTAAATTGTTTTTTCTTATAAATGAAATATAAATATCAGTTATATAAAACAAAATATCTATCATCTTTTCTGAACAATGCTTTATACATGTTTAAACCTAACACAACTACCAAACTAACACAAACCATTATTATCCTATCCTAATGAAGTAATTAGATCATTGAATATCAGTTTTAGGTGTAGAAAGTAACGTAACAATCTAGTCAAGTGTCGTGATCAGAAACATCGATGCTTTTGGGATTAGTTCTGTCCGATTCCTTTTCTTATGAAAACCAACAAATTGTTTCCTCAAACGTCTATATCTCGATGTATATAGTTCAGAGTTCTTAAGACTTGAAACCAAGATACAAAGGCCATAATCATTAGGTTCAGGTAACCATCACACTCAAGTGGCGATGGTAAAATCTGAATCCGAAACACGTGGATTGATTGGGCCAGCATCACCCATCTATATATCCCACCTTGAGAGGACGATGAGACCATCGTAAACTTCTTGAACCCAAAAGTAAATTAAAAAAACAAACTAAAACCACTCATCTCACGGTTCACAGACTAACATGACGACATTCTGTCTTCACATTTTTACTTTCTTGTTATAAATAAAAGAAAGTCTCTCACATTTTCAATTCATATATAGACACATAGTTTTTGCTTTTTGATAAAGTGGAAAAAGGAGATCATGAACTAACCTTGACAACTAATAATTACAAGGATTAGCATTCACAGCTAATCTCTTTTCCCATTCTTTATTATTCCGAAAATGCATGGTTCCATTCAAATCCTACTTATAAGTTCAAGACCAATAATGTTCCAAACTCAGGTAGTCTCCATATATATGTTGTTCCTTTAAGTATACATAGATACATTACTTTGAATTTTCGTCGTAGTTTAATTATCGCATCTCAAGAGAATGCATAAATAGATAAGTAATGATTAGAAGAGATCGAAAGGGCGTCTTGTTTGAGCCATCCATACACTACAATATCTAAGATGCTTTGCAGAATTTCTTATAGTAACCAATGAATTCTTTAGCCAGCCTTTTTCCATAAATGTTCCTTCCTAGCTCTATTCTATTTAGACTTTGTTAAATGACTTAATTATTAGTGTTATATATACAATATATAGGAGTACTACTTATAAGAGAATTTCAAATTCTTTTTGTGCGCGACAAAATCTACGTATAGTGGTCAACTCTACGTAATATATAGATTCTGCTATTAACATATATGGACCACTCGCTTATTTTTAAAAAGTTAAGGTTCTCTCTCGCTTTCTCTCTATAAAAAGCTTCCCTTTCTTCCTCATAACTCTTCACACACTTTACTCTCTTACAAAACAAGCTAATTAAGAGCAAAAAAAATTATATATCTGAAACCCATGTCTGAATGCGGCTCTTCTTCGGCAACTATGTTGAGGATTTGTGTTGTTGTATTGATAATATGTTTGCATGTGTGTTGTGCCTCGAGCGATTGTACAAGTCACGATGATCATGACGTTGTGTCTAAAGATGAAGCAGAGAAAGCGACGACGCTGAAGCTTGGATCGATCGCTTTGCTTCTTGTGGCTGGAGGACTCGGCGTGAGTCTACCGTTGATCGGGAAAAAGATTCCGGCGTTGCAGCCGGAAAACGATATTTTCTTCATGGTGAAAGCTTTCGCTGCAGGAGTGATCCTATGCACAGGTTTCGTCCATATACTGCCAGACGCGTTCGAGAGATTGAGCTCACCTTGTCTTGAGGACACGACAGCTGGCAAGTTCCCGTTTGCGGGTTTCGTAGCGATGCTGTCGGCGATGGGGACTCTTATGATCGACACTTTTGCCACGGGGTATTACAAGAGGCAACATTTTAGCAATAACAGTGGGAGCAAGCAAGTTAACGTAGTAGTGGACGAAGAAGAGCACGGGGGTCATGTTCACGTGCACACGCACGCGAGTCACGGACACGCGCATGGCTCGACTGAGATGATCAGGAGACGCATAGTGTCGCAGGTGCTTGAGATTGGGATAGTTGTGCATTCGGTTATTATAGGGATATCACTTGGAGCTTCACAGAGTATAGACACCATAAAGCCACTCATGGCTGCTCTTTCGTTTCATCAGTTCTTTGAAGGTCTTGGTCTCGGTGGCTGCATCTCCCTTGTAAGTCTCTTAACTCCACGAATCTTGACTTTCTATTAATCACTTAGCCGGACGTGTGGTTTTGTTTAGACAAATCTTTTAGTTTCATTGGTAACTTAGCTTTGGGGAACAGTGTGTCACAACAATCATATTTTTTTTATTCATAGAACTCAAATGATTGATGATAGTATACTGATGCTGTGTGTGTATGCATAGGCGGAGTTGAAGTCGAAATCAACAGTGATAATGGCAACATTTTTCTCGGTGACAGCACCGGTTGGGATAGGGATAGGGATGGGGATGTCGAGTGGTTTAGGGTACAGGAAAGAGAGCAAAGAGGCAATAATGGTGGAAGGGATGTTGAACGCTGCATCTGGTGGGATTCTCATTTACATGTCACTCGTTGATCTTCTTGCTCCTGATTTTATGAATCCAAGATTGCAATCAAATCTCTGGCTTCACTTAGCCGCTTATCTCTCTCTCGTCCTCGGCGCTGCTTCCATGTCCCTCCTCGCCATCTGGGCCTGATTATTGAACTACAGCTAACAAACAAACAAACAAACCAAATGCCGCTCTTTTTTCTCGAATCTGTAATGGTGTTTCTAATCTCAGAATCAAATACTATTCTATTTGAACGCAATGAGTGCTATTGATTGATACAAACAAATAGTTAAAAGGCAGAGAGAGTCCAGCTAATAAATCCATTTCGAGGAAGTGCTTTTTTGGAAGAGAAAAAGAGAAAAGGTAACGAGCATGATAGGAAGCATCAATCATTCTATGTAATGGGTATCTTTTAACTGTAACATCTTACATACATTTAACATCTATAATAAGAAAATCATCACTTGCAGTTTTGAATCAGATTACAATGACGGATAAGTAGATTTACATACGCAGATGTGCAGAGTCTTTGCTTACCGACCTCCAGGAATTCTGTTCCACGACAAGTAGGTAGGATCACCAAGTCGCCTGCACAAACCCAACACCACACCAAATAAACCTCTATCTACACTTTGCTATTATCTTTGAATAATACATTTAAGAGGCCAATGAAAAGATACAAACCTGGGTTTCACAAGATACATGACGGTAAATGCAAGTGCCAGGACGAAACAAATTCCCCCAACTGTAAGGTAAGCAATCCCGAGGAAGTCATTCTTTCCACCAAGCCAACTTGTTGTTGACAGGACAAGCTTCTTCTTCCCACTGAAACTGTATGTGTTGTAGTTGTTCTGCAGAGTCACTTCTATGGTATCACCCTTCTGCAAGTCAGTCTCTATCTTCCCATATAATTTTCTAAATGTTGGCAAAGCTGCAGTCCTCATCCACACAATCAGATCCTCTTGCTCACTCAACTGGAAGATATAAATAGAAAGGGAGACCAAGTCAAGTGTTTTGCAAAGGATATGACCCTGTCTAAGTCAGTACCGTGTTATTAAAGGCTTACTGATATATTTGGATTTAGTCTGGCACCACCGGTGATATTGCCCTCCTGAAAGTTCTTTGGAAAGACCCCTTTCCCAAACTTATGTTCTTTGTCACTCTTCCATGCGATTCCTTTCTTGTTAATCGCTAAAGGCTGGCTCTTTCTTGAGAGAGTGTATGTGTCATTAAATAGACTCCAGGCAATTAGACCACAAGGTACAATCGGCTTCCCATTAACATCATCCTCAGGCTTGCATGCGTCTATTTGATTCTCATCTTTCACACTTCTCAATTGCGCATCACTTCGGCTTTTCACATACCTGTAATATTGAATATGTACATGTCAGAAAGACTTAAGGAATCTAAGTCAAACGTAAGTATATATTTCCTTGCACTCTGACTACTTTGTGATATCAATGTAGTGGATTACTCTAGGTCTAGCACTGAAACCCCAAACAAATACAAAATATTACCAGAAAGATAGAAGTTCTCAGCACATACCTGCGGTGATTCTGATAGAAGTTCTCAAGCTGGTAATATACGTAGATAGGCTGCTTCATTAGCTTAGGCACCTAAAAATACCAAGGATAAAAGAGAAAGTAAACAAAAACATTCAGAGACTAATCAAATATCAGAGAAGGAACCACTTGCATAGGGAAACTCACAGTTATATTCCGGCTACAAGATTTATTTCCAGCTCCTTGAATGAATGCAACCTTGTTAGCCCTAGCAGGCACAGGTATGCAATCATTATCATACCGATCAACGATCTCAACAACCTACCCATAAGAGTTGAAACATGTGAGATAAATTTTATTAAAAAAACATCTAATGAAGAGCAGAACTGGATCATCCTCACTTACATCTTGAGAAGCAAAAAGAGAAATAACACCGAGGGGAATGAAGATGACACTAATGATCAAAAATGTCGAAATCACCTGCAGGCCGAGATAAGGAAAAAGATAAAATTTAGTAGCGTTTCTTAGGAATAAACAAACTGGAGACTAAAACATGAGTAAGAGATAACATATATGCTACAAGTGATATAAAGAAGCTAACTTACCCAACCAGGCGTAAGAATTGGCTTGCAAGCTGGAAGCTCCTGCTGTGTAAATTTTGAATCTGCAATCGAGCAGAATCAACTCTTAGCTAAAGCATATTCTCGATTCCTAGCTAATACTTGCAAATAAAGTTCGATGAAAAAGTAAGAACCATAATTATTATTATTTTGGTGAAACCCACAAGTAGAGAACTTGGAAGTCAACTCAAAGATACAGCGAATATTGAATCTAAATCGAACAGTCAAAGAAGAATCGAAAGGAAGATGACGAAGACGGGAAGAAATAAATACACTTGGGTCGTTTCGAATTTCTCCGGGCGGCGGAAGAATCTACCGATCCGGCAGCAGCGGAGCTAGACGATGGCGTATTAGCAGACATCTCTGAGAAAAAGGGAGATCGACGTATAGAGGAAGAAAATAGTGGATAGGAGAGAATGAAATAGAGAAAAAGCAAAACGAAGCTAGAAGATGAAGAAGAGGAAGAATGGTCGTCGTAGTCGTCAATGGCGGCTGGTAAGACTCATTTCCCTCCGATCTAGACGAAGAAGAAGAAGAAGAAGAAGAAGAGAAAACCCCAAATTTGAAGTTTCCTAGGATGGATCGTGGCAGTTGCCAATTGGTAAACACGGTTCTATTTTCCTTTTTTTTTCTTTGTTACTGCTCTATTAATTTATTTTATTTTAGCTGAAATGTGATAAATACAACTAAAATATTACCAAATTAATGCATGACCAATAATTTTGATTTTGTTCTGGACCTATATGATCAACAGAAAAGGAAAAAAAGACAACAAGAACAAAAATCCTAAATTAAAAATGGACCTATGATCACAGCATGAATATTGAATTAGAGAAAGAAAAAAACAAGAACAAAAATCCAAAAATAAAAAGTAGACCTAACTGCTCAATTGCTTAATTATTTTTATTGAATTGATGATGTAGGAGGACTTTATAGTGGTCAAGAAAATTGAAAACTCTATCACTATGCATGGCAAATGCCATGTACTCATTTGAGTAGGGCTTAAACCAATTGGGCCTTTAAATTTTCAATGTGGGCTTCATTTGTTTCTGAAAAGGCCTCCACGTTTTTTCTTGGATCAAGACAAGCTATACGTATTATATTTGGTTTGGTCCGATACTTACGGACTTTGGTTGGAGTTGAGTCCGTGTTGCGTGTGTCATGAGTGGTGTGCGATTTGAAAGGGAATATATTCATCCGTAGAAGGAATAAAAATAAGAAGAATCTATAAGATAAAGGAGATACAAGAGGCTGCTTGGAAATTAAGCAAACACAACAATTACTTTCTTCCTTTTTTAGTTTTTCCAACCTGCATGATTCCTATTTACATACATATACTTATAATTGATGAGCTAAAAGTTAAACATCAGCTTTGTTCCACTTGTCTTTCTTTATTGAATGTGCAAAGAAAGCACACGAATCTTTTCATCGAGATTAAACAAGTTTTAATTAAAAACAAATAAGATGCCTTTGTTCCTTATTCCCATGCATGTGCATATCTCTAAAACTAAAAAAGCAATCCCGTATCGTATGTGTGTGTAGGCGTGTAAGGCCACATGCGTCAATACATGGAAAATAGAAGGAGTAAGACATGTAAAATTTGGATTTTGTTGGGTATTTAGACATGTGTGGATGCAAAAAAGCTTGCATGGTTTACAACTTCAAAGCCTAAAACCCTACTGTGCATTTAGATATATGCCTCCCTACCTTTTTTATACCATATTAAAAAATTGCTTATGTCAATGTCACTCCATCATTTATACTTGTAATTTGGAAGACGTCGTGCGTTCCTTTTTCACCTTTCATAAATACTAATATTCTCTTTGTTGAATAGAGAGCATCATCGATTGGCATTTAATTCCTTAGTAGAATGATGCAGTCTAGGGAGGAGATGAGAGATGAGTCATCATCAGGTCTCGTCCTCACCACTGACCCTAAACCTCGCCTTCGCTGGACAGCAGAGCTTCATGAACGCTTCGTTGACGCCGTCGCCCACCTTGGTGGCCCTGATAGTACGTTTTCATCATCATCATGATATATATTCATATTTCTATATGTATGAAATACCTAGCTAGAGCTATATTAATTGTGATATGTATCAGCAGAGGCCACACCAAAGACGATAATGAGAGTGATGGGTGTGAAGGGTCTCACGCTTTATCACCTCAAGAGCCATCTCCAGGTCTCTAGCTCTTACCCTCATCATATTCTTCCTCAGTTTCTCTCTTCTCAATTAACTCTTCATGTAGTTAGCTTTCTAATTTTGCCGCCGTAGTTAAGATTTTAAAACATATATTTGTGTGTTTCAACTACAGAAGTTCAGACTTGGAAAGCAGCCTCACAAGGAGCATAGTCAAAATCACTCCATTAATATTAGGGATACTAATAGAGGTCCGTCAAAAATCATCTACCTTGTTAATTAATGTGCTCCAAGAATAGTGATACAATATTGGTAAATTTGTGATTGAGCCATGAATATGTTAATCAACATCATGCATGCATGCAGCCTCCATGTTGGATCTTCGAAGGAATGCTGTATTCACGACTAGTCCGCTGATCGTTGGTCGCAATATGAACGAGTATGTGCTTTAATTTCAATTCCAAATCCTAAGTATATATATAGTTTTTTTTCCTTAACTATATATATATAATGATTTATGTATAAATAATGAAATATGTAAATCGTAATTATGAATGGTAATAATAAAGGATGCAAATGGAAGTGCAAAGAAGAATAGAGGAAGAAGTGGAAATAGAAAGACAAGTGAATCAAAGGATAGAAGCACAAGGGAAATACATGGAGAGCATGTTAGAGAAAGCATGTGAAACCCAAGAAGCAAGCCTCACCAAAGACTACTCTACTCTCTTTTTCGACTGCACCAATATTTGTAACAACACATCGTCCCTACCAATCCCATGGTTCGAGGATCATTTTCCTTCTTCTTCCTCCATGGATTCATCTACGTTGGTTCTCCCTAACATCAATTCCAACTTCCCCCTGCAAGATTCTCGGAGTTCCATCACAAAAGGCCGTACGGTTTGTCTCGGTTAGAGAGTGAGTACATATATAGATCTAGCTACTTAGCTTGACGTCTCTTTCGATCTACTAGTTTCTGATGCGCACTCGGTCTATAACTGCGCAAATTTACTTGTAATAACTTTTGCCAAACATTAAGTCTTTTCTATTCACTTGATATATATATATGTGTGCTGATGATAGCATATATGGTTAAGTAAGGCTATAGGCTGCGTCATTATGAATATCACGATTCTTGTAGTTATTATGTGTTACGTGCAAATGTTATTTAAAAGATTATGGGGTGATGAGTGGTAAATGGTAAGTAGAAATTAAAGGTTTACAAACTTAAAACACAGTTGTATAGTCCTAAATACGATTCCTAATTCTGCCACAACCTTTATTCTTCTAATGGTTTTCTTCTAAAGCTCGTGATACATGATTTTTTCTTTTAAAAGTCACATCCGTTTACATGCAAAATCTCGAAGGTCATTTTATTATTTTATTTTGCAAAAAAAGTCTACATGCACAATTATAACCGATCAAATCGTATGTCTTTCTATCTAGTCACTTTTATATAGCCACCATCACCACGCATCCAACGATAAATTCTTGTTTACCACTCCAGTCTTAATCCACCTTTTATAATTTCCTTATAATAAAATATCACTGCATGCACTTGCAGGTTTTTGTGAAAGGTTTGTCATTTAATTTTCCAATTGCCTCCATTCCCATAAATTGTTGCAACTGGATCCAATAACTGAAATTTGGGGCCAAAAGCCTAAAACTAGAAAAGCCCCATTCTTATAATTTGTAGTGGTGAGGTATCAACAATTTAGAGAGTTCTTTACTTCATAGACCAGCTTAAGCGTATTGCAATGTTAAAGTCTCAAGTCTGTCGGTTGATGAGTCAAAGGTTAAGTCTTCTTTTTTGGGGTCTGAAACGGTCAAAAATGGATGGGAGATTGTATATATTTTTTTAATGTGTTGTAAGGACTGGTACATACTTAACTTAAAGATAAGATTGGACGATGGAGTAATGCGTTGTTTGTTTTCTCTCACACTTCAGCAGCTTTCAGAAAATTCAGATTTTTGTTATTATTCGTTGCTTCTCACTTTTTTCTAGCAAAAAGTTGTTCTAAGAAATTTTATCTATGTTTTTAAAAGGTTTTTTCTTCCAAAATATAATATCCAAACAAAAAAAATAGCAGTCGACAGAATATAAAACCCCAAAAAATCCTGAAAAATATATATTTTTTTAAAAAGAATCCAGATCTCTGCGTTGTTATGTTGATAAATGTAATCAAATTAAACTGGTACGTCGTCGAACTAAAGATTTTGGTGGTATGTAAAAATATATTGAACCAAGAAAGATAACACCCAGAAAAAGAACTACGTCGAGAGAGCTTCTCTGTTACTAGTCTCACAATTGCTTAATCACATACGTTGTCGTGGAAAAGCAACTCATGAATCATGATTTCAGAAAATGAATCGTGTTACATCATTCTGACTTCATGATGTCAAATTAATACCAGAATGACCCAACAATTGCAATCTCTTTTTTTCTTCAGTTTTAGATTTTTATAGACAACATAAAAAAAGATTACCAATCATCAGTTTACCCATGGTTAGGGTTTATCTATAAGTAAGAATATTTAATTACAAGAGAAAAAAGGACTGAAAGAGAGGACTATGTTATATTACTGGAAAACCAAAACAAGTGTACAATATGTAGTTAAAATATTTGTAGCTTCATCTTGACAAAGATTTTTACATTATACGGTAATTAACAGCGACGGCTTTATTATTATTATGTTAATTAACCGCTTTTTTCCCCCTCACCTCATTAGTTTATTCTTAAGCTTAACTTGACGGGTTCAAATAAAACATTGCTTACTTAAGCGGAAATGTTAATTATTCGGAAGCTCCTTTGAATGATCCAAGTTTCTAGTAGTTGAGATTAGGTCGGAATTTTTATGCATTCGTGCTCCCTACTTTACCTCTAATTTTAACTAATTTGTCAGTAAATGAACTTATTTACGAGTGGTAATAATATTTTTTATAATATTCTACCAAAAAAAATATATATATATCCAAATTAACACTAGAAAAGTTGTTGTTGCTTGCTTCCACGATTATATCAACAAACTAAGGTACTGTACTTGCAAAGACAGTCTCCCCTCATGACGATGAAAGTACCTGGCTGGGACTAAGTCTTATGTTTGGCTTCTACGTTACGACCTCTGCTCCTCAAATCCTATAGCATTATCCTGGATTGTTTAATGATCCGATGACAATATATATAACTTGTGTTTTTATTCTAGTACTATTTTTCTTACCAATGATCCGAAGTATTTTGAAGTCCAGTAGACAACAATTTAATGAGTGTCCGTTAATGCATATATATATAAGATCATTAAAACATTGCATATATATTAAACTAAACTGATAATTACAGGAACCAAGCATGCAATGTATGGAAATAACGAGAAGCACAAGTTAACTAGATACATAGATGATTTTTGTTAAGGAAAGTGACGTGAACAACCACTGTCTCTAATCAGGCTTCCGTTTGAAGACACATAGAAAAAAAGAGAAACAACACAAGTTTGGTTAATCATATAAGATTAATTCTCCCAAGGAAGATATTAGTACTAATGTGGGTAAATTAATTAAATAGTGAGCCTTTCGGTTTATAAACACCAAGAGACTCTGCGTATATAAACTACGAAGATGAGAGAGAAATGGGAAATGAAAAGAGATGAAATGGGACACCGATGTTGCGGAAAACACAAAGTGAAAAGAGGGCTTTGGTCTCCAGAGGAAGACGAGAAGCTTCTTCGTTATATCACCACTCATGGCCATCCTAGTTGGAGTTCCGTTCCAAAGCTTGCCGGTTCTGTAACTTCATCTCTTAACTCTTTTTATGTTCACTATTTTAACATATTGATCGCATGTTTTTGACAAAAAAAAAAACATAAGACACATGTATGTGTGATAAATTCTAAACTAATTAGCAATGAGTGGATTAATTAGTCTCTCTATATATATGTTCTTTATATATATTGTCTACTATATTTTTGATGTGGGTTTCCTAGCTAACAGTATGTATGTGTGTAAATAGGGTTGCAAAGATGTGGGAAGAGTTGTAGACTAAGGTGGATAAACTATTTGAGGCCTGATCTGAAGAGAGGTTCGTTTAACGAAGAGGAAGAGCAAATCATAATCGATGTCCATCGTATTCTTGGTAACAAATGGGCTCAGATTGCTAAGCACTTACCTGGACGCACTGATAATGAAGTCAAGAACTTTTGGAACTCATGCATTAAGAAGAAACTTCTTTCTCAAGGCTTAGACCCTTCTACACATAACCTCATGCCTTCACATAAAAGATCTTCTTCGTCTTCTAATATTAGTAATAATGTGTCCAAGCCAAGATCAAAGACGACGTCCATCATGAAAAACCCTAGTGATCTTGATCAAGCAACCACTGCTTTTTCAATCACAAACATCAATCCTCCCACTTCCAATAAACCAAACAGACTTAAATCTCCTGTCCGGACTTTAACCCCCTCTCAAGCCATGATCCCTATCAACGATACCATGTCAAGTCTTTTGGATGATGAGAATATGATTCCTCACTGGTCACATGTTGATGAAATGGCGATCCACGAAGCTCCGATGCTGCCGGGTGATAAGCCAGTAGCAGGAGTTGATGATGATGATCTCAACATGGACATTTTGTTTAATACTCCGTCTTCTTCTGCTTTTGATCCTGATTTTGCTTCCATTTTCTCATCTGCAATGTCGTCTATAGATTTCAACCCCATGGATGATCTTGGGTGGACCTTTTAGCTTTACTCTACAATATTTTCATATTCGCAAGTGTATATAGAAGAAGTACATGAATAATTGCCACTTTCTGCTTTTCACTAGTTTTGAAAAGCTGAGAATTTTCCAAATTAATGTATCATTTTTTCCTCTCCCCTTAATCCCACTACTAAGTTTAGACTTTTGTATAATGCTTGTAAGTTTTAACGCATCTCATTAAAGGCTTTTTTGGATCCAATGTCGTATATATTTTTGTAGTTATTTGCGCCATATCAAATGGGCTAATTAAGTGAGTTGAAATATGGGTGTGACATTCATACGAATAAACAAACCAGCCCACTAGAGAGGACTTCAATAATGTCTTACCGCCTATGATTGATGAGACTACGACGATATTCCCATTTGATTGGTACGGCACTAATAATGCTAGTTTTCTTTTCTAATGAAACTTCGTGGGAAGAGCGACGGCAAAGAGGGAACACGTTAACATTGCCACATGGTCTCTCACCTGTTACTACACTAACATTCTTTCTAATTCAATTGAGGACTTACACTTGTACAATAATATATATATATATATATATATCCACACAGGTGTTGGAACGGTCGGTTATAGTAATCAGAAGAAAAAAGATTCAACAAAACGCCAATTCAATTATTACGTTACGCGTTAGAGAAATATTGATTGAAATGGAACAAAAAGGATGAAGGAAACATAATAATCTCATGTATATATATATATATATGTTGGTTGATACGATTGAGGAGTAACACGAAGTGGACACCGAGGCAGAGTAGATCGGGAATAAAGGGTATGTATTAAACTACTATTGAGTAGTGTTTATTATTATAGTACTGGTAATAATGGAATTGTTAGGATAAGTGGAACCACATGGTCTGTCTCTTTATCTTATCTCCTTCGTCGTAAACGTACGCTTTAATTTACTCAGGTTTTGGTTCTTCTTTGGAAATTCATCTCAATTTCTCTGCTTATTTTTTCTTCCTAGATATATAAATCTGTAAAATTGCATTCCATTAAAAACAAAATTGTGCTTTGAAGAGAAAAATTATGCATGGCGAAGGTAAAAGATGTGGTGACATACAAATTGAACAAAACAAAAACACACTTTAATTAAAATAGTTATTGCCTAATATTGTATTAATTCTTGTAAATTATATAACAGAATTGCTTTTTTGAATAAACTGACTATGGTTCAAATGGATGTGATAAAAATCACAAAAATATGTCATGACAACAACAACTAAAAAAAAATCAGAAAAATATAAGAAAGCAGCCTAAAATAATACAAGAAAGAATCTCAAAGTACCAAAAGAAAAGTAAACATGTACAAAGAGTTAGGGGAAGACATAAAAAAGCTCACATGGGATGATTTGGTGGCATCATTGCATCAAATCCTGCACATGCTCTGCCTCTTCTCTTTTCTATCTATATTCCATTCCTTCTCTTCTTCCCTTTTTTTTTTTTTTTGTTATTACTTGTTGTCATCAATACTAATAATACAATAATATCATCCACACGGTTTTATAGTTTTAGAATATTAATCATGTTTACTCTGTAAGAATGTTTACGCATTATTATTACCCTTACATATTTTACTACTTTTCAACGACTCTCTCTCTCTGCCTATCACAATTATATATACGTACGCAATCACCTCTCTTCTCTATTTCATCACCATCATTAATATCTCAACCATTCTCTCTCTTTTACTAATACAGCTTCCATCATCATCCATCACCATACATAACTTAGAATTTTGATATAGAGAAAATGAGCAAAACGGAGGCGATAAGTTTGACCAAAAGAGGAATGTTGCCGCCAAGTAGTTGCAATCGCCTAATGGACCGCTCTGAGTCTCTCAAGAGGGACAGTGTGATGAGCAATGTTGCGGCCAAAACGAAGGGAAGCTTAGAGCGCAAGAAATCAAAGAGTTTTAAGGAAGGGGAGAGCTATTCTTCCTGGCTCATAACGGAGGCTCCTGGAAGTATAGCCGCCGGGAGGAGGGAGCAAGTGGCTGCACAACAAGCCCTAAGGAAACTAAAGATTGATCATTACGGCAGATCCAAATCAACCATTAATTTCACTTCTTCCAAAGTCGTCCCTCTTGTTCACCCTAACCCTAACCCTCACCCTCAGAGGTGCAGCTTCCTCACCCCCACTTCTGGTATTGACCCATTTCATTCTCTCTTTATTACTCTTTCTTTTCTTTTTTGGATTTTGTTAAGTTTCACCAACTTTCAATTCAAACTCAATTACTCATAATCAATTGATTAATGACTAAATTAGCTTATGTCTCGTATATATTACTTTTCAAGGTTTTTTGTTACTTGTTTTTGGGTTTGAACTTTAGGTTTCACCTTCATATTATATACATGGATCTAACAGATTTTACTTTTGGTTATCTTCAGATCCTATTTACGTGGCCTACCATGATGAAGAATGGGGAGTCCCAGTTCATGATGACAAGTGCGTGACATAACTCTTCTTTCCATGTTCACAATCAAAGGCTAATTGATATTTCATATAATTCTCGTCAAATAGTAAGATTAAATATCTTAATTATTTTCAGGATGTTGTTCGAACTGCTGACACTTAGCGGCGCACAAGTAGGCTCCGACTGGACTTCAACCTTGAGAAAACGCCAAGACTACAGGAAGGCGTTTATGGAGTTTGAGGCGGAAGAGGTAGCCAAACTCACCGAGAAAGAGATGAATGCAATAAGCATCGAATACAAGATAGAGCTGAGCAAAGTGAGAGGTGTCGTGGAGAACGCTACAAAGATCGTTGAGATCAAGAAAGCGTTCGGGTCACTGGAGAAATACCTTTGGGGTTTTGTGAACCACAAGCCTATCTCCACGAACTACAAGATTGGACACAAGGTTCCGGTCAAGACATCCAAGTCTGAGAGCATCAGTAAAGACATGGTTCGTAGAGGGTTCCGGTTCGTTGGTCCGACGGTGGTTCACTCATTCATGCAAGCCGCTGGTCTTACTAACGACCACTTGCTCACTTGCTGTCGCCACACCCCTTGCACCCTCCTTGCAAACAATCCCTAATTATTATTTTTTTTGGTTTAATTGAAAGTGTTGTTTTTTAATTTTAACTTTCGAGTGCAAATTTTAGGTGTAGGAAAAAAAAAGAGAATGCGGTTTTTTTTATATTTTAATTTGGCGATGTAAGATAAGGCAGCTGGTTTCATTTTTTTCTTCTTCTTCTTCTTTTGAGTGTGAGAGAGGTTATTTTAAAATCACATGTATAAGGGTTTTTGATGTATGTGTGGTGTGACAAATTGAAATAGTAAATTGATTTTATGGATATTATTATCTTTTATTCAAAAAATTCGATAGCGTCTATAGAGAATGATATAACGCCTAGCCAATTTGATGTGAGATTAAGCAAATGTTAACAGCTAGTCTTACTATAAATTAATTGGTTTAAAAATTAACATACATAATGCTTATACAGAAACTTTTTTTTCCTTCTATATTTCCAAACAAAATATATTAAAAATATTATAACATAAAAAAGCCATTTAACTTTTCTACTGATTAATTTTAATGTATTAAACCAAAAATTAACTAGCCGGATGATTTTGGCAGCCTAAACAACCAAAATTTAGAAGACTGAGGAGGTTCTCATGAGCATCTTCTTGGTTTCCATACATATTAGTAATATTTTGCCGATGGTCTATGCCTCTTGTGGTATTTTTATATTTACATTTGTACTATTGAAAGAAGAGTAAGTAGTGATTGATTCTCGTAGAAGCAAATATCATGATGATGTAGCATGTGATGCTTCTCTGTCAACAATAATGATTGGATCATTTTAGTGGATGCCATGATGGGATTGGTCATTGGGTATGTGACTATGTGTTTCCCCCCATCCCCCAAATTTAACTTATCTCCCACCCTTTTTATTCTTTCCACACAAGTTCCAACAACAACGCTCCTCCTTCACCCTCTGTTTATATTTTTTCCTTTTAGTAGTAGAAGATGATGTGATCTTTAAGCAATGGTGGGTTATTTTTGGGTACAGTATCAAAACAGAGTACTCTACAAGATTTACTAATGTTCCATAAGTGACAGAGTGGGAGAAATGAAAAGAAAAAAAAAAAGAGAGAAAAATATGCTCTGTGAAGAGAGCGCATGAGATAATACAACGATGCATCAGATTCCTATTGTCAGAAACAGCCTTTATCTGTCAGAGTATGAACTTATTAGGACTGGGCTTTGGAGGCCAATCTTTATTACAACTAAACCCATTCTATCTAACTCTCTCAGTACAGCCCTTTTAACAGTTTAAATATGTGTTATCTCCCTAAAGGCCCAATAATCTAAACGAATTTACAAGAGGATCAAGATGAATAGAAGAAGTGTATCAAAAACCTAAACAAGTGCCAAAGATTGCGATTTTTACAACGAACATGTTTTTATTTCATTCACTAACAAAACAATATATATTCCAATTAATCAAAGTAATAATAGTAATAAACACAAGAGAGATGGACAAGACAGCTAAGTGCAAGAAGAGGGAGCAAAAGACAAAGTTGAGGCCATTAGATCAAACTCCCACAAATAATTTTGCTGCATTATATTCCCGACCACATTAGTCGCCGGCGTTCCCGCCGACATAAACCCTAAGCACTTGACTCCAGGCGCAGTATCTATGAGGTAACTTTTACGATGCGGCTCAAAACGCGCACCCCCCTTCATGTGAAACGTCAGTTGCGGTAGCTTGCTCTCGTTGAACCCGGAGGTGGAACTAAAACAATACTCAATCGGTACCCCTTCTGGTTTGACTCTTTCCAACTCATCAAGGTAACGTGCGAGCCCTGTAACCACAGGTTTATAGGCGGCTTCGGACAATAACGTGAGACTAGTTCCTGAGTCCAAGACTGTCCCACCACCGGTCGTTGCGTCCCATACTTGCGCGGGGATATCGAGCATGTCTTCTCCGAGGGAGATTCCGATGACGCTTATCGCGTAGAATGGAGGTATGAGAGTGAGATCAAGCGGGGTGGTTCGTCCGGGGGCGTTTTTGGTGGCAGAGGAGGAAGAGCCAAAGATAAGATAATTGGAGACGTTTTTGGGGGAGAGATGATCAACAAGGCAGTAGGAGAATTTGGCTCCGAAGAGACTAGTGGCTGTAGAAGTGAAGGAGAAATCACTAAAGGCTAAACCAAGAACCCCATCCGCTCCACGGAAGCTCTGTCCACTAAAGGAGCTACTACAACCAATGAGGAGACCATGGAGTCTAGCCTTGCGACCATTAGTCAGACCGACCGTGACTGTCTCCTTTGCGAATATGCCTTGTGCCGCTGACCCATCCGCATATCTATTCAAACCCATCAATTTTAATGTTAAATACAATGCAGAAACTCAGATTAACGATTTGCATTAGGTTAACTGTCATAAGAGAGGTTGAATAAATTTATGCATAATGCTCAAACGTCAAACCTAACTCACAAGTCACAATAAGTGACATTTATGTATCGAGCTGAATTGTAGCTCAACTCACATTTAATTTCACCCTCCCTTTACATACACTTGCATCTAATCTATGCCACCCCAAGAGTCCTCTAAAATAGTTAAGAGAGTTATACATAGATATACTGTATAGATGAGATGAGAAGAGACAATGATATAGTGACAAGAGATAGAGAGACTGAGGTCCCTCTTCTCTTTCATTGATTGACCACCAAACTTTTCTCTAAAATATCTTGTCTCAAACACAAACAATTCCTTAAACAGTTATTGTTCCTTCCTCCATTAAAATGTCTGTAAATTCCACCATCACTATCACTACAAATTCGATAATCAACTTCTGTAATAAAACTACCTAATCACATTTGACTCTGTATTAAACAATGCAAACACCATTACCGATTGGGGAAAAGTACCTGTAATCGTAGGAGCAAGGAGTTGAAGGAGTAGGACAAGTAGAGAGTGAGAAAAGATTCATCAAATCAACTTTACAAGTCTGAGTGAAGCATCCAACTGTTCGAAAGCTCTTGGATTCTTCAGCTCGGAACACTCTACGGTTCTCAACTCTACCTTTGCCTCTCCCACGGTACTTGCAGTTCACCCAAGTAAGCTCGCTCCCTGTATCAACCACCACCCTGAACTTCTTGGCCGGAGTTCCAACCCTAACCTCCGTGAAATACTGCGCCGTTCCGTAATCGATCCCTGATCCTAGAGGCATTTTCACTCCTCCTTTGTACTTACGATTCCGAGATATCAGACTATGACGCTTATGGTCGGCGCCGATAATGTCCTCAATGCGGCTGAGAGGATTCGGCCAGAGAGTGTCTCGGTGAGCTAACTCGAGCCGCAACGCCGTGTCTTTAACGGAATCTGCGGCGGAGATTAGGAGGAGCATCGTGGTGATGAGACAGGAGAGCAAGACTCTCTTCTTGTTTCTCTGCATTTTACTATTCGTCTTCTTGGTTTTTTGCCCCTTTTGGGTTCTGTTTCCAAAACAGAGTATTTATATACATTGATGAAACGCCTTCTCTCCTCTCTCTCTCTCTTCCTTTATTTATTTATTTATTTATTTTATAATATCAGTTACTGTAAAAACTATATTAATAAGGGATTTAAATACTACTAGTAAGTTAGTAACCATTTAGGACAAAATTAGTGTTTAGTTTACTTAAGATGAAGCGAGACATGCTCCACGTTTGTATTAAGCTTTATGCTGATTGTTCATCAACGCCTAAACAGAACAGTTTTAAAACTCACAACACTCAACTTTTTATTTTCCATTCCTCTAATAAAGAAAAAAGAAAAAAAAAAAGAGTATTTATATATCTTACACGTAGTGTTTAGAGAAGAGATGCTCCCGGCTAGTATCACTTTATTTTCTTCGTCGTTTTTTTGATTAGTTCAATTCAACAAGAAAACAAAAGTAAACCTTTTTTTTTAAATGTAGCTAATGGTCAACAATGACAGATATAAAAATGAGACCTCTTCCTCAAATTATTGAGTTTCTCACTTATTTTTTATCACGATTAATGTTTTACTATTCCTACCAAAAAAATTAATGTTTTACTATTAGATCCTCCTCCAATAATTTCTGTTAAAATTTGAAACTGAAATTACATTTATACAACGTTATTATTTCTTAGTTTTTTCCCCGTTAAAGTCAAGATGAATGCAAGGCTATATATATTCAATTTTGTAACAGTGAAAAGGCTCTATAAAGGTTAACTAGTAGTAGTAGTAGTAGTAACAAAACTAGGGTTTGCATGATCCAACGTATTTAAGTCGGTTATTTTTTTAGTTATATAAGGGCCACCCACTAGCTAGGAAGAAACCGAAGGTATGCGAACGTAATCAAGGGTAACACAATTACAGCAGAAACTATAAAAACAAAATACGTTTGATAATTATTGATATGATTGAGCTGAGAGGTTAGGTATTAATATTATATATGTATGAAATAGATCATACGCGAGGATAACAAGAGCTAGAGGGGAAGGGAGAGTCAAAGTCACCATGGCGAGAGTAAGATGTATAGCTGTCATACGCTCATTGGCTGTCCTTTTTGCACCCTTGGATTCTTCTAGAATTTCTTTAGATTTTATTATCACACATATTCGTCGGTTCAAATTAAAAACTAGAAAAACTGTATTATAGAAGATACATACTGTATATAGATAGAGAGAGACCAAAACATGACAAAGAGTGTATTGTATATTGGAGACTTGGAGTATCCGAATCGGAAAGAGATGCGTGCACACTCTGTTGCGTTGAACTCCAATCCAAGTTATACACTGCTAACTCTCTCGTGTCTTCTTTAAACTCTCAACATTTGTAAAACAGTCTAATTTGAACACTATCATATATTTATTCGCAGTGGTCTCCCATTAATACACAGTGATCAATAATTTGTTATTTTATTACTTGGTGTAATAGCAATGCAATTATCACCGAACTTCTTAATTACTTGAGTAACAATCAGGATATATCACCGAACTTTGTAATTAATTAAGATTATACAAGTAATAAAACTATATATATAGATAGTGTAAAAAAAAATCCTAACTGCTCGAGAAAAATGAAACGAACGACAAAGACAGTGGATGATGAAAAGGGATGATTAAATTCAAACTGCCAGTTTGCACCCAATAAATTATACGATTAATAAAAAAGTTAAGGTGACGACAAATAAATAGAAAAATTAGATAATAAAACAAAACAACCCCTTATAAGGACTTCATGAACGGCTTACAATGCTACTTACATTATCTCCTTAATTCATCAGTATATCAATTTCACAATTAATAAATAAGAAGAAAAACTAAGTATGTATGTATATAATTAGATACTAGCAATTAGTAGTATATATATGCACCCCAATCCCTATTTTATTATTATAATTTGTGAACTGTCCGTGATTCAACAAAAAAATATGTTCGATAGCTTAGACAACTGCATGGCGGCGTTCTACTGTTTTTTATTTTTATTTTCCAAGTTCCAACTGTCAGAATAACTCGAGAGGGTTGAATAACACGGGGAGAGGCATTACTGCGTTGAAATTTTGTTGTATTTGACTATTTATTTGGTTTAATCACGGGTCTTTCCGGTGATTTTAAAATCAAATTTATTACATTTATATAGGTAACACTAACAAGTAACCAGGTTTTGACGGTCCAGTACTGAGCTAGTATTTGAACTGTTCCTACTATTATATCGTGAGAGAAGGCCCCTAAATGTATTGGGAAGAATATGATGATAAAATTAAAGGATAAAGGCATGAGAGGCCGGTGTTGAATCTCTCATCTCTGCCGCAAGCGTAGAAAGAAAAAGAAAAAAAATATAGACATAATTTTACCACCTTAATAATAATGACAAGCCAAGTAGCACCACATGACGATATTTATTTTGTGCACTAGTCATTTATAACCATTTGTATGATAAACGTGAAAATGAATAGGCCAGACAAAAAAGTAAACATGAAGACAGATTTCATATTTAAACCAAATTGAATGAACCTTTTAATTTCTTTCTAATATAAAGAATATATATATATATATATATATATATATATATATATATATATATATATCATTTTTGTTTTTAGGATCATCATATATAGAAGAGCTAATATGGTCGTTGGTGTGGATGTACGCACTCTCTGATATTGGTTGGTTAATATTTTAAAAGTCATAACAATCTACTCTATGATATCACACCAAATGTTTGGGACCCCAGCCCCCACGTATGTCAAACAACTCCCACCCCTATCGATGTAGCTATGGCCCAAACCGTTGCGGTTCTTAGATATTGTTGAACCCTTATCTCATATGTTATATATGATCTTTTCCTAAATCATGTTTTGTCTTCTGTCCCTGTGGTTTATATCCAACATTGATTTGGTCCGCAATTCACGGATCGGTCCACACTAAAGTAGAGGAAATTAAGAAAATGGTTTGGACTTTGGACTGATGTCCCGTTGCAAACTTAATCTTAAACAAAAGCTACATCAGGCGGTTTGCGACTTGTTGTTATGCATGCAGTCAAATCATTTCGTAACCGCATACACCTCCATGATACATCTTTAAGAAGAAGAAGAAGAAGAACAAGAAAAAAGTAAATACCAATCGTTTGACATGAAAAGATCATTTGATTAGTGTGTACAATTTTGCTAGACTAATTAAACTTAAATAATACTGCATTTTAGTTTATATATACACAAAATAAGAATGACCGTATTGATACTCGCACCTTGGTTAATTTAAGAGTGTATACATAGACGTATATATGGTACAAGGAAATGGCGAAGATGGTGTGTCTGTAATGTTTATCATGACATCATCCATACCCCGCCATTTGCTTAATTTCCGGATCATCTATCTTATTATTGATTTTTGTATTTATCTCATTATTGTTTTTTTCTTTTTCTTGTATTCATCATCTCTATGACAACAAACACAACTCATATTTCCTTTCCTTTTTCCTCATAGTCTAATTTGGAAAACGGTCCAATTTTTTTTTTTTTTTTTTTTTTTATTGTGCTGCATTGGCTGTATAAATGTTATTGCAACCTCTCAGAATTCAGAAAAGCGAATTTTTGCATATGAATTTTATATATTAAACAAGAAGATTTTTAGTTTGTTCAAAAAAAAGAACAAGAAGATTTTAATTTTACACTAAAACAAGCAAAACTATATGTTTAAGCTATACCTATTCTTGTAGTTAGTGTTTTAGATAGTGTTCTACCTTCTTTATAGTATCTTCTCCACTCCCAAGGTTTATACTGTTAGAAAAACTAGATAGCATTGCAATTTTGCCCACAGTCTCATACAAATAAATTAATAAAATATACTAGAAAGAAAGAGAAGAAGATATGCAGTTTTTCACCAAAAAAAAAAAAAAAAAATGCATATTAAGATGGACCAAAATTTCGTAAGGGCTTTTGATATATCTAGCTGAAGTGGGCTTTAATAAAAAGCCCATGTATTGTTGATTAACACATACCCAAAAGCATTAAAAAGGTGTTTAAAAACTTAAAAGTGAAAAACCCAATCGGAGTTCCTTGTAAATTCTACGGTTGGTCTCCCGTGTTTCTGGGTGGCTGTTGTTTTTCGTCGGCAATGGAATCGGAGAAGAAAGGCAGATACTTTGCAACCACTTTGACTTGTTATCCCCAAGTCTTCATGCTTCTTTTCGAGATAACGTTACTAACGGTTCGGACTCACTACCTTGTACGCTTTCGAGAAGGAAACAATCACTTTCTTCTCCGCTGGTCAGAAGCAGAAGACGAGGAGAGACCAGGTGAGCTATTACTGCAACTAATCCCTTTTTACCAATGTCTGTCTGCATTTTGTTGACATATGTCTTCTGTCAATGAACCAAATTAGGTAAAAAAAAATATGAAAAAATTGGTTAATTTAGACAGACATAAGAAAAACAATTTGGGAGAGAGAGAGGAATAAACGGCAATGTATGCGTTGAGGGATGAGAGGCTAAGAAAGTTTCCCTCTCTCCATCTCTTTTGCATCTCCTCTTGTCTCCTCCTTTGAAAAATTTCTCTCTCTGCTTTTCCAGGTTAAGATACTATTAAGGGGATTTATATGTTTACAAAGACAGGACAATTCAAGTCACCCTTTCTTCATTTCTGGATTTGGAATCTTGCAACTTATTTACTGGCTTTTGTTTTTCTTGTTTGAGATTTTCATTATGGGAACTACCTACACTTATCTCTAAACATGGTTCGCATTCTTCATTTTTTTCGAAACCTGTTTCAAGATTTTCACTTTTTTTTTTCGTTTCTCTGACGCTTTACAATCTCTCTTTCTTTGTATGTGTTTGTTCCTTGGTTTCGGGTGGCAGTTTCTTCGGTTTGACAGGGTTTGATTATCCTCAACTTGTCTTTTACATCAGCAAGGAAGCGTGATCATCTCAGGTAATGTTTCCCACGCATTTTTGTTGTTGTTGTTGTTGTTGTTGTCATCATGTTACATAGCACAACGCATCTTTAAGGTGTTGTTTATTGATGTCGTAGGTGAGCTACTTTATAACCGAAGAACCATCATCAACCTGGAGACGTTCTGAAAATGGACTTAGCTTCCAAGAAGAACACAGCTAATGTCGGATCCAAGGAGATAGACCCAAACGTAAAACCTAAGTCGCCTCGTGGAAGCCTCTCTCCATTTTCACTTAAACTAGGAGACAATGTTCCCAGGAACCCTCATTTCGATCCCAAGAAGATGGATCCTTTGGTCAAACATCAACCCTCGAAATCTCATGAACCTCCTCCTTCTGCAACCAGAGCGACCAACAATGAGGGTGATTTAAAGCATAACACCTATTCTAGCGATGGTGATAGCTTAGGTATGCGGAAGAATGCTCCTAAAAATCTTCATTATGATCCCAAGAAGATCGTTCCTTTAACCACCCCTGAAATACAATCGCCGAGCGGAAATCATCACCACCATAGGACAAAGTCCCCAGACAACAAGAGAGCCCCTAGACATAATGCGGACTATGGCTATGGTGATAACTTGGTGAGTCCATCAGCTACACCTTTCAAGCCTCACACAGGAGGGGACGTCAGATGGGATGCCATTAACTCAGTCGCGTCAAGAGGCCCTCAAATAGGTCTTGACAACTTCAGGCTTCTGAAACGTCTAGGGTATGGGGACATAGGCAGCGTTTATCTAGCGGACCTGCGAGGGACAAATGCAGTTTTTGCGATGAAGGTGATGGATAAGGCGTCCTTGGCCAGCAGAAACAAGTTGCTGAGGGCACAGACTGAAAGAGAAATTCTATCTCTGCTAGATCATCCCTTCTTGCCAACGCTCTATTCGTACTTTGAGACCGATAAATTCTACTGTCTAGTCATGGAGTTCTGCAGCGGCGGAAATCTCCATTCCCTAAGACAGAAGCAGCCCAGCAGGCGTTTCACAGAAGAGGCCGCAAGGTTAGAGAAAACATTCAACATATTTGGCGTTGGAGCTTACATATTATCTTCTCTAATGAGTTTGTTGACAGGTTCTATGCGTCTGAAGTACTATTGGCTTTGGAATATCTACACATGCTGGGGATTGTGTACAGAGACTTAAAGCCAGAAAACATTCTTGTTCGTGATGAAGGCCACATAATGCTCTCTGACTTCGACCTCTCCCTCCGTTGCACCTTTAATCCGACCCTCGTTAAGTCCTCCTCAGTCTGCAGCGGAGGAGGTGCTATCCTCAACGAGGAATTTGCAGTCAATGGCTGCATGCATCCATCTGCCTTCCTGCCGCGCCTCCTCCCTTCCAAGAAAACCCGTAAAGCCAAATCCGACTCTGGCCTTGGCGGCCTCTCTATGCCGGAGCTCATGGCAGAGCCAACAGATGTGCGGTCAATGTCCTTTGTTGGCACGCACGAGTACCTTGCTCCAGAAATCATACGTGGCGAGGGACATGGCAGTGCTGTGGACTGGTGGACATTCGGGATCTTCCTCTATGAGCTTCTCCATGGGACCACCCCGTTCAAGGGGCAGGGAAACAGAGCCACACTGCACAACGTGGTGGGTCAGCCGCTGAAGTTCCCGGATAGCCCGCATGTGAGCTCAGCCGCACGTGATCTCATCCGCGGACTTTTAGTGAAGGATCCTCACAGAAGGATTGCTTACACGCGGGGAGCCACAGAGATAAAGCAACACCCTTTCTTTGAAGGAGTGAATTGGGCTCTGGTACGCAGCGCTTCCCCTCCTCACATTCCTGACCCTGTTGACTTGGGACCATACACTGCCGCTAGAGGGAAGGCCAAGAACCATGGAGCTGGTGACCACTGTAACTCAATTAAACCTGAGCCTCTGGTCGCCTGTGCTGCTGGTCCAACCGATGATACGGCATATATAGATTTCGAGTACTTTTAGACAAAAACTATACAAGCTAAAAATTTCTGTATGTTTACTTTTGTTCATATTCTTTAATTTTTGACGAATACAACTTGTGATTTATAAAGAAGAACAACTGACTTGGTTTAAGGGACAAACGATCCATGAGTTTTACTCAAAGTCTCAAAGAGTTAAAGCAGATTCTGTGTGTAAGATGACATCTGTCATTGTGAAAAACTACAAAAGCTTTTTGAGTCAAGTAAAATGTACCAAGAGACAACATTCTTCTCAGACATAACAGAGCCATTGGTTCCGAATTTCTCGCGGCCCCTTTTCTTATCGTCATCCATACAAAATAACTCTCAAGTTCCTTCCTTTACACAGAGTCGGAGATGTTGAAGCACTGTTTTGTGTCTCATAACGCCAATGATCTGTTTTTATCTTTCTCCAACTCCAAAGTCAATCTTGCAAGCTGCCGAAAGAAGCCACCTCGTCTGATCTCCTGTGCTGTCAATGTTGGATTCCAAGATATCTCCGAAGTCATCCACAATAAGGTTTCGCCTTTTCTCTTCTTTCATTCCTTTTTCAAGAGGGTCATCGTCACTTAGGCTTTTGATTTCACCGGCGTAAAGGTACTCATAGCTGCTGGGACATCAGCTGCGATTGGGCAGCTCTTAAAGCCCTTCACTTCTGTGGTTTTGTATGGGAAAAAATTGGAATTTAAAAGTGTTCTTCAAGCTGGAGGTTTCCCTTCAACACATTCATCAGTAAGTTTCTTTTTCTTTCTCTTCTCCTCTGATAATTGTGTTTGATCTATTTCTCTGACATTTTGGGCCTGATTCTTGGGAAACCAGTCTGTTGTGGCTGCAGCAACTGCAATTGCTTTTGAAAGGTGCTTAGCTTGAACCTTTCTTTTCTCAATTCCCCCAAATATATCCACATTATGGAATTTCCTAAATATGGTTTGGCCTCAGGGGATTTGCTGACTCCATATTTGGTCTGACTGTGGTTTATGCTGGCCTTATCATGTATGATGCCCAGGTAATTTGCCCCTTCTCCTCAAAATTCGAACTTGCATTGAACAAGTAGGCTGATCTATAGAGAAAAGCTGAGGCTGGCTTTTGAATTAAAAGTCTTAGCATACCTCTTGGTTGGTTCTCCTCAGTGTCTGATCGAGGCCTCAGTTATTGCTTGTAGGATATGAATTTCAGTGGTATATTAATGTCTCATGTATATAATTTGGTTGTATCATTGCAGGGGGTGAGGAGAGAAGTTGGAAAACATGCGAAAGTGTTGAACAAACTAACAGCTAATGGTCAGAGAAGTGAGGTGATGAGTTTGAAAGGAAACGAATCTAACAAGGTTTTACAATCGGATGAGATCAGTGAGGACGTTTCTGCACCATTGAAAGAATCAATAGGACACACTGAAGTTGAAGTCATAGCAGGGGCTTTGTTTGGTTTCTTAGTGACCTTCAGTGTTTATTCCCTTATGTAAAAAAAAGCTCACAAACTTAATTATTTTTGAGTGTCGTTCGTTGATAAAAGAAAGAAAGAGAGAATTTAATAATGGATTTCCAAATTGCAATTAAACAGAATCAGTGGTTAAATGTCAAAATCAGTTTTAAATGGATCTGAGAAATGTTCTGTTTTCGTTGGTTGTTCTGCGTTTGCTTAGACTTGGAACAATTAAAAAAGTAAACCCCACAACACAATTTGACACCAAAAAAGGTAGAAAGCTTTCCTTTAGGGTTTCTTTTTGGCAATCGAATGGCACATCGTCAATTGTATAGCTACGCCCTTCATCATCAACCTTCCTACGCTGCTGCCTCTGCCGTCTCTCCAGCTCCTCCGCCGCAGCCGCAGCCGCCTAAAACTGCTCTTTCCTCTCTCTACGGTTCCTCCTCTGTTGACCATTATTATCCAGATACCACGTTTCGTTTCTTAGCTCGTGACGGATCCGAAGCTTTGAGCAACTACAATTCAGGGACTCTTACATCGTCTTCCGCTATGTATCACCATCTCCCTAACACGACGGCATCGCATTTGGCATATCCACAGCTGCTTCAGCATCAGGAAGCTGCTTGGCCGCCTGGTGTTGAGGTTCCCGCTGCTGCTTCCGCCGTCGAGCCTCTTCCTCCTGGTGTCAAACGCACCTCTGAAGGTATGCTCTTGTTTTTTCTTTACTGTTCTGAGATCTGCATCATTTTCGTATTTATTGCTTGAAAAAACTATGCTTTGTAATTTGGAAATTTTAAAGACTTTAGCTTTCCTTTTTCTCTGCTCATTCTGATTCCCCTGGACATATAGGAAACCTTAAACTTCAGGTCTCTTCAATTGCTGCGTAACAAACATAGCTTTAATCCTGGTCTCTACTCTCTAGCTTGGTTTATTTCTTACTAGGAGAGATCTTACTTTACATTTGCTCAAGCACAAGTATTGTTGGTTTGTGTTCATTTGTGCTTTCTCCTTGACTATAATAGAGGTTGCATTGGTTTGGCCTACTGCTTTGTTTTGTGTTTGGACACTAAGTTAGAATCATAATCAACTCTCTAAGGAGATGCAAGTATTCAGATCGAATTACATCTACAAACTATATAGCTTATTGTGGTGTTCTTGATTAAGTGTTCGTTGATTTAGAGTTTAGAAATGCCTGAAGACAATTGTTTCTAAACTCGACCTCGATGTTTTAAGTTGAACACCTAAGTAATTTTGCAGAATTGATTGATGATCTGTTTTGTTGTAACTCTATGGTTTCCAATAGACTTTCAAAAATGATTGTGTGTAACCCATAATATCTTACTGTAAGTTTAAATAAAGATAAGATTGGTGCTCTATTTTGGTTTCTGCTGTAGTATCTCCTACATTTATTACCCCAAATTTATTTTCAGATTATACGTATACTCAGTATATATCTTCTCATTTCGTTGTATATTATTGTTTATTATGTAATTTAGCGCTCTACTATCCGACTCTGTTGGGTGCCCATAATACAATTGGTCAAACCGAAGCTTGGTATACTACAGACTATTTTACCAAGCGCCCTAAGTTGGAGAGTACGAGTCACTTGCCTATATATCCACAGAGGGCAGGGGAGAAGGATTGTACCCACTATATGCAAACAAGAACATGTAAATTTGGAGATAGCTGCAAGTTTGATCATCCTGTTTGGGTTCCTGAGGGCGGAATCCCAGATTGGAAAGAGGTGATCGTTTACTACTATCTAAGTATTTCTTATGCCCTTATGATATTTACATTATTATGATAACGTTTTTCTATATTCTGTTATGTACTTATATGTTTTATACTACCGGAGTTTGTGCCTAATTCTTTCTAACTATATATATAGTTTTTGCTTGGTCTCGGAGGTCATAGCTTTACTACATTGTTATGAAAGTATAGACATAGACATGGTATATGGTATCTTGATTGTGCTTCAACAGTTGAGCTTCCCGCTTCTGCGACTGTGTGTGCTATCCTTGCTGTTCCCTTTGTCAAATCATTCCTTGAATTGGAAGAGGCATCATACTCATTGTCTAGGCATTCCATGATAAAAATGATATGATTGTTTTTGCTTATGAAAATCTTTTCATTCAGGCACCAGTTGTTCCAAATGAAGAGTACCCTGAGAGACCAGGAGAACCAGATTGTCCTGTAAGCTGTTCGTAGTTTTTTTTTTTTGAGCTAGATTGTTTATGTTTTACCTGAGGATCTGATTATCTTTTTATTTCACTGCTGTCCAGTACTATATAAAAACACAACGCTGCAAATATGGTTCAAGGTGCAAGTTTAATCATCCGAGAGCTGAGGCTGCAGTAAGTGAATTGTCCATTTTTTGGATGATACTATCCCTCAATTTGTGTATTTGTCTGCAGACAGACACTCGCATGAAATCTTGCGCTTGTAATATGTGCTACTTTAGTTTTTTCCTGGGTTGTGCATGCACATAAAAGCATTATGCTCTTATATATTGCAGGCTACTGTTGAGAATCAAGATGCATTGCCTGAGAGGCCTTCTGAACCTATGTGCACAGTAAGATATACGCATAATAAACTCATTAATACCTATCCGTTTTTTTTTTTTTTTGTAAATTTTCTGACATATTAAACTATTTTCTATTATTAATTTAGCAATGTTTCTTTCCTGCATCAGTTCTACATGAAGACTGGAAAATGTAAATTTGGTTTAACATGCAAGTTCCACCATCCAAAGGATATCCAGATACCATCATCTAGTCAAGATAATGGTAGCAGTGAGGGGTTAACTAGTGATCCTGATGCCACAAACAATCCGCATGTCACATTTACCCCAGCATTGTATCATAACTCAAAAGGACTACCTGTAAGACCGGTAATGAATCCATCCATCGTCACGTTGCCTGAGACTGACCTATTATCTTATAGGCACAATTGGTGAAACTTTCTAGTGTCTTATAGGCACTATACTCAGAACTTATGAAGATGGTTTGCTAGCATTATGTACTGACCTTTTCTGAGATCTAAAATGAAGTTTCACTAATTGGACTGTAGCTTTTGCAGGGTGAAGTGGATTGCCCATTCTATCTCAAAACTGGAAGGTGAATTACCTGTTGTACAATACTAGTCCGTTGGTTATAAGTTAGAACCTTGCAAATAAAACCATGACATTAATGTTCTAATTGGTTTCTCATTTCCACAATCAGCTGCAAGTATGGTGCTACTTGCCGCTACAATCACCCTGAGAGGACTGGTTTGTGACCATATCAATATTTTTCGTTCTAAAGTCTTTGACGGATCACTTTCATTTCTTAATTCTCATGATGGGTGATGTTTTGATTTTTTGCACAGCATTCATCCCCCAAGCTACTGGGATAAACTATTCTCTACTTTCGTCGAATGCTGCGAATTTAAACCTTGGGATGGTTACCCCAGCTACCTCCCTCTATCAGACTTTGTCTCAACCCACGGTAAATGCCTTTCATTCACGTTGTAGGAAATATTCAAAACCTCTTCCTAAGTTGCTAGTGGTTAAAATAAAGTTGAGCTTGTTGCAGCTTGGAGGGCTTTCAGCAACTTATCCGCAAAGACCTGGACAATCAGAATGTGATGTGGGTATTCTTGTTTCTTTATGAGATTGTTGAGCTGTGCTCTTACTTGTTGGTTGGACTTACCAAAAAGCATTGTTCTCCAATATTATAGTACTACATGAAGACAGGGGAGTGCAAGTTTGGAGAGAGATGCAGGTTCCATCACCCAGCAGATAGATTAAGTGCAACGACCAAACAAGCTCCTCAACAACCAAATGTAAAGCTGAGTCTTGCAGGGTATCCCAGAAGAGAGGTATCTACCACAGTGGTCTTATTAGAAACAAATCAACAATGTTACGAGTTTGTGTGGTAATCTCATATGAAATAAAACTGTTGCAGGGTGCGGTTAATTGCCCTTATTACATGAAGACAGGGACTTGCAAATTCGGAGCAACATGCAAGTTTGACCATCCTCCTCCAGGTGAGGTGATGGCTAAGACCACTTCAGAAGCTGATGCTGCTGGAGCAGCGGACACTACTCAATGAGTTTCCCAGATTTGTGTATGATAAGATGATATTGTGTTGTAATCTTAGTTTACTTTGTATGTTCTTAATCTGTTTCGTTTCAAAAATCAAATTGCTTCACCCTCCTGGGTTCTCTTTATCATCCTCAAACGGAAAGGAAAGCTAGAGTAAAATTCCCATCTTACTATTTGCTCAGTTGAGCTCATAAAGGCAAAGTTGTTCCTACTGTCTTCACCAGCAACATTTCTTCTTTTCTCCTCAATGATTCAATACTTTACCTGTTGTATCCTCCGTTTGATTACGTAGGTTCTCTTCGTAAACATCGTTTCCTTGGTAATTTGTTTTTTTCGAAACTCGGACCAATCTCCCCAATAGGATGAACCAATACGTGTCAACAAGATGTGACAGAGAGCCAGTGCATGGAGAACATGCTTCTTCGGCAAGAAACATGTCGGTGCTAACTTCTAAAATCAAAAGGGTGGGTCCAATATTTTGCTGTTGTAAGTTGAAGAAGAGGACATGAAACAAGACATGAAACAAATGCGAAGGAGGAATAATGGGGGGGGGGGGGGGGACTTGTTTGACTGCTCAAGTTTTTGTTCCTTTGATGAAACATGTGAACACCTCTATTAATAATATAACGACAAATAATGAAAGTGGCAAAATGAGGAGATTGACTCCAAAAAAAAAGTTTGATACCTTTCACTTCTTTTCAACTTTTCTTTTTTTATAAGATCAATTTAGATTGTGGGGGTAAATATGTGTGCACACTTTCCTATAGACTTCTATCCAAAACACTCTCTTTTGGGCTTATCTTACAAAAATTTTATGCAACCTTGAACCTTCCCACACAACAAACCCTAGATTTTAATTTTAATCTCAAGGTTTCTGAAGGAACAAAAGACTCATAAAAAGAGTAAGCAGAAAAATATAAATTGACCATGGTATTGAAAACGTACCGTTTCAGTCCCTTTCTTAGTTTTGTCGCTCAGTCAAAACCCAAATGTTAGTTCTGTAAATAAAAAGAAGTTTTGTTGTTAATGACTCTTTGATGTCGAGAGATTAAAAATAATAAATAAAAATAAATATAACTAATTTGTATTGGTTTTCATTTTGGGTTTAAATATAAGAGTGAGGAGGTCTCGCAGGTTATAGCTTAGCCGCCGCCTTGAAAATCCAGAAAGCCATTTTTGTTGGAGCAAAAGGTAGAATTCGTAAAATTTCTTCTTCTCGCTTTCTTTGTTTTTGACTCATACCCAAGAATCTCCTCTTCGTTGGCCAGAGATAACTCCTCTCAAAGTCTCGTCTTTGCTTATCGTGTTCTGTGTTCTCGATGATTCAGGTGAAGAAGACGAAGCAGAGCTTAACGACTATGAAGTACGTTTTGGTGACAGGAGGAGTCGTGAGTGGTCTTGGCAAAGGTGTCACTGCAAGTAGCATTGGACTTCTCCTTCAAGCATGTGGTCTTCGTGTCACTTCTATCAAAATTGGTGAGGTTCTTGCCTTTGGATTGCATGTAACACGCTGTCTTATTCTTATCCGAACCAATAATCCGGAGAAAAGGGGCACCTTTTGTTGTGTAACGAAACGACTTGTATTGTGCGGCTAATTTGAGTGAATTTTGTAGCTATGTGATCCTTCTTCCCAACAGTTGCATTCCTTGTTTGCAGATCCTTATCTTAACACTGACGCTGGAACAATGTCTCCGTTTGAGCATGGAGAAGTATTTGTATTGGATGATGGTGGTGAGGTATGTCATGTTGTGATTATTATGTCCTGGATTTTCATATTATCTTAAGTAATGATTCCCCTCAATCTGATTGCATTGAGACTTTTTTCAGGTGGACCTTGACCTCGGAAACTATGAACGGTTTTTAGACAGTACACTGACCCGTGACAACAATATCACAACTGGAAAGATATACCAGGTATATCTACCTCAGTAGTTATCTCTTGTTAGAACTTGGTTACAAATTTCTGTGCTCTCGTTTTTGCAGTCAGTCATTGACAAGGAAAGGAAAGGGGACTACCTAGGAAGAACTGTACAGGTTCAGACATTATTTACCTGTGCTCGTACTTGAATTCCTCTCGTTCTAATTTGATTGAGTGTTTGAACAAAGCTTTTAATTTCCTTCAGGTGGTTCCTCATATTACTGATGCAATCCAAGAGTGGATTGAGCGTGTAGCTAATGTTCCTGTTGATGGGAAGGAAGGTCCTCCTGATGTATGTGTAATCGAACTAGGCGGGACTATAGGTACCATTTGTTGGATTATATTACCTTTCCTGACAACTGCTCAGAAGAGTGGCTTTTGTTAATTTTTATGTTATGTACAGGTGATATTGAATCGATGCCCTTTATTGAGGCCCTTGGTCAATTCTCGTATAAAGTTGGTGAGTGGTGCTACTTTATATTAATTTTTGAACTTTCAGTAGTTTTCTTAGGCTATTGCTAATCAGCTCAATCACCGCATCTGTCTTTTGTTTTAGGACCTGGTAATTTCTGCTTGGTTCATGTCAGCCTTGTGCCTGTTCTCAGTGTTGTTGGTGAACAGGTAATTGCCTTTATAATTGTTATCTTCCATGGAGCTTCTATTTTGTTAGTATGTAACAACGAAATAGGAACATCTGTATTGCAGAAGACAAAGCCAACCCAGCATAGTGTGCGAGGTCTCAGGAGCCTTGGTTTGACACCAAATATCCTAGCATGTCGCAGCACAAAGGTAATGGGCGCTCCAATATTTTCATGTGCTTTAAGGTTGATGTTAGCTATGGAATTTGGCTTTTAACCTATCAATTCTTGTTTTGTAACAGGCACTTGAAGAAAATGTCAAGACAAAACTATCTCAATTTTGCCATGTGCCGGTATATATTGTTGAAATTCTGGTTTTTATATGCTCTTCTTAGATCAGAGGGGTCAGATCTCTCATCAAAAGACCCCTGTCCTAATAAACATTATGTCTGCTTTTTTATGGTTTCCTAGGAAGTAAATATTGTAACACTCTATGATGTTCCAAATATTTGGCACGTTCCGCTGCTTTTAAGGGTAAGTACATTTCGCTTGTATTATACTTACGAAATTAATTGAGTTTGTTCCTATGCTGAATTTTGTTTCTTATCATTCTTTTGGTGTTAACTTCTCTTGAATAGGATCAAAAGGCTCACGAAGCTATCCTAAAAGAGTTGAACCTTCTTAGGTTTGTCTCTGAACCATCTTTTCTTTTCTTTTTTCGTCTCTAAGTGTAAATTTTATTGCCCGGCCCCAGCAGCACCTCCTCAATTGTAAATAATAAAGTGTGACTTTGCTAAACCTGAGATCCATCCTTTGCCCCCTTCGGCCAATGGATGTTTGCTTTAGGCTCCACAATTCAGCTTGGCTGTGATGACTTTTTCTAGTTGTTTGACATTTGCTTCTTCTGCAGTAATGCTGTAAAGCCCGACTTGGCAGAATGGACTGCAAGAACTAAAATTTATGACACACTGCAAGATCCTGTTAGTCAACTTTTTCTTAATATTTTTGAATGCCAGCGTGTCTATATAATCAAGACCATTGTTCATTCTCAATGGTCTTCTCTTTCAGGTGAGGATAGCTATGGTTGGAAAGTACACTGGCCTTACTGATTCTTACCTTTCCGTATTGAAGGTAATTGGATCTGTGTGGTCTTAAACAAACCAAAAATTGTTATTCATTTAAACTCCCAATCTTTAGTTTGTACTTCATTTTCTTAACAACTGTGACTAACATTGAGGATACTTAAAAAATGGGACTTGTCTGGCACCCTTTTCACTGCAGGCCCTTTTGCATGCTTCCGTTGCATGTCACAAGAAGCTTGCCATAGAGTGGGTTGCAGCCAGTGACCTTGAAGAGATAACTGCACAGGAGGTGTGTCTGGTTTTTCTTGCTCTCAGGATATGGCAAATGTATTAAGTCTCATGAGATTTTGTCTGAATTACTGTTGCAGGCGCCAGATGTCCATAAAGCTGCATGGGATCTTTTGAAGGTAGGTCAATTTTAATGGAGCCTGGCACACCAACTCGGTAAATATCTTTGACTCAACATTTTGCTTGTTGCAGGGTGCTGATGGTATCCTAGTACCAGGAGGGTTTGGTGATAGAGGAGTGCAAGGGAAAATACTTGCTACAAAATACGCCCGTGAAAATCAAATTCCTTTCCTTGGCATATGCCTGGGAATGCAGTTGGCTGTTGTTGAATTTGCCCGCTCCATTCTTGGTTTTCATGATGCAAACAGCACAGAGTTTGAACCAGAAACTTCAAGCCCTTGCGTCATATTTATGCCAGAAGTACTAGACCATCTGGCCCTGTCATTTGATTGATTACATGCTTTCCATGTACTGAGTAGCTGCTTATACTTCTTCAATCTCTTTTTAGGGATCCACAACTCATATGGGGGGGACAATGCGCTTAGGGTCAAGGAGGACTTACTTCCAGGTTGCTGATTGCAAGTCTGCCAAGCTGTAAGCAACTCATTAAAGATACAGTAGCACATGATCATTCATAGAATTCAGTTCGAAAACCTATATAACTTCTCACTTCATTCAGGTACGGTAATGCAAAGTTTGTTGATGAGCGACACCGGCACAGATATGAGGTAATATTTCAGCTTCTGTTTTACATGTTCTTTTCCTTGAGATTTCTCGTGAGTTGTTGAAAGTGAAGTATATGTAATTTTCGCAGGTAAATCCAGATATGATACCAGAAATTGAGAAGGCTGGCCTCTCTTTTGTTGGGAAAGATGAGACTGGGCGTCGTATGGAGGTAATATGCTTGTGGAAAACCTGTTGGATGTGTGACTCAGTTTGAGTGTGAACAATATATGAATGCTTTCTTGATTGTGTATTGGTGTGCTTCATTGTTTTGCTGGCTTGGTGTGCTTCATTGTTTTGCTGGCTTGGTGTGCAGGTTGTAGAACTACCAACCCATCCATACTTTGTGGGTGCTCAGTTCCATCCTGAGTTCAAATCCAGACCTGGAAAACCTTCTGCATTGTTTCTAGGTAAATTCTGGATTATAGTTGGATAGAGCACAATTGTAAGATTCTGTGTTGATGGTGCATTGTGGCTTACTAAGAAACACTTTGATACAACAGGTCTGATCGCAGCAGCGTCGGGGTGTCTAGAATCAGTTTTGCAAACAGGTGGCAAGGTGAACAAAATTTCGAAAAATGGAGTAGCCAATGGAACTGCAGTGGGGAAAGTTCACCAGAACGGCAATATGTACAGCAATGGAAATGGGCTTCATCACTGACTCAAGAAAGGAACAACTTTACTGCATTTTTAAAGTTTTTTTTTTCTGCTTTCAATCAAAGCTTTACTATAAGCCAGTCTACATGTATAGTCCCTGAGTTTTGTTTCCTTGTCTTGAAAGACTAGTGTTGGGTTTCGTTATTAGGGTATGGACATGGATATGAATGTGCTTCCTGTTCTTGGGTCGCTTTTTGCCTTTCATAGCTAAAAGTAATAAAAAATCTATTATCTAGTTTCTCTTCTGGTCTACACGATTTTTTTCCCCTTCTTTGTGTCGTCGTCTATTTTATTCGATGCAACCAGACAACGAGGCACCATTAACAAAAATTTGCAGTTTGTGTTTTGTAAACAATTTAGTCCAAGAATTTTTGAGTTTTACAAATTTTTCCATCTTTATTATTGTATCAGTCAATTAATTCTCCCCAAATTTTTTGTCAAGCTTTGGTCTTTTAGTGTTCTTGTGTTTTTACTGTCACCCGAGCTGAGTCTGTTTTGTATCTTTTTCTTTTGGCTTTCCTTCCAAGACATAAACTAATCTGTTTAGTTCTTGCAGTGTGTTTCTCATGGTCTTCAAGCCATGAACAGCCAAATGGATGACATCAACAGCGTAAAGGCCAGTGCAGGCAGGGAATCGATCCTTGAAACTCTATTGGCAGAGTCAGCGTTTTCGGAAGAAGGTCCATCAGCAGCGGCTCCCGGAGCAGAGGATGGTGGCTCGTCATAATCATCACCATTAGGTGATTGTGCAGGGCGTGGTGGAGATGATACCGGTGACAAAGGAGAAGCAGTAGGTGCGTTATCAGCTTTAACATCAATCATTATAGCACTACTAATATGAAGCACCGAGATGTTAAATGGTAGTGAGGCAACAGAGTCTAGAAGCTGAGAGTTACGATCAGATCCAGGAACCGCAGATCCAAACGCCACGTCTCCGTTTGTCATAACGGTAGCGTTCAAGAACCCTTGTTGGCCTTTGGCTTGGCCGCTTGATTGGAAAAGAGTGGTGAGGAGTACAGACTTCTTGCTCAGATTCTTGAGTTTCTTCTGGTCGTAGTAATCTAAAACGATGTGGAGGCTGAGGATCTTCTTGATGACGTCGGTTGGTTGGCCGGAGAGGGAAGAGAGTGCGCCGTTGGAAACCACAAGGACGGTAATGGTTTGACGCTTGTTGATGGTAGAAGCAAGTTGAGTTTCGGAGAGAAGGTTGTTGAAAGTGGAGAAATCATCGTGCTCGTTTAAGATGTTAGTGATGTTGAATGAATTTGATGAAGTGTAGAGGAATGTGGAAACAAAGAAGAAGAAGAAGAAGAGAGTGAGTGAAGAAGACATTATTGTGGTTTTGATTGATCAGCTTCTTTTTTCTTAAATTGTTTGTGCCTTTTTGGCTGTGAGCTTTATAGAGAAAGTTTGAATTGTGTTTCTTTATTAAGGCATGGGGAAGAGAGTGTGTTTCTCCAAACTTTGTGGGAACATTGTGTTGTTGTCTTGGATTAAGAGCACTTGTCGGAACCGATTATACTTGCTCAATTAAATGATATCGATATTCACTTCAGAGTAAGCCACTTGTTGATGAATAATGGGATCTTGAGCTACTCTTGTTACAACATTTAGCCCAAAACTTTTTTAATCGTTGGACAGATTAAACCAAAGAATCCGGTTTAAATTGATCTATACCGTTGACTTGTCTAGTATGGGATAGAAGAGTTGTAACTTAAGGATTGGGTCAAATGGAAAAAGACTGAGCCCATGAAATTACCAAAATTGGCAATAAGCCAAAACCTAATTACGTTGAGCTTCTTCTCTGTGTAGAATACGACGGCGACGACGATGATGATCTCTCGTCGATTGGTTTCTAAATTCCTCAAGCCCTTGTCTTCTCCGTCTCTCCACGTCACTCGCCGTCATCTCCAATCCTCGTCTCCCATCAGAAACCATCTGATCCACGGATCGGTAGCTCAGGAGCTAGGTCTCTTAAGATCCTTTTCTGCTTTCAACATCGACAAGCTTCGATCTGAAACATGGTCACCGAGGTATTTCTCGACGCCAAGCGGGGATGTCGAGCCGAAGAAGCCAGAGGAGTCGAAGCCAGATGACGAGCAGCCAAAAATGAAGCACCAAGAGATCGAAGGGCCAACGGTGGAACGCGATTTGTCGGCGTTGGGAAATGAGACGAGGCAAGTGTTGGAAGGGATGATGAAGAACATGTACAGTCTAAGTGGAGCTATGGGTGCTCTGGGTTTAACTCAGCTGATCGTGGGAGCTACGATTTTGTATGCGACTAGATCAGATCCGATGAAGGAAATGACAATTCAGAGCTGTATAGCGTTTGGATTCCCGTTTGCTATGGCGTTGATGGTGAGACGATCACTGAAGCCAATGTACTTCTTCAAGAAGATGGAAGAGCTAGGGAGGTTGCAGATTCTTACTTTGTCACTTCAGGTTGCTAAGAATCTCAATTTGTTGTTCGTTAGAGCTCGTCTTGTTTCAATCTTGTGCGTTGTTGGCTTGTGTGTTGGGAACCTGTTCCTCTTGTTATCACCATAAAGAGAGCTATGAAAATACAATTTTTATTTTTGTTTTCTTCATTTTATAATCCAAAAGATAAAACAAGCATAGAAGTCGATACAAGTAACGTTTTGGAGTAGCTGTTTCAGAGACCCAAAAAAGAAAAGAAAAACCAATTGAGATTAATATCCGAAAGGCAAGATGATAAAACTCAATCTTCCTTTTCGCCTAAGCTCTTGCCTCTCTAATTTCTCTTTCAATCGTTGGCATTTCCGTCTGATCTCGACTCTGTTCGGACGTATGTGAGACTACGAGCATTGTTGGGGGCTACAGCTGCAGTGTTGTTGTTTCCTGTGTCAGCCGAATCACGCTTCCATTGCATACTCCTTGATCCACCCCTCGAAACAGAACGTCCTCTAAATGCACCACCTCTAAAGTATGCAGGTGCTCTTGTGAACCTTCCCCCTCGAGACCAGGTCATGCTTGATGCAGCCTCCTGATGTTGCCCATTGCTTCCTTTCACAATCTGCATCCATCAAACATACACACAACTGAGTACTTATCCAGCTAAGATTCTAACCAATCCTAAAGATCATAATGATAGTTGCAATGGTAAAACTTGAACACGGGTTTCCAATTTGTACCTTGAGAATCCGAGACATAAAAGAGGTACCGTCCAGAGACAACGCACTCTCTGCAGCTTCTTTGCGCGTGAACTCGATATATGCTGATCTGCAAAGGAAAATCAACTTTGGTCACTAAGGTCCCCCATGACTGAACTGTGACATACCATGACAATAATTGTCATGAAACTTACCCATTTGGTTGTCCTGTTGCTGGATCAGTAACTATGATCGCTTTAAGCACTTCACCAAACTTGTTAAAATGCCTTGAAAGGCTATCCTTGGTAGCACCAAAATGAACCTGTTTTAAGACCAATCATATTTAACCAATTGACAAGTTTTGCCTCAATTCCAGTGTAAGGGTAAATAAACATAAACAATTATTACATTGGCGACAAAGATTGTTCGTGAACTAGCATCTTCCAGAGGTCGGGCAGTGGATAATGTCCCTGCAAATGCCAGTATATAATCTTAGATCAACTTATGCATTAGAATTACATCAACAAGAACCAAAGAAGTGAGTTTGCCAAGGTAAGAAAGAAATTCCAATCCCATGAATCTTCAAAAAGCTTAAGACTGATATAATTTAAAAACTCACCAGGAACAGATTTATTGGTCGCTGAATCTTCTTTCACATTGACAGCAGGTTTTATCTGTCAAAGAACAACGAGCCAGCTTGTATTAGGAGTCCTGTTCTTACCACTCCTAAGATTGGAATAAATCATCCCAATGTAGCTATGAGGGGTAAATATCAACAAGAAACACTCGAGATGTTTGATATTTCATGGGCTAACAAATTTAGGACGAAGAATACCATTGAAATAGCTAGTAAGAGTATGCATCTCAAACAAGGAACTTACATTTCCATTCCCTATTGTATCAGTCAAGATTTTCTGCCTAGCTGATTGAGAGATAGATTCACTAGAAACTATTCTGCCTTCGTCCATATATCTTTGCAGACCCACATCTGGTACTTTCATTTGCTCCTCTAACCTTAGTGTTTTCCCAGTATCTATATTGCCAGAGAAACTTGCTGTCCCTTTAACTCTTTTTGGGTCATCGACTAAACGATGCTGCAGACTATTTGGATTGTTAATTCTGTTCCCAAGAAAAGTACTTGGGTGAGGCAAATTAGCACTTGAACTGAGTCTGCCTCGATCAGACGAAAAATTTGGCTGCAAGCCAGTGTCAAAAGTTGACATGTTCTCAACATACACTCCATTGTTGTCAAGACGATGTGCGTATTGATGATGTACCGATTCCTGATCATCGCTAATATTCCTATATTCTTCATTCTTAAAGGGAACTTCACCAAGTACCATGTGTTGGTCCTGGGTCTCAGACAATCCAGTAGAATTACTAATTCTGTCAAAGACACTTCTCCCAGATTTTGGTCTTTTGGCATCTTCAGCTGCTTCGGCAACAGCTTTCATTACAGAGGCCAAGGGATTTACAACTCTAGCAACAGATCGAATTTTCCGAGCTGGGTCGGGGTCAGATGATTCTTGAGTAGATGTGGACACCACTGAGCGAAGACGTTTTAATGAGGATTCAGTCGAACTATTTGCTGGCTTGGATATAGCTAGAGCATCTCGCACAGCAAACTGAAGCAGCCGGCGAGAGACATCAGGTTTAGCTTCCCTCTGTCAAACAAGTCAAAGAAAACAAAATGAGAAAACTATAACCAGTATCCGCAACATCGCTTTACTGCAAGACATGCATTAACGGACTGGGACAAGGTAGCCCCACAACACTAAGTTACAGTCATTAAGAATGTCGGACATGTTAGTCCCATAAAATGCAGAGCGCAAAGGTGCCCTGCCCCAAATTTTACATTGAGAACGTCTTCACAGTAAGATATGACATCTCATCCAGTAAAACTATTTTAGCATAATTCCAATTCAAGTATTGCATGATAGTGATTGCTATTCAACAGACAAGACAACTACAAAATACAGACCTGTTCATTCCGCGAGTCATCAGTTCTAGACCTTTTCCTGTGGGATTCAGACTGCGGAGATGGAGACCTTTTATTATGTCGGTGTTTATGATCTTTCTTCTCGTAGTTATGAATTTTGTGAACCTCAGAACTCAGAAGAGGAGGAATCTCAGAGACATTAGTTGGCTGGCTCCTCCATTGTCTACCACGGCGTGATCGTCCCTTTTCAGATTCAGAATCCACAATACCAAGTGCTTTATCCTCATTCTGACTGCTTACCAGTGAGCTTTTAATGGTACTTTCCTCAACATGAGAATTAAAATATTCATCTTTACTTTCAGCCAGATGATCCCATAACCTGTATATATCCTCCTAGTGAATATGAATTTGAATTTTTACATACAAGGGCAATGGATTTTGTTTCATAAGGGTAAGAAATATGTTAATACCAGGCCACAAAAGAGTCGCTATCATCTCCAAGAAATATCATCAATTCATTATTTGCTTCCTCTTTTCTTCTCCCATTTCTGAGCAAAACTATCACATATTCCTGCAAGCCCATGTGAATTCAAAAAGCATTAAGGCACAATAAACATATATTCCAAGACTCAGCAATTCTAGCTACAAAGAGCACAAATAACACCATCAGCTGAGAACAAGGAGAGCGATAGGTGTATAATTTACCAACCCAAAAGCAGAAATTCATATTCACACTCAAAATCAAATCCAAATTTTGAGAAGAGCAGAGAGTTGAATTATATCGTACCACTAGGGTGTCATCCGTGTAATCGCCCATATACTCCTTGAGTTTAATCTTAACCATCTCTTTCAACTTGGCCACTCCTCCATCACTGAAATCACCATTGAAGGTTCGATCATCGACAAGATCGGCGCTTCCCATCTCCACTGAAATTTCCCTTACGAGATTATATCAAAAACCCGAACTTTTCCACCGCAATGAGAGGCCCAGAAATCAATAAATCGGAATATATAAACACGCCACTAAAACCCTAACCTACTGCGCGATTCAGTTCGGGAACGGGTAGGAGCTCCGACGGTGGTGGTGGTGCTAGGGTTTGGGTTTCTGTCGGAGAAATCAAGAAAGCAACCGAGTCGATTCCTGAGTATTAATCAAAGGGATTTGCTTCGACGGACGTTTTGCGTTTCAATTTAACTACAAGCATTTTTACATTTTTCATAATTGGGTTGGGCCAAAATATATACATATTAGGTGCTCCAACTTATTAGTTTTTCCTTTTTTTTTTGCCTGGTTTTTACATAATTACATATATATCCTCTCTCTTACAGTTTTAACATAGTAATTAATCAAGGGATGTGTAACTTACTAAATTGCAGACTTTTTATGATTTCTTAGTTTGCCCCCGTGATTTGTTTTTTTTTCACACAATTAACCAAATACTAAGTACTGTTGCTCTTGCCCTTCTCTTTACCTCCAAAACTCATTTGAGTAGTTCTGTAATTGTATTGTCACTCGAGTCGTCACAAAAAAAAAATTGGTTGGGAAAAAATTTCAGAATCAATTCACAGTGACAACGAACATACACTAGCTGAAAATATTAAAATTTGCGAAACCATTTTTATAAACTTTCACGAGATTATATGCTTACTAGGCTTACACTTAAAAATATTACCAAATCGTCATTCTTTGAAGAGATGGTTCTAAAATGTAAAATGAATTTTGTTAGTTTTTGTTACATAAAACGATACTGACCACAATGTTAGTTGCATGAAATCTTGTTGGACTCTAGTATATACAGTAATTTGTTGTCTAGAGTCTAGCTTAAAAATCCCATGATACGATTGCATCGGATAAAAGATGCATGAGGGGGGGGGGGGGGGGGTACGTAGCCATTTTTCTTTTAAATTCGAAAGATATTTTCGAGTTGAAAAACAATATACAAAGAGATAGTTGTAAGATGCGTAACCTCTTGTTATATTGTACATATATATAATTTCTAACCTCTTGTGTATACAAATCAGAGAATAAAAAGTATAAACTATGGTTTGATATGTTATAATAGAGAAGAAGACGATACAACTCAAACACGTAATTGGGTGCTGTTGCTACTGCTGCTGCTATATATTATACGCCAAGTAAACTTTGTCGAGAGAAATTTTGTACTTTGTGAGTTGTGACGCACAACGACTGACTAAAATAAGTAAAAAAAATATCGTTGATGATAAGTACAGCTAAACCACACGAAACGAAACGAGAGAGAAAAGAGAGAAAGAGAGAGAGAGAGACACGTTCCTACGAAATTACCAAACCAGCCCCTTTCGTTTCTACTGAATCAATCCTACAATACACATTTCTCGATGATCAAAGGAAGATCACATCCGAAGAAGAAGCACAAATTCATGAATCCGTAAAGACAAAGCAAACAATCATAATAATAATAATAATCATCATTCACTAATATAATAATTAAGCAAATTAAGAAGAAAAGAAAAAAGAAAAAAAAATGAGGTTCAGATTTTGGATTGAGCAGAGGAGGATGAATCTCTCTATCTCTCTCTCTCATCTTCAGTTTTACAACACAGCACCAATCAAACCGATGTCGAGCATCTCTTTCCCATCGTTTGTTATATAGATCGGAGCTTTGAACCACCACCACCACCACCCACCCACCAAAGTTTTTTCAACGGTTTGAGATCGAATTTTTTAAAAAAATTTCAAACTTTGACCATCTTAGCCGCCTTGACCACCGGGTTTTCTCGAGCGATCGCCTCGCGTCCGGCTGTTTTGTAGTCGTAGCTACAATCATGACGATCGGAGTAACGGTGTTCTGAGCAGAAAAGCTCGCCGCATCGGCACCTGAACCCGGTCAACCCGACCTTCTTCCGACAACCAGAACACCGGTTAACGACCTGTTGATCTCTCTTCACCGCATCCATCTCCCTCGGACGAATCACCACTTTAGCTGGCGACGACCGAAGATTAACGGATCTAGCCGATCTCTTCAAGATCGAACCGGTATCGACAACAACACCTGATGTGGCCGCCGAGACAAGGGAAGCGTTGAAACATTTCTGACACATGTTGTTCGTCGCAGGATTAGCTGTAACGCCGCAGTTATTGGTGCATAACAACGTCGCCGCCGTTGTAGTCGTCAAGGTTTCGAGTACTTTGAACTCCGTCTCTTCCTTCTCCGTCCTCTGCGCCATCGTCTTTTTATTGAATCTGAATCTGAATCTGCCCTTGCTCCTCCGGCGAGTTTACAGATCGAATTAAAAGGAGAGATGAAGAGAGAAAAAAGAGAGAGAGAGAGAGAGAGAGAGAGATGAAAGGGGAATATGGGTCTCATAGAGAGACGCGTTTCCCATCTCTTATCATCTCTCCTTCCACCATCCCCACTTTCTCGTCTTCTCTCACAATTACGTCGATACCCTCTTCGCTTTTGTGGAATTACAGAGCCATTTTAATATGTATTTCAATGATTCTAGAATGGCTTATGACGCCATACAGCGGACAACTACATGTTTTTTTTTTCTCTTTCATCATTTCTTTTTCTTTTTCTTTTTTATAGATTTTTTTTTGTGTGTGGGTATTTCTGATTTTTTCTTTCTTTGAGTATACTCTAATTTATTAGTATGATGACTTTATTTATATATATAATAAGATAATTGAGATATGAAGGTAGAGAGGGATATCGCTGGAATATGGGCCAAGTTGTTTCTCTTCCAAAAATATAATATAATCATGTATGACTAAAGGTGTTAATTCGGACCGATAACACATGTATGTTATGTTTTGGTTCGTCTTCCGACATGTTAGATTTTTTTTTTTTTTTTTTTTTTGGGGTTTAATCAGAGAAAGAGGAGATTTTGCGGGTTAAAATTGTCACACGAAAAACGACCTGTGAGGAGGAGTGAGGTTGTAAAAAAGCTGCTGCGCGTACAACATGCCAATTTGCAAACTTAACCTTTTTTATTGATTTTTTTGGGGGTTAATAGTATTCTTGGAGGTTGAAGTGTGAAGGCGGTGGTGACATGGGAAGGCAAATGGTTTTGGGCCGAGGTCTTATTTTCCTGACCATAATCAACAACCCCGTAAGTGGATTGTATTGCGGGAAAATGCTTACCTTTTTCCTTTTCTATAACTGGATTATAAATTTTAATATCTATCTATAACAATGTAAGAAAAGTTCGAATAGTTTTCTTCTGGTTTGGTAAGTGTGCTCCATCACTCGACCTCGTAGACAGAAGCACTGACCCATGCTTTAAATGCTACCCACGAGCCACTAGTTCGAATAGCTTTCTAGTCATTTTTGATATTTTAAATTAACTAACCACAAATCATTAAGCAGTGGAAATTTTCATTTTTGCTCCTTCGACCATCCGGATGAATCATTATGATCGATCATTGGATTATTGGACAACTTCCAATTGGATTTTTTTTAATTTTTTGGGTTTCATTCGGGTGTTAGGAAAGATTAAAATCTATTTACTATAATATCTTTAATTAAATGAATAATCTCTTGAAAAATGAAGAAACATTGCTAAATTCGGGAAAAAAACTACCTAAAACATCGGGTTGTTTATGAGGTCAATGCCTAAACAGCTAAACTTGAAAGCAAATGGAAAAAAAGTAAAAAAAAAAAAAAAAAAAAAAAAAAAAGAGAGAAAATTCAGAGAAAATCGAACCCCCAAATATGGAATTCTGACAGAGTCGCTGCTAGTTTTTTTTTTTTTTTTGGTTTGTCATCTCTCTTCTTCCCCTCTCCCTCTTTGTAATCCAACCGGAGTTACGATTCCCTCTTATCGTAACTCCTGCTTCTTCTTCCGGTCTCGATCCTGTTCATCCACTTTCCTAGTTTCGTTCAGTCGGACGGTAATCATTTCGCGGCTTTGTTTTTGCGATTCCACAAAAGGTAAATGCTCTAGTTTATAGATCAAGGTATGCATATTTATAATGTAGATTGATTGATTCATATTTCTTAAATTGTATTGTGTTTAGGGAAGGAGGAATAAGCAAAATTTGATTTGATTCCGTTTTGGGTGGTGTTAGTGATCTCTTAGATGAAGTAAAAGATTTTTTGATTTTTTTGAGGGGATTATGTGAGTTATGGTATCTTCAACAACTATATTACGGATGGTAGTACCATGTTGGAGGCGACCTTCTGTGAAGGGAGAACATTCAACAAAAAATGACGCTAATGGACGATGTGATGGTCTTCTTTGGTATAAAGATTCTGGTAACCATGTTGCTGGGGATTTCTCTATGTCTGTAATTCAAGCAAATAATCTTCTTGAAGATCATAGTAAGCTTGAGTCTGGACCCGTTAGTATGTTCGATTCTGGTCCTCAAGCTACTTTTGTTGGTGTCTATGATGGTCATGGAGGTCCTGAGGCTGCCCGGTTCGTTAATAAACACCTTTTCGACAACATAAGGAGTATGTTGTTTCCTTTTTTTTTTGTTAAAATTACTCTTTATGTATCTTGAGGCCAGTTATGTACTAACTTGCACTTTGTGATTGCAGAGTTTACATCAGAGAATCATGGGATGTCTGCTTCTGTCATTACGAAAGCGTTTTTAGCTACGGAAGAAGATTTTTTATCTCTTGTGCGGAGACAGTGGCAGATTAAACCACAGATTGCTTCCGTTGGAGCATGTTGTTTGGTAGGGATCATATGTAGTGGATTGTTGTACATCGCGAATGCTGGGGATTCTCGGGTTGTGCTAGGAAGACTGGAAAAAGCGTTTAAAATTGTCAAGGCTGTTCAATTATCATCTGAGCACAATGCAAGTCTTGAATCTGTGAGAGAGGAGTTGCGCTCGTTGCATCCAGATGATCCTCAAATTGTCGTCTTAAAGCACAAAGTTTGGCGAGTCAAAGGTATTATACAGGTAAATATACTTTCACGCCAAATGCGTGTTGCTGAATTGCAGACTCTTTTCTTGCAATTAGCTCCACAATGAAAGATATAGTTAAGCCACAACTCATGAATTATGTGTGTTTACAAGAGAAGTATAAAAAGAGATTTATAAATGTCCTCGTTTTAAGAAGATAAAGATGATTAATTCACGCTAAAAATAACCTTTGGCTGGTTCTTGAAGGTCTCGCGGTCGATTGGTGATGCCTACTTAAAGAAAGCTGAATTCAATCGGGAACCACTGTTGGCAAAGTTTAGAGTCCCTGAGGTTTTCCATAAGCCCATTCTTAGAGCAGAGCCGACAGTTACAGTACATAAAATCCATCCAGAGGATCAGTTTCTTATATTTGCATCAGACGGTTTGTGGGAGCACTTAACTAATCAAGAAGCTGTTGACATTGTAAACACATACCCACGCAATGTATGATTGCCTCTTAGCTCTCTCTCTCTCTCTCTCTCTCTCTCTCTCTCTTTCCTTTGTTTGTTTTGTGTGCAAGTAGAAAGATTGAGCACTTGTTGGTGTGCAGGGAATCGCAAAGAAACTCATAAAAACAGCTCTAAGAGAGGCAGCAAAGAAGAGAGAAATGAGATATTCAGATTTAAAAAAGATTGATAGAGGAGTGAGAAGACATTTTCATGATGATATAACAGTCATAGTTGTGTTTCTTGATTCAAATCTCGTCAGTCGCAGTGCTTCGCGCCGACCTCTCCTCTCCATCTCAGGCGGTGGTGACTTGGCTGGACCGTCCACTTGACTCAACTCTCACCACAATCTATATATATTATATATATACATATCCACTATATATATATAAACACATTGCAAAACGCAATTCAAGTTCGTTCTTTTTTCTTTTATATACAAAATTTCCTTTTCTACTCTGTTTTTTATTCATCCCCAAAAGAAAAAAATGAAGAGTTGAAAACCAATGTATAGGTCTTTTTGGCAAACTGAGTTTTATTATGGACAATACAAAGAGATTATCACTTGTTGAAAAGATTTCTACTATTGACTCTGCAATTTGCATCATCTACTTCCGTTGTCTTTTTTTTTTTTTTTTAATTATTATTATGTATTAGCATGCAGCATGAACATACGTCAATGTGTAAGTGATGCACGAGAGACCGATGCTATTACAAATTTGTCTTTTATGCCAAAGACAAAAAAACACATTGCTTTCCAAGGCCTGAGAATTCAAATTATCTTGTCAGCAAACAGGTTATATAATCCTAAAAAGTAATTAAAAACAGTTAAAAATTCATCCACGCCATAGTTCCAAAATCACTACTAATTCACGCAATTTAAATCGAAACAAAAACTAAGAAATTTTTATATGGTCCATATATATCCACACATGCATGCGCTAAACGTTATTTGAATTCTTGTCGTGGGTGCTATATAGTTACAGCGTTAACACTAATATATTACAAAAGGTTTTACTACCGTTGTGATTGAGATTATTCTAGTGGTATCGAGCAAGGGCCATAGAAAACATTTAAAGAAAAAAAGACAGCTCCAGAAAAATGGATCTTGACTCCTTGGCATGTGATGGGCGTTGAATCATGTCTAAACCAAGACAACGCAAATTCCGATGTTTAGGTCATAAATGCTGGAAATACCCCTAATAAATCTGATTATAATTATTATGACAAGGTTATATATGATATACTAGTTGTTAAAATAAAAAATATTACATGTAGCATGTAAACTAAGATTAGATCAATCAAATGTAAAGAATTTAATCAATGATAGGTTTGGAATAAGAAAAATGGGAGAGAGAGAAAAAAAATAAAATCAAAGTTTGGACAGGGGGAGATGCTTAAATGCTTCTGTAGTTCTCTGTAGTAGGACCACATGAGTCACATGTAAAAGTATTTATGGAGGACCAACCATATTTGGTTTATTTAAATGCTGTCTCTAATAATTGGTAAATTATCAATCATAATTAGTCATATATAGCTTTTATTGATGTGAAGTTTTGGCGTTTCAGTAAAATTAGATATCTTGATCATCCTCTTAATTATTTGGCAAAAACAAAGAAACCTTTAGGGAAATAGGAAGTTCATGCTCCATAATTAGTAGCGCAATGATCTTATAACCCTGCGTATATACATACATTATATGCATTAGTGATTTGTTAAATGTGTATCAAAATCTACCGTTGAAACAAATCAACGTGATTAACTTATAATTCACCGGATCATGGTTGGATACTCCATCCATTCGGATATGTTTTTTAAAAGTAAAAGAAAAAAAAAACTGACACACACACACATGATTCCTCTCTTTAGTACAACAAAACTAAAGATATAATTATGAATACATTCGTAAAATAATTATATTAGATCAGTAGTAGTAACATGCACATGCCCATGATACCATGCACATGCAATGTCTCTCTCCTTTCTTACATCTGCGTTTCTATATAATCCAAAGGTTCATTACACAACACCACTCTCTTCACTTATCAAAGTATATTTATTGCAAAAAAAATGAGAAAGTTGGTGGCATCGCCGTTTAGCTCGTTACTCTCCGTCGTTTTGGTAGTCTCGGCTATCTCCGTCGTCCGGTGCTGCTCTCCCAAAGACCAGGCGGCTCTCAATGCTTTCAAGTCGTCACTGAGCGAACCAAACCTCGGCATCTTCAACACTTGGTCTGTTAACACTGACTGTTGCAAGGAATGGTACGGTATTAGCTGCGATCCTGATTCCGGTCGGGTCACTGATATTTCTCTCCGTGGGGAATCCGAAGACGCCATTTTCCAAAAGGCTGGCCGGTCCGGTTATATGTCCGGTTCCATTGACCCAGCGGTTTGCGACTTAACCGCACTCACTTCCCTCGTCCTCGCCGACTGGAAAGGTATCACCGGCGAGATTCCTCCGTGCGTGACTTCCTTAGCGTCGCTCCGTATCCTCGATCTCGCCGGTAACAGAATCACCGGAGAGATCCCCGCGGAAATCGGCAAACTCTCCAAGCTCTCTGTTCTAAACCTCGCGGAGAATCAAATGTCCGGCGAGATTCCGGCGTCGTTGACGTCACTCACCGAGTTGAAGCATCTTGAGCTGACGGAGAACGGAATCACCGGCGTCATCCCGGCCAACTTCGGATCGTTGAAGATGTTGAGCAGAGCTCTACTGGCCCGTAACGAACTAACCGGGTCAATTCCAGATTCTATCTCCGGTATGCAGCGGTTAGCAGATCTGGATCTATCCAGGAACCATATCGAGGGTCCGTTACCAGAATGGGTGGGTAACATGAAGGTACTCTCACTTTTGAATCTCGACTGCAACTCGCTAACCGGTCCAATCCCCGGTTCGCTTCTTAGCAATTCCGGTTTCGGTGTTTTGAATTTGAGCCGGAATGCGTTGGAAGGATCCATACCCGACGTTTTCGGGTCTACAACGTACTTTGTTTCGCTTGATTTGTCACACAACAATCTATCGGGTCGGATCCCGGATTCGTTGTCGTCAGCTAAGTTCGTGGGCCATTTGGATATCAGCCATAACAAGCTTTGTGGGCGTATTCCAAAGGGTTCTCCATTTGATCACCTTGAAGCTACGTCGTTTAGTGACAATCAATGCTTGTGCGGTGGTCCGTTGATGAAGTCATGTTGATAATAATGACATGGTTCCGGTTGTTTAGCTGAACCGGGGGGATATCTCATGTTTCCTATTTTTCTTCTTTACAATTTTTACTTTTTCCTTTTTTTTTTTTTTCTCTTCTTTCAAAGTTTAAGGTCTACAGCTAATATGTTCTATTGGCAAAGAATGGGGGTACACTGATCCAATGTGTTTTACGGTGTATGGAATATGTAAGCGCATGTATAATCAAAAGCAATGTTATAGATCTTTAAAACTGATGATGTGAACAAACATAAGAAAATGTATGATGATGCAAATTCAATTTGTATGATTCATCCGAACTTCTCACATCATTTCAAGAGTCACAAATTTCCAACTTTACATATTTGTCTAGTATGTTATACCCATCTCTATTTCGGTATGAGATATAATACCAGAAGTCAAATACTTTGAGAACTAAATCATGATATTAAAACCAGCTTTATAGTAAATACTAATCAATTGAGTTTACAAGTACAAGCAAACAATTGCTCAAAACCTGATTTTGATTAAACGAGATTTCCAAGAGCTGTCTTTTTCTTTATCAGAATTATTGCAAAATGATGAAGACAGCTGTGAAACAGGGAAATAATTCAACTTTCAAACTTTGAAACTCTTATGTTTCGCAGTCACAGATTCTTCATGCATATGACTTCAAAAAGGGTAAAAACAAAATCGAAAGGAATGGAACCAACACCTCAGAATTATGCACACTTACTTCAAATCTTCATCTGTTATCTCTCCTTTTTCCATCTTCTCCTTATGCCATTTACAGAAACCTTCCACCAACGCGTCCTTCATCCATGCGTGCCTGCAACTCTCTACCGCTTCTTCAATTGTCAGCCAAGTCCGTGTTCTCGTCTTCTGTTCAGGCCACATCTCTAGCTCTTCCTTCACACGCAAAGCGTACATAGCCGCTTTACATAAGCCTTCTGGGCTAAACTCATCTTGGTGCGTTTTGCTCTTGAACTCATAATTTCCTAAAAAATCCTGCAATGTTCCAAAGTTTTGGGCATTCAGCACCAGCCGCCTAAACAAAAACAAAAGAGCTACAACTACAAAGTTTGCGGAATGATTTTACCATAAGATCCCCACGGACTCCTGCTTCTTCTACAGCTTCCCTCACTGCAGCCTCCCTGACTGTTTCATCATTTTCCCATCCTCCCTATATGAACCCTAAATATGTTACTTCGTTTCTAAACAAATGGGAAGCAACAAAAGAAACGGCATTTAAATTGTACCTTGGGGAACAAAAGTCCCGGTCCACTAGATGAGCTGATCATCAACACTTGAATCACTTTCCCAGTATCAGAATTACCATCTTCTTCAGAGTTAATGTACCTAAACGGAATACACCTATAAAAAACGCCACCAACATTGAACTTGTTAAGCAAGGTCCATAATCATCTCCGCAAACAAAAACCAAAGACAACTATCAAGGCTAAAGTCATACTTTGTTGCAGCATTTCATTAACCAAAAAAATGACTATTACAAGTGCATGTCAATTACACTACAAGAATCCTCTTGATAATGCTCAGCCAGGACTCTTCTCGTTAAAATCAAAGCTTGATTCTGAGACAAAGAATCTTCAACAGAGATTCAAACCAGGATACAAGGTGACGTAAATCTTGTTTTACAATTCTAGAATATAAACCAGTCCCTCACAGATTTTTTTTTTTTTTAAAACTCAAGCAATCACGAAAACAAATCTCCAACATATGAAACTCATTTCGCCACCAAAATCTTCAAACACCAACCGTATAGTATGTAATAAACGAGAAAGAATCACATTATACATAGCAAAGCACGAGCTCCAGCTCTAGAGAGACGATACAAACGCAAACAGGAAGAGAAAGAAACTAGGAACAAAAAACGGTACCCGGCTACGAGACGAGAGCCATCCTCGTAACGCTGCTGGAGTCGACCCGTACGCGCGACCAAATCACACATGACAGAAAATAAAGGAAAAAAAAGTAGCTGTCTAGAGGAAATTGGAATTGTTGGCCATCAAGATGAAAAGACACCAAACTTGGAGAGAATCCTTACGACTCTTCTGGATACCCACAAATACGATTCTACCTCTACCATTGCTGCCTCCTAAGATTCCAACGGTCTAGAAGAGATTGCCCAATCGATTTGATCTGACGGCTGGTGTTAGATCTAGGGTTCGAGGTGAGTCTCTCGCTATTAAGGATCAAAGACAACAAAGAGATACACAGATTTGTATATATTTTCTTTTTAGGTTGGGTCTAGGTCAGTCAACAATAATGAACAGACAGATTTGTTTTGTTTTATGAAAATGAAAATGAAAAATATGTATGATTCGGGCCATTGAGGAAGGAGCAAACCGTGAGCGCGAAGAGCGGATCGTCACAGTCAGCAACTCACGTGGGTTATGGGACTACTTATTGGGCCCATTCTTCGGTTTATGGGCCCTCTTTCTTTTATATTGATTCGCGAGCTTATCAAGATGCGATTCAAACCTGCAATTAGGCATTTCAATCTTTACGAGTTTCGAGCAATTGAGGTGAGCTTCACAACCAATCTCCAAAGTTCTTTTTGTATATGAGATATGCGGTGTACTTACTATTCTATAGGCTAAGTCGTTAACCATATGTTATTATTCTTTAGGTTAACATGGCATCATTAACCTGTCATCAACCGCTAACGTGTTAACTAACACTTGCAAGTTGCTAGTGAAACCACGAGATTTGATAGTTTCTATTTTATCTGGAGTTCATTAGATAGTGTATTCATGACCAGTTACACTCTCATTAGTTATTACAATAGCACATGTTTGAATTTGCAATTTATGTTCGAGAATTGTAACCCCAAAGCAAGGTTATATTGTATGAATTTGACTGGTTTTTTTTCGTTCTCAAATCCAATTGTAAAATATCATAATGCCAAAATGTTTTCTTCTTCGTTGGATTGGACACCACACAGTGCCGAAGCCATCATTAATACTTCCCCACATGTTAAAACGTAGATCTCATCGGGATTTTCGGACCACTATAGCATTAAATAAAGATATGCTGCTGAATCTAGGAATTATTAGAACAAGGGGGACCAGATTGCAAAAACCATGTCTCCGTCATTAGATTCCACCATGGATTCAAAACGGAGAAAGCTTTGACAGCTCATCTCTGTGATTGTGAAGAACACGACGTTAGCCAGCAACAGAACCAAATCGAAAACAAACAAAAAAGTCTTCACTCCTCGCAGCAAGAGTGGCGCTACTCCGGCGAGATTTGATTCATGTCTTCCACTTTTAGCCCCGGAAGCTCCCGCTTGCTGCAGCTGGGCGTTGCCGGCTCTGCCTCGCGCCTTAGATCTTCTTCCTCCAAAAAGCCGCCTGAACCGCTGCGCCGGGCCGTGGCCGACTGCCTCTCATCCTCCCCTCCTCCGGCTAATTCTCACCATGGCGTTATCCCTTCCATGGCTCCGTCTGAAGCTCTCAGGAATCTCCGGGTGTGTACCTCCCACCTACGCTATGCTTGCTTTATTTTTTCTTATTGTGAAATGGGATTAACTCTCCTCTTGGTATTTTCCATTTTTGAGTTTAGTTAAGAGGTAATTTGAATCCTGTTCTTTGATTGTGTGAAGAGAGGAATTGAGTATCTAGGGCTTTTTTCTTGTTTTGCATTGATATATGAGTTCTGTGCGGGGTAAAGGGATGTTAAGAAGATAGCAGTGTCTACATTTGCGCTTACTTTGAGTAGTGTTGGCGCCGTACTCAGTCATATTTTATATACTACACATTACTCTTCTTGTTCCAGTAGCCATTGCATTTGAGGCCTAATATAGATGAGGATTTAGGTAGAGAAGCCTTTTTTGCATTATCCATTTTCTTAGCTTGATAACACTTTGATAGTTGATTGGAAATATTTGACCTGCATCTTTACATGACCTCACACAATTACTTGGTGATTACAGGATTATCTATCAGCCTCTGCCACGACTGACCTAGCCTACAACATGCTGTTAGAGCATACTGTAGCAGAGAGAGATCGCAGGTGATTAATTTATACTTCATATGTTTTTCATCATCCCATTGAAACTTTGACTCTTTTGAATCATAGTTTGGATTAGCGATATGTATGTTCAGTAATTTGGTAATACTCGCAAGTCGGATAGTGAATTGTAGTATAAGGATTGACCTTCAGAATTCAGTGATATAAATGTCTTCAAATCTGGAAGCCTGAACTCATTGAAAATTTTGAGGTGAAGGAAATGAGCTCATTACTTTGATCCCTCATGATGCGGAAACTGGGGCTTTAATTGCAGAAGTGGGAGTTTTGACCAGAATATGGGATGACATAAAGGCAAATATATATATTTGTATGCGGATATAGTCATAGTAGTTTGATTTCAAAGGAAAATGAAGTATGATAGTTCTAGCTTTCTATAATTCTATATGATCACAAAATTTAGTTTTGTAAGTCCCTTGTTGATTTATCTATGGAGATTACTTAAAGGTGTTTGTAGAATAAATGGTAATCTGAACAGATCTCGTAGATAGAATTGTGAGCGGAAGAACTCTTAGAAGTAAGTGAGAAAAATCGGAAAAGTCCCTGCATAGATATATCATTAGCCCAAGTTGACAAATTAAGCACTTGAGGACTTATTGCTAGGTGGACCTATTGTTGCATGGAATCTGACTTAGCTAGGATGCAGATTGCTATATTCTGAAAATATACTGAATTAGCATGGTTTTAGCTAAAAATTTTAGTTGTTGCTAATGTTCAATCAAATTTTTGCAGTCCAGCTGTGGTTACGAGGTGTGTGGCACTATTGAAACGGTATCTCTTAAGGTAAATATTTCTAGTTGAACGATGAAACTTGATAATATTCATTTGCTTACTTGAACGAGTATCTCTTCACTTGTCAATGTCCCTAAGCTCGTCCTTCTCAATAAAACCATAATTATTTGGTTTCAATGTATCTGAAACGGGACAATTAACCTAGAGATTAAGTGTGCATTTATGTTGCTATATTTTGAGGTTTGTCTGTAATATGTATATAGTTCTTCCAATGTTTTCTATGGATTATATTTTACATAATAATGATCCCTAGGTGTTACTACACTACAGATATAAGCCTGGTGAAGAGACACTACTGCAGGTCGATAAATTTTGTGTGAATCTGATTGCTGAGTGCGATGCTAGCTTGAAGCAGAAATCATTGCCTGTTTTATCAGCACCAGCAGGGGATTCTCCTTTACCAGTGTCCAGTTTTGCTTCTGCAGCTCTGGTGAAGTCATTGCATTATGTGCGTTCCCTTGTGGCTTTACATATCCCAAGGCGATCCTTTCAACCTGCAGCATTTGCAGGAGCTACTCTTGCGTCAAGGCAGTTATTGCCATCTCTATCCTCTTTGTTGAGCAAATCATTCAATTCCCAATTAAGTCCTGCAAATGCCGCAGAATCTCCACAGAAAAAAGATGCTGCAAATCTGTCTGTTTCAAATTTGTCAAATATCCAAGAAATTAATGCTATGGAAGACATTGAATACATATCATCAGACTTGCTGAACTGGCGTTGGGTTGGGGAGCTCCAGTTATCATCAGCTTCTTCTGAAAGGTACATTGTACATGATTTCGGTTCTTACAAATGTTCAAACACGTCTTTACTTCTATTATAGCACTTGACTATCGGTGCACATTTTTCTCTGTATGGTTAGCGAACGTCCCGTTAATCTCCAAGACATGAACAATTGTAATCTTCTGGAAGTTGGTGCTGCCGGCCTGCTTGTAGGAGATATGGAAGCTAAAATGAAAGGCCAGCACTGGAAATATTTTGGTACCGCAGAGATGCCTTACTTAGAACAACTGCTGCAGCCAGCTTCAGTCACGATGATAACAAACTCAGCCTCAGCTCGCTCCCACTTAAGAGCAATAACAGCTTCCAAACGCACTAGAGCTGGCCCTCAGCAGATCTGGTATGTATTTTACCGTGGTTTTCTGAAGTAATTTGCAGAGTGATGGCTTAGGATTTTACTTGCCTTTGTATCTGTTACAAGCTTTCTCATGGCTCTTTTCTAGCTGCCAAGAAACTGGACTCCTAGATGATAAGTGTTATAATTCTTCCTCTAGACCATATGCCATCTGTTAATTGTGATAACGCAGTAGACACAAAATATGGATTCCATTTTCTTAATAAGGGCATTTCTAAAATGGCACTGACTGAGTTGATGAATATAGCATAAAAAACTAGCATTCTATTGATAACAAAAACTCCATTTTGATGACAAAAAGGTTTATGATCCCTTGTCTGTCTTGTTAGAGATTTATACCATTTGAAGAATGTAGTTTCTGGATTTTTTAGTAAGTTTCACATAATGGTGCTATTTAAAATAGATACAGGGACTGCATTTTTAAATGATTGTAAATAAGAGAATGGTGTTTTGCGAAAATTCTTATATTCAAGAATAAACGATATTTTGAAAGTTAATGTGAGATCTTAGATTGATGATTTGCATACTCAGGGATGATTCCACTGTAAACACATTTCGTCCACGTGCCAGACCGCTTTTTCAGTATCGTCATTACAGGTATTTTTTCTTTATTTATATCATGTTACTCAGTTTTTTTGGGCTGCGTCTATCCTAATCGCTTTAATGTTGATAAGTTTTTGCTTAGTAGCACGTAACAATCGCCTTCTAAACTCTTCACAATCCATATATCTTATTTAACTGTGACTTATGAGTGGTTTCAGAGTGACTCTTCCACTATAGAGTATGTGGATGTGTAATCACCTTGTTTGTGTAAATAACTGTATCTGTTGCGAATGATAAGGAATTCTATGCACTGGATCTTCTTTATGGAAAATTACAGCCTTCACCTTTATCACACAAATCACTCTCGTTCCCTGCATGATGTTTTCAGTGAACAACAACCGCTGCGCCTAAATACAGCCGAGGTAGGTGAGGTGATTGCCGCTGTTTGTTCTGAGGCATCATCCACCCCTTCAAATCAGATGACTGTATCACCCCAATTAACAAGCAAGACTGGAAAGCCGTCGATGGATGTGGCTGTGAGCGTCCTAATTAAGCTTGTTATCGACATGTAAGCTTTTTTAATAATATGTTATCTGATTTTATGTAGCATGTTAATCTGCTGCCAACCTGACCATGTTGTATCAATAAGACTTATTATAATCATCCTTTCCTTCCTTTTATTACTGTTGATAAGCTTATTGTACAACCATTTTGCAAAACCTGTTTTTGTAGGTATGTATTGGACGCTAGAATTGCTGCTCCTCTTACTCTGTCCATGCTCGAGGTGTGTCCTTTGACACTCATATATATTATCGTGATATTTATTTTAAACAGCTTACTAACTTTTCCAGCCATGCATGCAAATTTATTTCAGGAAATGTTATGTTCCACAAAAGCAGCTTGTAGGATTCGTGTCTTTGATTTAATTCTTAATTTAGGAGTTCATGCACAATTGTTAGAGCCAATGGTAAGTGATAGCGCGACAACCATTGAAGAAGAATACGCCCAAGAAACATATATGGACAATGAAAATAGGCTATTACTGCAAGGGACAAGAACGAAAGACCTGCCGAAGATGTCAAGCACTTCTTCAGCTATTGAGAACTTTGAGTCTTGGATATTGAAAATCTTATTTGAAATACTTCTTCTCCTAGTTCAGGTGTCTTACTCTCTTCTTGCTTCTTTGCTTGACGTCTAAACTAGACTTGTTTTGGATCTTTACCTTCAAAATTCTTTTTGCAGGTTGAGGAAAAGGAAGAATCCGTTTGGGCTTCTGCCCTCAGCTGCTTGCTCTATTTTATCTGTGATAGAGGCAAAATACGGAGAAACCAGCTAAATGGTCTTGACATAAGGGTATGTTAGTCTTATGAGGCTGACTATTATCTTTGCCCTCTGCTATGTGGATTATTCCTTCTTTCATCCACTTCCTACTTTCATTTGGATCCGTCCTTTGTCCTGCTGCATGCTACCATTGAATTGGTTCTCGTCTAACTTGTACTTGCTGATGAGCCAGTCACTTTTCGTAAATCAGGTTATCAAAGCTCTTCTGGGAACTAGCAAAAGGAATTCTTGGTCAGAGGTTGTTCATTCCAAGCTTATTTGTATTATGACGAATATGTTTTATCGATCTCCAGAACCAGAGGGCTCTACCATAGCAAATTCAAGTGCCTCGAATTTTCTTATAGACCAGGTCGATCTGATTGGTGGTGTGGAGTACATTTTCTTTGAGGTACTGCAAAAATATAACCTGTTAGACTGAATGATCTTTTTTGAAAATCTATCCAAATAAGCACTTTAAGTCCCAATAATTTTCTAGTGTAATTAAAGGATTCATTTTATTGGTACAGTACTCTTTGGCAACCACTAGAGAAGAAAGAAGAAATCTCTACTCGGTTTTATTTGACTATGTTCTGCATCAAATTAATGAGGCATGTTCAGTGGCTGGTCTTTCTGAGTACACTGACGATGAGATTCAACCTTTGGCTGTTCGGCTTGCTCTAGCTGATGCACCTGAAGCTTTCTACATTTCTGTCAAGCTTGGTGTTGAAGGCATAGGGGAAATCCTCCGAAGATCAATTGCTGCAGCATTGTCTGGGTTCAGCAACAGTGAACGATTAAACCAGGTAGGTTTGTTCTTGTTAGAATGTGTTGCAAATGGTCTTCTGAGGATCTAGCAAAAAGTCTTGTATTAAATTGTTTGCCAGTCAAAGCTCTTTTCTAACTCTCTTAATTTTTCATTCTTGCAGCTTTTGGCAAATATAACAGAAAAGTTTGACACAATAATAGGTTCATTTACTCACTTGGACAAAGAGTTCCTGCATCTCAAACAGATTACCAAATCTTCGAAATTCTTGGAAAGCATTCAAGATTTAAGAAATGATTTAAGTGTGTCAGTGAATCTAGCTTGGGCTACTTTGCACTCTCTTCTTCATTCAGAAAGGACCACATACCGTCAAAATGGATATATCTGGTTGGGAGATCTTCTGATTGCGGAAATTAGTGAAGAGAGTGGTGGAAGTATATGGCTAAGCATAAAAGATCTGCAACAAAAGATTGCCCATTGTGGTACCTCAGACTCTCTGGATACTTCCGATGTACCTGTTTCCATTCATCTTCTATGTGGACTCTTGAAGTCAAGGAACAGTGTTATCAGATGGGGTTTCCTATTTATTCTGGAGAGGCTTCTTATGCGCTCCAAGTTTTTACTAGATGAGAATGAGACTCAACGAACAACTGGTGGAGTTGCTACTCAGGATCATAAAGACAAACGCCTAGAGAAAGCAAATGCTGTTATAGACATAATGAGCAGTGCTTTGTCTTTGATGGCACAAATAAATGAAACTGACCGTATTAATATCTTAAAGGTACATCTACTTAAAATCCTTTTGTTTGTTCAATTTCCTACTAAAAGCCACTGAATTGCTGATATTTTTAGTAAATGCTGTTCTATATTTCAAATAACTGGCAAAGAAAATAACTCTGTATATTTCTCTAATTTGAATTTTCACCCAGATGAAGATTAATTCACTTTGTGTCTTCTCTCTGTTGTTTCCAAGCAGATGTGTGACATTCTTTTCTCGCAATTGTGCTTGAAAGTTTTGTCTACTGACGATGATGCAGCTCCCAGTTCTGCTGACAGAAATAGCAAATTTGAAACTTCTCATCGTAACAGCTATAAAGAAAGTATGGATGAAGCTGACACCAGGCCTCGGTACAACAATGTCTCTGTCTCAACGTGCGAGACGGCTTCAATGGCAGCGATGCTTCTTCGTGGACAGGCAATTGTTCCTATGCAACTGGTTGCACGTGTGCCAGCGGCTTTGTTTTATTGGCCATTGATTCAACTAGCAGGGGCAGCAACTGACAACATTGCACTTGGTGTCGCCGTTGGAAGCAAAGGAAGAGGAAATATTCCAGGGGCAACCTCTGATATCCGAGCCACCCTGCTATTACTTTTGATTGGTAAATGCACCGCTGATACAATTGCTTTTCAAGAAGTTGGTGGAGAGGAGTTCTTTAGGTAATTGATTGACTATTCCATACTTCAAACCCCAAATGAATTATCTCTGGAACATGTTTCATGGCATTTTCAAACTTTTGTTTTTCTGTGCAGGGAACTCCTGGATGATACTGACTCAAGGGTGGCTTATTACTCTTCCGCATTTCTTCTGAAGGCAAGAGGATTTCTCACATTCACCATTTTGATTTTGGAAAGACATACATTATAAGAAAGAGACGTTTCCAGTTCTATTTTTGGCTCACTGGTTAAAATTTGGATTTTACAGAGGATGATGACGGAGGAACCAGAGAAATACCAAAACATGCTTCAGAAGCTTGTCTTTAAGGCTCAGCAGGTGATCCTCTCGTAATAATTCAGTGTGTAGAGTCATAGAGCCCCAACTATCAATGAGCCTGTCCTTTGTTTTGTGCCATAAATGATAATAAGCCGCACTGAAGTATTCTTGTTTGTGCAGAGCAATAATGAGAAACTGCTGGAGAATCCATACCTGCAGATGTGTGGTATACTTCAGTTATCAAACGAGCTTTGAACTTGCAGCTCTCATTAGTCTTCAGTTTCTTATATATGGCTTCTGAAAGTTCCTCGGTTTCAGAAAATCAAAGTGAGTTACTTTAGAACCACCCTAATTATCCACTTCCTGCGGTGAAAGAAGAAGAGAAAGTACTGAAAGTAAGGACAATTAGTAGATACTTGACTCGTCGGTCAAAGTAGCAGGGGAATCTGCAAGTGATTCAGATATGTTTCCATGTGTGACAGATTTTATCTGGCATCACGTAGGTTATCTTGCACTGTCTGGTATCTAATCTTTCCCAAGTTTTGGTAGAGATCTGAAGGCTTTGAAGAAAGGTGTTGATGGTAAAGAGTTGGCTGCAACAGGTCAAGAGAAATGTGATATAACTCATCCGCCTTCTCCTTTTTCTGCGGGAATGGCGCGATTTTAAGGAACTTACAGACAGTGAGGTTCTGATAATTGCAGGCATTGTCATTTTTTGGGATAGCAAACCAAAGTTTTTTTTTTTTTTTTTTAATCTTGTGCTCTGTGTGTAAAACAAATCATGAACAGAGGCTGCAGCTCCAGAAATTTTAATTTTCTTGGAGCTGTGCTTTTGTACAGTCGGGAACAAAACTAATTAGGGGTTGTGTTGTGTAGAGAACTAGAGATAGAGGATTTGGGTGTCGAATGTTTTGCCTTTAAAAGTGGTTATGTGAAAAGTGTGAGCCTAACCGGTGCTTTTGTAATCTAAAAAAAAAAAAAAAATCCAGTTTCTTGACATTTTTGGCTTTTGATCTGAGAAGACGACAAAGACTTACTTAGGAAGACGATTAACAAAAAATCAAGACAAGAAAAAAAATACAAATTCGTAAATTACCAATTTGATCAACAAAATAATTGATCCACAAATAAACCACGTTCGTTAAAAAGTAATTAATTATTGGGACAGGCTTTAAATAAAAACCCCTCTCAGACATCGAAACCCTGAGATCCAAATACTTTGCTTCTGTTCTGTAAAATCGCATTTGGTCTGTGGAGATCTCGGTCCTACCTTTCCCACCGATTCCGTCCTGATAAAAACGGTAAACCTCTCTCGGCTTCAAAATTCTATGCATCTCTTCTTGAGAGATCTGATCAAACAAGTGTGTTTTGAGTTTTGATCTGGTCAGTCTCCGCCTTTAGTTGTGTTGTGTTTTAGAGTTGTTTCTGTGTGTGGCGGCCATCTGTGCGATGGTCCTTTTTGAAATCCCGTCTCTGTCGACGGGAAGTGCCAAATTATCTTGTCGGATTGTGTCACGTTCTAAGTTTTAGATGCTTGGATTCTCAGCTTTATCTCGAATGTGATCCCATAGCGGAGTGGATATCGCGTTAGACTCCGAATCTAAAGGTCGTGGGTTCGATTCCCACTGGGATCATCCTCTTTTGGTCTCTTTATTTTTATAATTTGCAATGCAATTACCACATCCTCTTTCTCTCTTGGATGTTGATTACATACAAGAACAGTGTTCCTCACTACTGTTACAGAAATATAGGAGTTGTTAAAATTTGTATGTTGTTTGTTGATGGGATAAGAATCGTTGCTCAATATTTAATGTTTGTGTGGTTGGGTGCAGATGATCGATGATCAAGACTTGGGGTTTATTGCCAATTTTCTTGGCATATTCATCTTCGCATTGGTAATTGCTTATCACTACGTAACTGCTGATCCAAAGTACGAAGCCACCTGAGCTGAGTGATGGATTTTAGAATGGTGTAAGGGCTCTTTTTAGTTTATAGTATCTATTTCAAACTGATAAAGAGAAATCATAACAGTCTTGTTGAGATGAAAATGTTGTTAAGATGTTCCTAATCCATTTTCATTCTCCACTATATTCTTCTTTATCTGCATTTCATTTTTCTCCCATATTATTATTATTATATTGTTCGCATGTCTGATGAAATGCTAAACACCAAACTCCGAGCGATGCTCTTTGCACAGTAAAACCGAGAAAGTGCAGGTAAATACAATGGTTTAGGTTGTCTCAGATCATGCTCTTAGCACAATCGACCAAAACTAAGCTGCGCGGTTCTGATCCCAATGTACATTTTACTACTGTTTACAACAAATGTATCAACCCGAATTGTAATCTACATATCTCGTTCCAACAACCACAAATATATGTCACAAGATCAAACTTGTTAATTTCATATTTTATAATTTTATTGCTAAGAGCCTAACACCAAGTCTAGTAATTTTTTCTAAAGAATGTTGTGTCATTTTTACCTGACAACTATAAATGTATTTCAAGTCCTTTGTTTTGTCTCACAAAGCTAATGTAGAATCTACCGCATGTCGATCTATTTTAATTTATCTTTTTGTGCTATTGAGGAATGTCTTGCTATGTTTGTTTTATACTTGATACTTTGGAATCTTGGAATTTTTGTTTTTACTTTGTACTCAAATAAATGGAAACAATCAAACAAGTATGTTTCGCCCCAAAAAAACGTAAAAACAGAAAGTAACTAGAACTTATCTTTGCTTCTTATTTGATATGTACAATTTAATTTAAAATTTAACTCGAGCGAAATACTAATTAAGTTTCAAAAAAAAAGAACAAAATACCAAAATAAAAGTGGAAAAACAAAAACAAAAATGTTAACTGGGTGACCTGACTTTTTTTTGACATATTTGAAAAGACGACTCTCGAAGGAGCGAGAAGCAATGACCAACAAAAAAAGAAAAGGAAACAATAAAACGGAAGGCGCAAAAAAGAAGATCCAACGGCTGAGATTACCACTCGTGAACATTCTCGAAAGCTCTTTACCGACCCATCCTCCCATTCATATATATACACCTCCTCCTTGAGCTCCTCGTTCCTCACACCGTAAACGAACGAACGAACACTCACAACAATTTCTCAAAAGCTCACAGACACGAATTGTTTTCGAATTCTTTTTAACTCTTTCCGGTGAACAAAATCTTTGATCTCTAATGGCGGGTAAAGGAGAAGGTCCAGCTATTGGTATCGATCTCGGTACTACCTACTCTTGCGTCGGTGTTTGGCAACATGACCGCGTTGAAATCATCGCCAACGATCAGGGTAACCGTACCACTCCCTCCTACGTTGCTTTCACTGACAGCGAGCGTCTCATCGGAGATGCCGCCAAGAATCAGGTCGCCATGAACCCTACCAACACCGTCTTCGGTAAGCTTTCTCTCTGCTTTTGATCTTACTCTCTGCTTTTATTTTTTTCCAACTTATTATATCTGCTTGCTTGCTGCATGTGATTGATCTTTATAATTGCTAAATAGATCGTTACATAGTGATTTTGATTTAGCTAGCTCCTTAGTTCAGTCTAAATATAGAAGGTTTTGTATTCATGATTATTGGAACTTTTGTTTGATCTATGGAGAATCCTTTAGAGTTAGGATGAATTATTGACTTTGTTGTGCTTTTTTTGTTTTGCAGATGCTAAACGTCTTATTGGTAGAAGATACAGCGATCCGTCTGTTCAAGCTGATATGCTGCACTGGCCTTTCACGGTTAAGTCCGGTCCAGCTGAGAAGCCTATGATCACGGTCAACTACAAGGGAGAGGAGAAACAGTTCTCTGCGGAGGAGATCTCGTCCATGGTTCTCACCAAGATGCGCGAGATTGCTGAAGCTTTCCTTGGCACTTCCGTTAAGAACGCTGTGGTTACCGTGCCTGCTTATTTCAACGATTCTCAGCGTCAGGCGACCAAGGACGCTGGAGTTATCTCTGGTCTCAATGTGATGCGTATCATCAATGAGCCTACTGCTGCTGCCATTGCTTATGGTCTTGACAAGAAGGCGTCTAGTGTCGGCGAGAAGAATGTTCTTATCTTTGATTTGGGAGGTGGTACCTTTGATGTTTCTTTGCTTACGATTGAGGAAGGTATCTTTGAAGTGAAGGCCACCGCTGGTGACACGCATCTTGGTGGTGAGGACTTTGACAACAGAATGGTTAACCATTTTGTTCAGGAGTTTAAGAGGAAGAACAAGAAGGATATTACTGGCAATCCGAGGGCTTTGAGGCGGCTTAGGACAGCTTGTGAGCGGGCCAAGAGGACTCTCTCTTCGACTGCTCAAACGACTATTGAAATCGACTCTCTCTACGAGGGTATTGATTTCTACACAACCATCACCCGTGCTAGATTCGAGGAGCTCAACATGGACTTGTTCAGGAAGTGTATGGAACCAGTGGAGAAGTGTTTGAGAGATGCTAAGATGGACAAGAACAGCGTCCACGATGTTGTCCTTGTTGGTGGCTCCACAAGAATTCCCAAGGTGCAGCAGCTTTTGCAAGACTTTTTCAACGGGAAAGAGCTGTGTAAAAGCATTAACCCGGACGAGGCTGTTGCTTACGGAGCAGCTGTCCAAGCTGCGATCCTGAGCGGTGAAGGGAACGAGAAGGTCCAAGACTTGTTACTTCTTGATGTCACTCCTCTGTCCCTGGGTCTGGAAACCGCCGGTGGAGTTATGACTGTCCTGATTCCAAGGAACACAACCATTCCGACAAAGAAAGAGCAGATATTCTCTACCTATTCAGACAACCAGCCGGGTGTACTGATCCAGGTCTACGAAGGGGAGAGAGCAAGGACAAAGGACAACAACCTTTTGGGAAAGTTCGAGCTCAGCGGTATACCACCTGCTCCACGAGGTGTTCCCCAAATTACGGTATGTTTCGACATCGACGCCAATGGTATCCTGAATGTGTCAGCCGAGGACAAGACGACTGGCCAGAAGAACAAGATCACAATCACGAACGACAAGGGAAGGTTGTCCAAGGAAGAGATCGAGAAGATGGTACAAGAAGCAGAGAAATACAAGGCGGAGGATGAAGAACACAAGAAGAAGGTTGATGCAAAGAACGCTCTTGAGAACTATGCATACAACATGAGGAACACGATCAAGGACGAGAAGATCGCATCTAAGCTGGATGCAGATGACAAGAAGAAGATTGAGGATGCGATTGACCAAGCCATTGAATGGTTGGATGGGAATCAGCTAGCGGAGGCAGATGAGTTCGAGGATAAGATGAAGGAGCTCGAGTCTCTTTGCAACCCAATCATTGCTAGGATGTACCAAGGTGCTGGGCCTGACATGGGTGGTGCTGGAGGAATGGATGATGACGCTCCAGCTGGTGGTAGCGGCGGTGCTGGCCCCAAGATTGAAGAAGTCGATTAAGCTTTTCTAAGCTTCTCTTGTTTTACTCTGTTTGTCTTTAATTTTCTAGTTGGTTCTCCTGTTGTGTAGCTATGTTTCTCTGAACCTGCTTGCTTTCTGATCAGTTTTATCTTTTAAGGTTATGCTTAATTTTTTTTCTCGCTGCGATCATGAAAATTCGACCTTTCATTTTGAACTTATGAAAGCAGAAGCATAAGTTTTAGATATTGTTCTACACTATTTTAACTGAAAGTTGCAACGTTGTGGTGGATTCCCATAATCTGATGAGTCGTATGTATAAGAAGGTGGGAAAGTTGCCATGATAAATATTATATCCAGATAGAAAAAGTTCTTAAGTTACAAAGACATGTACAATTGTACAATTCTAATTTAGTCATTCAGCCATCATTAGACTGAATGGTGCCTCGTCATATGGCTTGCCACAAATTTAAGTATACGAATAAATCGGAACCGATATGTTAACAGAACGCAATAAATGGGGGGGAAATATGATTAAATATGAATAATCCAATGATACATGAACCAATAAAATCCTTTTTAAGAATTTATGCACTACAATCTCACTCTAGCACGAACGGACGGAGACATACGCGAACCTCATGCTCTTCTGGTCCCATTCGGTGTTTGGGCACTAAAACCTCTAGTGTTGTTCCGGTTTCATCCCGGTAAGCTTCAAGCTTGGCGTCATCTGGAATCCTGTTCGGCAAAGAGACTTCACGGACAAATTCCCCCAGTGGGCAATGCTCTGGTGTCGGATCTGTTAGCTTAAATGTTCTATCATGTCTCTTCACGAATGGCTCACATGCTGTGCTTACACATGATATCTTCACTATTCCATGTGTTGGTGTATTCCTCCATGTCACTTTCACTCTTCCCGAATCAACAAATGGCAGGCTCATAACTATTAAGAACCCTTTGTCGTCTTCATATATTGTTTTCGCAGCTGTGACTGGACCGTACACATTCTTCATCACCCCACTGAAATCATTCGACCAAGGCAGCTCCATTGCATGGATTTTCATGTCCAGAGATTTCTCACTTGAGCTCGAGTCATCGCAGTTCCCTAGAGCAAGACAATCCCTTTTGCGCTTATTGCTAGACGCTGGTCGAACTTCCACTGTATCAACTGCATGGTCTGGGGAATGTGTTGACAGGTTCAGGCAGGTACCGTTCAGTTTTTTCAGGTGGGTGTGCCCGTTAGCTTTAGCCATAGGAAGAGGACGCTCAGCCTCAAATTCAGTGGCTGGGAGATTCCTCCATGAACCGTAATCACTAGCTTCAGCTGGAATAGCAAAGTTCACGTCTCGGCCTGTGAGTTCTGTCCACTTCTTCTTTTCATCCTCGTTGAGTACAGAAAGATTGGGTGAATGAACAACTTCAATTCCATGGAGGCACTGTGGGTTAGAGAGACCACGGTAATGTTTCCTCTGCATCCTATGAGAGCGGACAAAACCTTTGTCCACACTAAAAGGGAAAGGACGCTCACCCTCGCGTGAGTGTCCGTTCATGTAACTGCGCAGCTGCATCTTGCCAAGGGCATTTTCAGGCTTTTCCTTGAACACCCACATGTACATATTCTCCATATCATGCTGAACCAAGAAGGAGTCGAGCTGCAAATCAGATTTATCGTAACCGGACAAGCCATTGCTGTCCCTCGTTAACTTACTTTTGGACTTGTCATCCAAAACAGGTTTGAAGTAGAAACTGAAGAAAAGCCAAGCACCCCATGCACTATCAACACGTTTGTTGTACTTCTTGGCAACCTTAGGCACATGAACAACAGCCTCAGGCTCATATAGCTGAGGGCCGAGTCCAACGTCTAAGATATCACAGTGCTCGTTCCACAGAAGCAGAGATGGACTTGCTTCAGATGAGAGAGGAAGATTGATATCAGGCGGCCCGGTAAGTATGAGGGATCGGTTTGTCTCCCTCTCAGATTCTTCGTGAGTAAAAGCACCAGAATCCATGGAAAGAAGTGTCGACGGGTGATAGTTCTCCATAGACAGGGTTGTGATGAGAGTCTCACCCATATTTCTGAACAAGTTTAACTTCAGCAGATCCGGTGGCCGAATCAAAACCCTTAGGTAGCAAGAGAATTAGAACATCAATCGACAAACCCATAGATGCAATTCAAGGATATCTTCATCTTACAGGATCTCACTGATTACCACCTCAAAGTTATGAATTTTTTTCCTATAAGCTCGAAAACACGGCCAGCTAAGAGTCACAACAACACATGGAGAGCTATAATCCCACCTGAATACTAATCGGGAGAGCAAAGAACAGATTTAAGCTCAGCCCAATCTCAACAAGTCCTTATCCAAATCCTATAAAACAAACAAATACGGTGAAACAAACATGAGTTTTCAGATACTAGAAACTCATAAAACAAATCAGGAACACTTAAAGAACAAACAAAAAAAAAACAGAAGGAAACAAGGATCTGGAACAAGCTCATCAACAATCGAATCCACAAATCTGAATTCGATAGATTCGACAAGATCAAACAGTGATTTTTCTTCGTTTAATTACAAACACCAAAAGAGATAAAATTAAGATACAAATCAATACGATCATCGAAGAATACGAAGGAGACAAATCTAACCCGATGGAGAAAGCTCGAAGACGAGTTGCGAATCGGCGGCGAGAGGAATAGAGTCGCTTCTATCAAAATGATCCCAAATCTTTTTTTTCCTTTTTTTTTTTGGGAGAGAAGCGAGAGAGAGACTTTGAAGAAGAGTCGTAATTTTAAGACAGAGGACGCCGTTTGTTATATGTTAACGTCGTTTATGTTTTGACGGAGTTACGGGGATTTTGCCGTTTGCGTTAGTCAAAATATGCGGTCCACTCATGGGTTTGATATTTATTTCCAAGTGTTGTTGTTTACTTTAGTAACAAAGTTAATCACTTACTTTACTCTTTTGCTTGGATAAATAAGTTAAATATCTTAATCACCATTGACTCCAAATTTTAATGACTGACTATTACTTGGATAATCTTCTTTTTTGAACCAATATTATTCAATTACTTTTTTTTTCTTTCTCAAAAAAAAGAAAAAGAAAGAAGAGAAACTACTAACAGTCTAACAACCTAGCTTTTGTGTTTTTTTTTTTCGTATGAAACTAACACCTAGCTTAAGTATTTGGTGATTGAAAGTTGAGTTTTTTTTGTAAGCATCTAAAATTTACTGGGGTAAAAACGCAAAAATTCCTTCAAATGCAACCAAAAAGAAATAAAAGAGAGACAACAATATCAACCTTTGATTTTATAGTAGTGCTGTGCAAATATATGCTCCCATCTAATCTAACTAAAAACATCAATCCGACTCTCTCTACAGTAACATTGTATAATTGATCGAATATAAGAGAGAGGATCGGAGTTTGCATTTACATAATGATCAAATCAGTGTCGTCGTAGCTTTTCTTGATCCATCATAAGCGAATCCTTATATCTTGTACTGTTGTGGCGACATTTTACAAAATATGTTCTAACTACAGTGCCTCCGTTTCAAGCAGGAAGAGGGAGCGCTAGACTCGTAATACAAAGCCATCCTTCCACATTGCAAACATGAGCTTTTCATTATGATGTAAATAACATTTGTTTTTTTTTTTTTGTAATTAAGGTTGAGCAATAAACTTTGCAACAACAAAAAACACTTAAACAAATATCACATCAATGAGATAGACAGTGAAATATATATATACTTGTATACCCACTTATCCTAGATAAAATAAATAACTTAGTAAAGTAACTCAAAATTAACTTCATTAATAAACAACATAAAAAGTAAGAAATACTGTTATGATTGATTCTCCTATTTGGCACCACACATTTTCAAGGTTCTTATACATATAATCATAATGTAAATCAGGATAGACCGATAGAGAATCTATATGGATTTTTGTTTTTGAAGAAAAATCTTTAAGCTCCCATACTCCCATGTTGAATTTCCATATAGACCAGTGACCACCCCTTTTGGTGTTTTGTTTTTTTCTCTAGACTCTATAGAATGTCATTTGTCGTCCGTTTGTGCAATTATACATTTCAATATGCATGATGTTCATGTATTGAGGCGTCGCCATGCAATCACGCAAGATTATATCATCAAACCGTACGAAAATGTACATTAATAGATTTCAATATGCATGAAGTGCATGCGTATGTGTATATGTTTTTAATACAAAATAAAAGCATTTTTGGTGACACAGAACTTTTTAATATGTCTTGCAAACGTTCTCCCAAAAACGTCTATAGAATTTTTCTAACCCAACGATATTTTTGCATAATAATCATGAATGCAAAGAAAACTATTTTTGGAGAATGTATATGCCTTCCTTATTTTTGGAAAATTAGTTCCTTCTACTTCCCAATAGATCATGGTCCGATCCGACCCATTTACCAATTGTTATGCGGCCCATCATAATAAGAAAGGTTGCATGCAACAACTTGCAAGGGGTCCAAAGACCAGCCACATACGCAGACACGCGCAGAAGTCCAAGACGACATAAACAAAAGTGTATATTCGATTCAACCAACACCTGGCAATATGTTAAATCCGACACATTTCCGGTTCCTACATACATACATTAACCAAACATATGCTTAATGAATATATCAACCCACGAAAATAACGCATCAAACACACGAACATGGTCGATCATTCACAAACTACACTAAATATACTGCTTAAAACACATATCACGTTGATTTTTTTTGGCCCCATTAGCACATGCTACAACATGCCTAAGACATATATTAGCTCCTCTCCTCATAAACAAATACTATCAAGAAATTCATGTTATATAACTCAAAACACTACCTTAATTGTGGTAGGAAAAAAAAAAAAACACTACCTTAATTGTGACGTTATTACCAAAGCAATGGACTTGTCACAGGCTTTTCTCCAACCACGTGGAAGAGATAGACAAGTTTTGTTGTTTGTAAATATATAATTAATAAAAAGAGCCTCCAGCTCCAATGAGAAAGAAACAGTGTAATTCATTCTATATTGTATTTATCCGATCCCTAAAATTAAGATTCTTCTGACAAACCTATCTTCTTTAAGGGGTTATGAAGTGATCCCCGACCCCGAGGGAGAGAAGGTGACCCTCAATAGCCAGTTAACCGGAGCAACGGGTTCACCACAATGTACACAAGAGTGACCGTCAATAGCCGGTTTCCATCAACTGCCTCATCTCAACTCTCAACCCATTGTTGTTTGTGTGGTCATTAAAAACTTTTTTTATTTTTTTTTATTTTTTATTTTATATTTTATGAGAATTATTTATAAAAAAATAAAAAAGGGGTTTTTCTGTTTTGCGATGGGGCTTTTCACGTCTTCTTCCTTCTTTCTTTTCTAAGGACAACGACCGATTCTCTTACCGCACCCAACCAAACCAAAAAAAAAAAAAAACAACTCGAGAAGAATTCTTCATTTCTTAAAATCTCGAGTTTGTGTATAGATCGAATTCTTCTTTTTCTCTTTTGTACATTTTGTTTTTGCTTTCCATACACGTTAAAAAAAAAAGAAGAAAAAGAGTTAAAGCGGGTATGGAAGGGTTTTAGATTGCGTGATCTGTAATTGTAAAGTGGTTTTGGATCGTGATCAAGAAACTGGTGCTTGATAGGTGCGTTTTTTTTTTTAATCGCAATTGATTTGTGCTCTTACCGATCTGTAAAATTCTTGGGGTTTTTGGGTCAATTCCGTTGATTTTTAATTTTTATTTTTAATCATTGACTTTGCTGATCCGGATTTCAAATTTCCGCTAAATTCTTTGGCGGGTCGTCAGAAATTTGTATTCGAGATCTGATCGGTAGCATCGTCTTGATTGGAGTTTGTAAGCAGCTTCTGGCATTTTCTTTCTTCAGTTACCCACTTATGATTTTGCATTTCCGTGATCCATTTCTTGGTTTTAAGCTTTTCATTGATCAAACCCCTGTGTTGATATCTGATCTATATTGGTTTACTGATGATTCTTTTGTTTAAATTTGCTGCTTTGTGTTGTGTGATTGTTGATCTGTAGTCCTGAAACTGTCTAATGGCTTCTCCATACATTGTACATGTGTGCTTCGAGTTATATTGATCTCATCAGGCTCAGTCTAGCTACTGATGATCTGATCTGAAAGTTACCTTTGCGCTAATTAAATGTGTGTGTGTGTGTTTACCAGTGATATGCATATTTGAGAGATGGTGTTCAAGAGGAAGTTGGATTGCTTATCCGTTGGCTTTGATTTTCCCAATATTCCCAGGGCTCCTCGTTCATGCCGGGTATATTATATTATCATTGTGATCCATTCTGGATCTGTTAGCTCAATTTCATGAACTGCCTTCTTAGGACACTTGGTTGTTTTTTTCAGAGGAAGGTCCTAAACAAGAGGAGTGATGATGATGATGTTGATGCTCAGATCTGTGCTATTGACTTACTCGCTTTGGCTGGAAAGTTGCTACAGGAAAGCGAGAGTTCCTCAGCGTCTTCCAATGCATTTGAAGGGAATAACCGCGATCATTTCGGTAAAGAAATTAAACAAGAGCAAGATGTTAAATGCAAGCCTATCAATTCTGAATCTTCTGACCAAGGAAACTCCGTGTCAAGGCCCACATATGACAACTCTACTGACAAGTGTGTGGTGAACAGTTTTTCATTTCCGGATAATGACGGCGATTTGGAGCGAACTCCAATGTCTGATTACAAAAAGACTCATGGTTTGACGGCTGTAGGGTGTGAAAACAAGGATGTGAATTGTGACTTTTACGTTAACTCTGGAGGCATCACTGGGGAGACAGGTGGTGTAAATGTGAATACTGGGTTTAAACAAGGAGAAGCAACCGATCGCTTGGGAGATGGAGGCTTAATCACTAATACGTGCAACTTAGAGGATGCAACTGCTTTAGGTGTGCAGTTTCCAAAATTAGTCTGTGTGGGTGGTGATCTAAAATTGCCATCTACCATGGATATGACCCCTAATGGTTCCTTTGCTAGACATGGGAACCATACTAACTTAGGTAGAAAAGATGATGATGAAAAATTTTATAGTTATCTTAAGCTTAGCAATAAATTTAAGTCGTATAGGTCTCCAACAATTCGAAGAATAAGAAAGTCACTGTCGTCCAAATACTGGAAGCAAATTCCCAAAGATTTTGGATACAGCAGAGCTGGTAAGTATCTATGAATATTTTTTCATTATTTTTTTTGTTGTTGTTGTGGTTCACCCGGTTCTTACTTTGATCATGAATCTCTAGATGTGGGTGTAAAGACTCTTTATCGCAAAAGAAAATCATGTTATGGATACAACGCATGGCAGCGTGAGATCAATTATAAGAGGAGAAGATCACCTGACAGAAGCTCGGTCGTAACTTCTGATGGAGGACTCAGTAGTGGAAGTGTTTCCAAGTTACCAGAGAAGGGAGATACAGGTGGTTATTGTAGTCTATCTCAAAACTCTTCAGTAATCTTATCTTAGCTGTTGTGGTCCTCTCAAAGGGCTCCCTTGGCACTTGACCGGATGGTATATGGTACTGAGACATTTATCCGGAGCCGGGATATTGTGGTTCTCATGTATTTTAATCTTTGGTGCAGTAAAGCTAAGCATTAAGTCCTTTAGGATTCCAGAGCTTTTTATTGATGTTCCAGAAACTGCAACAGTAGGATCACTAAAGGTACATGCCAATATGTTTTTTCTTTTGTTCCTTCACATATGGTTGATTCTCTTGAGTGGACATTTGACGTGTTAGCATATAACCGTTTTGATCTTTGACCCTTTTGGTTCCAGAGGACCGTGATGGAGGCTGTCAGTGTTTTACTCAGTGGAGGAATACGTGTTGGGGTATTATTGCATGGGAAGAAGGTCAGAGATGACAGGAAAACTCTCTCGCAGACTGGGATATCATGTGATGAAAATCTAGACAACCTTGGGTTCACCTTGGAGCCTGGCCCCAGCAAAGTTCCCCTACCTTTGTGTTCCGAAGATCCTGCTGAGCCAACCGACCCTACAAATATGTCTGAACGGTACTAAGAAATTCGCTATCATATCCTTGTGCTGCTTTAGTTGAATATCACTGGTCTTCATTCTTCTTGAAGATTCCTAAGCAAAAGCAGTTCTGAATGATCATCCCAGGTCTGCGGCTTCTCCCATGTTAGATTCTGGAATTCCCCATGCAGATGACGTGATCAATTCAGGAAATATTGTGGACAATAACCTCGAGATAGTTCCATATCAGTGTGACATATCTGCCGATGAACCTTTATCAGATTCAAAAGCGCTTGTTCCGCTTCCAGCCTTGGAAGTTAAGGCACTTGCCATAGTTCCGTTGAACCAGAAACCTAAGCGTACTGAGCTTGCCCAGCGCAGAACCAGGAGACCCTTCTCTGTGACAGAGGTAGAAGCTCTTGTACAAGCAGTGGAGGAACTCGGGACTGGAAGGTATATAACTAGTTCGGCCATAACTCGTGTGGTTTGGTCGTGGGTTAATGTCAAAATTCAAAAGCTAATGGTCGATATATCTCATCACACAGGTGGCGTGATGTGAAATTGCGTGCTTTCGAGAATGCAGATCATCGGACTTACGTGGACCTGAAGGTAACATATTAAACACAAACATGTAGTCTGGAACATATAGCATCCCTCAGTAAGCATAATGTTCCAAGAACATGTGAATCTGCAGGACAAATGGAAGACGCTGGTTCACACAGCCAGTATATCACCGCAGCAACGAAGAGGAGAGCCGGTGCCACAAGAACTCCTAGACAGAGTCTTGAGAGCATACGGGTATTGGTCGCAGCACCAAGGAAAACATCAAGCGAGAGGAGCATCCAAAGATCCAGACATGACCAGAGGTAGAGCTCTTGAATCAGGTGTTTCTGTGTAAAAAAAGGAGGTACGCATTGGTGGGTTGGTGTACAGAAGCAAACAAACAACAATAATGGAAAACTCAATTTCTGCAAAGATTAATTGTCTCTATTTCTCGTTTTTTCTCTTCAATACACTTTTTTTTTCCTCCTGTATTCGCCTTTCGGCATCTGTAAATGACTCCAACTGGGATGAGATTTGTCCCTAACCAACTTTTTTCTTTCACATTGATTATGTTGTGTAATATTATCGGTTCATAAAAGGGACCTTGTAATTTTAGACATTCTTTTATTGTTCAATCTTTATTGACAAGTCAGCGTTCTTCTTCATTATTTTAGTTTATTTTCAGCTCAAGGAAGAAGTGAGAAATATTGCGACGGATGTGAATAACCTAAAGTTGAAAGATATATAATATTTGCTCTAAGACTAGGAAATATAATACAATGGAGTGTTTCTTCTTGGTGAAAGACTAACTAAGTTGATGTGTTTATTTCTTCACAAATTCAAAGACCTTCTCTAAAGTTTTAGAACCTTCTACCAATGTTAGTTACTCTACTTTCCTACAATGTTGAACCGTCCAAGTGTAGAACTGGAAACGGTTCCAACTCCGAGCCCACATCCCAAATTCAAGCCATCCTCTTGTAATTTCCACCTACTTCCCGATTCCAAGACCCATACTGCATCAAAGACCAGACACTTGTTGAACCTGACCTGGCATCTTGACATCCTTTATGCTCAAAACTTATTTCCCATCTCCTGCAACTGCAAAGTACAGACCTCAGATTAGCGAAATTTTAAAGAAAAAACAACTATATAAGCAAGGAGGCTAACTCCAAAAGAGCTGGGAGGTTTTTTTGTTAGTGTACCGGATAAATGTAAATATAATCTTCTAAGGCTTATGACGATTGGCCTGATTCCATTGCTCCAGTAGACTAGTAACACCTTCCTCAAGCGTAGCCTTCTTGTCTTCTCTGAAGTTCCACAGCTCTGAAGAAATGTACCTTCCACTCGGATTATACTCGTTTATCTCTAGCAATGCGTTAGCCACTGCTTGGTACGCATTATCCCCCAGTTCATTCTTCAGGGTTCTTAACTTCTCGTCCTCCTCATCTATTACTTCCTGAAAAAGATATCAACATCTTCAGAGTTCTTTATGTCAAACACCAATCCATAAAACTAAGTCCAAAATGCATATAACCACATCTGCATATGCAGCTGGCAGTTGCACGCATGCACATGAATGCAGGTCTTCTGCCAATAACACTTGGATATTATCTAGGATGGAAGATTAGAAATCGATTTAGATTAGTGATATACAGGAGAAGCAATACCACTACAGTTTCTTCAGTCTCAAGCTTTATCCGTTTAAATGGATGCCAATCTGGGTCCTTAAGATATCCCTCCCAGAGCTGGATAACATCAACTGCCCATTCCTCCAGATCTTCTTGACAATATTTTAGTTTCATTGCTTCCATAAACGGTTTGGTATCAAGCTCCCCCATTCTCCTAACACCAATATGCGAGCTCGTCTCTCTTAAATTCTATAAATACAATCAATTTAAGAAAAGATCAATGAGTGATTTTCTGTTATTAATGCATCCAATCAATCACTCTAGCCTACCATGTCCACTATACTCTGAGTTTATAATAATGTAAACTCACTATATGCAAGGAGTCACCTAGCTCCTCTATGAGACTGGTCAGTTCAAAGAAAAACTGTTGGGGTATAATAGATCTACTTACGCTTATCAATGCTCTACGAGCTTCTTGAAGCTCATCATTGCTCTTCCGCTCTTGTACAACAAGATCTTGATTAAATTTATTTAAGTGTTCAAGCTCTTCTTCCTGCTCACTAAGGTCTCTGAGGAATGTCTCCACTTTGTTGAGAATTTCAGAACCACCGTCCAATTCCGTGTGTCTCATCAGGCCCAGCTCTCCTTTCAGTTGCTCGACTTCCAATTCAAGCTCCTGTTTCTGATCAAGCTCTCTTTCTAGTGCATCAATTCTCTTATGAAGCTTTTCCGTTTGCATCTAATGTTAAAAACACGGGAGGACCCTGTCACATAAAGTAAAAGAGCCAACCTTTTTAAAGAAGGAAGCATTCCCAGACCTTGTGATCTACAGCCAAATTTTGCACTTTCTCTCTGGTTCTTTGTTGTTCCACAGCAGCTAGTTGAGCGTAACTACATATAGCAGCATTCTGATGATAATGACATTGAAAAAAATTTAGAAGAAGAAAAGGCAGTCCAGAAATTACTTTAAGAAATGAGCATTTTAGAAAATACCTGTTCAAACTCTTTTGCCAATATTTTCCTCTGTGTTTCATTCTCAGACTCACGTTTCGCCAACTCCAGTTCTTTAATTTCAAGCTTTTTTATCTGAGACTCCAGCTGCGCCTTTTGCTTTTCATGATCAGCAAAGATTCTATTGAAGTGATCAGTCGATTTTTGTTGTCTTCCCATCAGATCTTCAGAAATGTAAAACGCATATAAACACAATCTATAGAATTATGAACATGGTGATGCAACCATACTTTCTTAAGGGGATATAAATTCATGAAGCTAGTAGGAAAAGCTCACCTTCAGTGTAACCACGGAGAATCTTTTCTTTTTCTTCAGTCTCATACTTAAGTTTAATTGAATCCTTTGAATATTTTTCCTCTAACTTCTTCAACCGACTTTGTTTGGTCTCAGCCATTACGTTAAGAGACTGCAGAAGCTTTTGGTCTTTCCTGGCCTCTTCATCTGCAAACATAGAAATACTTTTGAGGTCACCCCTCTTCCGCAACTTTTCTCCTAAATAGTTAGCCCTATAGTAATCATCAGCATTAGCAAGCCATGCATAAAGGCTCGAGTCAGTAGCACCACAAAGCCAATCCTTTTTCCCATGGCCATCTGCTTCGTAAGCCTTCTTGAACACCAAAGCATCATTAAGTCCGTTCCAGTCTCTATTAAATTCGACAATTCCGGTTCCTGAATGACCAAAACGGTCCCACACGGTACGAACTCTAATTGGGTTGAATCCTCTTCGGATTAATTCTACCTTAAGTTTTGGTCCACTCTCTCCAGTACAAAGCAGACCATCTTGTGTCACTGTGGGAATATTGACCAAAATTCCTATCCCAGCCACAGTCACAACTTCCGTTAGTAGAGGCTAAAATATATCTACATGTAGTGATAATGACATAGAAGATGGGGGTGCCATTACCTTTCCAAGGCCAGACAAGTTTCTCGAACTGATCATCATAAACAGGAAGAGTAACAACGCCTGGTTGTTCAGCAGGAGTGGATGCTGCTCTGGCTTGTAAGCGCTTGGAGACTCTAGTTGAAGCGTAATGAGCAAGATCCTTAAGAAGGTATTTGGCAAGAGCACGGTGGCATGCCTTCTCAGTCAAACTTCGTTTCTTGGAATTGCTATTAGCAACTCCAGAAGCATGCTGAAGGATGTCAATATAGAGACCAACCTTCTTCTTGTTGTCGGGGCAATAAGGACACAGGAAAGTACGGTAGGAGACTTTGACCTCGAGCTTTCCACTCTTGAGATTTTTGTAAAAACTCTTTTCAAAATCGCTCAATCCGTCCTTCATCACCGCCTCATAGCGCTGTTTTACATCTAAGCGCTGCATAATCTAAGTACATTGTAAGTCTTACAAACTTGGATTTAAGATTAAAAATCAAACTGATAACAAACACAAGTCAAGCATGTAAACCATTAGCGATACTAAGTCTATATGATTCAGCTTGATTAAGATAGACCCCGAAAAATACAGTTTAATCACTCATCGTCTCTAAAACTCATCTCTATTAAGTTCTCAATGGAGACATGCATGTCTGATTTATGGAGACATTATGGATGAACAATGGTGGGATCTAATGTTTCCCTAGTGTTCACCAATCGAACTTACGAAAATGGTGAAACTGATCGGGGGAAAAAGGCAGCAATAAACAGAAAAACTGGGAAAAAGGAAACGATGAATGTAAAAAAGCAAAATGGGTAGAGAGGCATTAAGAACTGTACCTGCGAAATCGGGTGGTGGTGGAGAGAAGGAGAAGAAGAGAGATAGGCTCGAAAACACTTCAGCTGGTTCTGGAGATCATACTAGGTAGGATATTTTGTGGGAAATCCACTTATTTAGTCTTCGATTTCTTCTCTTTTTCCTAAATTGGTGTTTCCATTTCCGAGGGAGAGATATAGATACAGCCAAAAAAAAAAAAAAGGGAAATTGGAGAGATTTATTACCTCTATTCCAAACACCTCTGTTTGTTTTCCACGCGCCATGTTCGCGCATGAAGTCAAGGGTTTTGTGAACCGGACAAAAATAATCTGATTTGCTGGTTTTCCGGTTCGGTTTATCGCTGCCTTTTGCGATTGAGAGAATTGTCATTGACAAATGAGAGAGAGACAAAGCTATTCTGTTTTTTGAACGAGTCAATTGCTTTGTAAACGAATTTACCATTTTCCTTTCCTTTTTCTTATAGAATTGATTCCAACCATTCGTAGTTCCATGTTTTGTCGGAAATTATTGAGATTCCAGTTTCCTATTTATTCAATACCTAAAACAATAAAACATTCGAAAGCATCAAAGAAAAAAAGCATTCCCTGCAAAATTATAGTATATCTTATCTTGTTTTGGTTGACCGGTTACTGAATAACTAGACATGAAGAAGATCGTTCCTTTGATGCTCATTGCCTTGGTCATACTGTTATCAGCTCCCATCAAAATTGCTGGTGATAAAGTGATGGCCCAATGCATTGATGAGATTGGCTATTGCTTAAGTGCCATTCATAAAAATACCAAATTGCCGGGTTACTGTTGTGGGAAACTTGTAAAGCCACAACCATGTGCATGTAAGTATTTTACTCAGAACCCTGTGCTACTCCCCAAAGTTCTCAGAGCTTGCCGTGTTCCTCATCCTAAGTGTTAAATAATCCTATCTAGCAAATTATAATATAGATACATAGCATACTTATCATATTTTGATCTGGATTTGTAATATCTACTGATTTGTATCGTAATCTAAATTTTTACTTGGTTTTATGTATCCCTGATTTCTTCTATTTATTTGGCATGTAATAATGACTCTCGAGATCTCTATGAATGTATTAAAGTTTCTATTTTGTTTGTTCCATTCATGACTGTAATCAAAATTCACTATAAACAAAAACACACACACACACACACATACATAGAAATAGAACAATTGTCTTTTCCAGATGGAGACCATGACCATACGTACTAAAAATTATGATTTTACAACGGGAAGAGATATCGAAACTCGTATTCGTGAGGCCTCACTTCTACCAACTTTTTCAATTGAGATTCGGTACCTTTCTTGTTCAACCACTCCATCGCTGTCTCCTTGAGCTGTAAGGAACGCTGGACTGGTGGTAATTGGCTGCATATCCATTCAATCAATGAACCTTCATCTTCAGCGAAATCCTGCAGACGCTTATGTAAGAAACGTGGAATCATGATCTTTTTTCTTCCAGAGATACCGATCGATGCTTCTAGATACTCTGTTCTAGCTTTGATTAGTTCATTCACAACATCTTCTGCTGTATATACTCTTAACTGCATGCATCAAATATATATATAGGTGAATTGGTGACGAACAAAGATGCTTTTGTTACTTGTTAGCAATACTTATCAAATTTGAAGGGATCAGGTGAACTTACAGCAGGTGAGGACCAATCTCCACGACAAAGCACGAACATCAGGTTCGGTTCTACGCATCGGAATCCATACCGTTGCTGTATCCTCGCTTCACTTTCACCAGTTGAGACCTTTTGGTTTCGGAGGAAATAGCAAAAGGAATCATTTTAAAGAAAGAACAAAAAAAGGAATCATTTTAAAGATTGGTTATTACAACTCCACAGGATTATGATATGAACAAATATAGTATGTGTGAGTTCTTACAGATTCCCTAGGTTCGCATGGACTCTGCAAGATCCAGTCTTCAATATCTAGAGTAGACAGTTGCATGCCTCCCACGTCAATTGTTGCCTAACAACAACACAAGTCAAATTAACTAATTTTTGAAGTATGAAAACTTTTAAATGTTTCTTGTTATGTATTATTTATCATGTTACCAAAACACAATAAGCAAATATGGTCAATTTGATTAACCAGTTTTGAAGTATGATAAAATTTTAAAATGTTTCTCGTTATGTATTATATACCATTTTGAGAATGGTCAGTAGTTTCTCCTTTGATGAAGGTAGTCCGTGTTCCAGAAATCCCTGCAAACAAACGAAGCTTTTAATTCCGAAGTCTTAGCTTTCTTTCAACTAAAGATATGGAGTGAGTTTTTTGGTGTTACATTCATGACGCAGGCGTTGTAAGTATTGATCCAGAATGCCATCTTTTTCTTGTGGTTCAGGAAACTCAAATCTACTTTGCTCAACTTCTCCTTCAAAACCCTACGTACATGCATGTGTGTTTATATTATACAGAGATTATATTGTAATCTCACAGATAATTAATAAGTATATTGATATTTAAGTACCTCAAATTGACAAGAGAAGTGGAGCAATCGGATAAACGGCTAACATCAATGGAGGTGCGAGTGATGTGGATGAAGTTCTTATACTCTCCTATGTCTCTAAGAGAAGTCCCCATCACAGCTCCATAAGGATCAAGATTTGAAGCGTTATGGTCATACACCGATTTGCGTTTGAAAGAAGCGTTCCTGAGGTGTGTGAGGCTCAGCTTCGAAACGGTTTTTGACCCTTCTCGTTCCCGCGATGACCTGTTGAGTTCTAAATAGATTCCCATCAAGCACTTCACCAGATCCTCCGATACTACATTTGCTGTCGTCTCTTGCACATTCTTTTTCTCTTGCGTTCTTGATGTTCCATCAGAAAAAGTCGAAGAGTGGATTCTTGATGAGAACTCCATGGCTGATCCAATTGACGCATGAGCACGAGGACTGTTCATTTGAATATCCTTTACAACACGATGGTCTTCATAACTCTGGGACTTGGACCTGTGCTTTAGATCCTCAGATCTCATCTTGATAATGTTATTGTCAGCGTCGCAAGGAAGATGATTCTGCCTTTGTAGTAGTCTTTTAGGATTCATCATCCTCTCTTCTTCTCCTTCATCAATACTGGCTTCAAGTTCTTCATTCTCTTTTTTCTCACTATACACATCAAGTTTCAGGTCTTGAATTCGTTTCTCAAGACAGAGTATCTCTGCCTCAACAGTCGCAAGCTCCTCTATTAGCTCTTGAACCTACACAAACTTATAAAATCAAGTTTCTTTCATATTATTCAATTTTTTCCATTATATATTGTGTTTTCTTCTATAATTAACACTACATAAGAGGACTTGCCTGAGGAGGAAGAAGCAGTAAAGAGAGACGAGGCTGAGACATGACGGGGCCACGGTGCATGTCACGTAGAGCCTTGTTTAATGCCTGTTCGTCCTCTAGCTCTCCTTGCATTTTCATCACTTCTTTTTGAAGAGTTCGCTTTTGCTTCTTCTTTATCAAATCATTCTTCTCTTCTTCGCTCTTATGCTCCTTCAGTTTTGATGTCTACAACAAAACCGATCATAACATATGTATTATTACATTAAGCAGATCCATTTCAAAGTCACTCGCCAGCGAATGGAGTAAGCTAGTTATCCATATCCTTTTATGCATAATTTAGGTTCATCTCTTTGTTGAGTTTGACTTACTTGATGTTGGAGGAGATGAGGGTGACGACGATGATGATCAAGAAGAGACGCAACGCTAACTCCATTTTGATCTTTGGTTTCGTCTTCCACAAGTAAGTCTTCCAGCTTCATTGTTGTGTTGTCTGGAGTCTAGAGAAACGAATTAAAAGCAAATTTGGTTAAGCATTATTACAAGATGGAAGATAAATGTGTTTAGGAAGATAAACAACAGTCGTGCGTGCCTGCAACCAAGTCTTGTTGTTGTTGATTCACCCTATTGGTTTGTGTTTTTCTTTTTTTTTTAAGGATTAGGAGAAAGTCGTCACGACGTGAAAGCCATGAACACAAAAAAAAGAGTTTGATTCTCAGGTTAGAGATGAACTATTTTAATTTTAATAATAAAAGCCTTTTTTACCTTATTCTTTAAGTATAACATTGCTTTACCATCTCTGTTTGACTACCTATAAAAGTTTGATGATGGTGTGTGATTAGATTTTAGTCTTTGCTTCTTATAAACACAAGAGCTAATCGTTGACAAACAAACTAAAGAAGACACAGGAGCTACCAATTAGAATAAAAAATATTTTGAAATCAACAATTTCGGTTTTGGTATGAGCTCGGTTAAAATAACCGGTCCAACCGAAACCTATTAAAATATCGTTACTACTTACTCTACAAATCCATTTTAGTTTCCCGCTATACTGAAATTGGACTTGCCGCCGAATTAGAAAGCCGCAAGACAACTCTCACTCTTCTGTGTATGTCTCTCTTGGTTTGGGGGAATCTTGGGTGTTCGAGGATTTCATTTGCTTTCCGTTCGTAGAAGATCGATCTCTATCGATCTGATCTTGAAGGAATCACCCATAATCTAACCAGGTAAACTCGATCTCGTATCAGAGATAACTAGGGATTGTCTCTTTACTGTGTCATCAGACATTGCGATTTTTTTTATCGTGGGATCACTATATGTTTTGAATTATACCCTTTTTGTTTCTAATTTTATGATGCTACTGAAACTGATATGCGCTTGCCAAAACAAAAATTTAAAGGAGTAATTTTCGTGTAGACAAGGTGTTTGATTAAATGTCTCTACGAAGCATAACTTTTCTACCTCTTCTTTCGATTACTGAGACTTGCTAGGTTTTGTTCCCTCCGATTATTTTGAACTTTCTCAGGTTTGTCTGAACATGTTCTTCAGATTTGAGATGGTTTTGCATTTTGTCTCTGTTTTGACCAGAGTTTTTCTGCCTCTATACCTCCTGGTGTATTATATACCACACGTAAATAATAGTATATAGCCGTTTCTTTTTCTAATTAGGTTTGGAGTCTGAGATTTCTTGAGATACGTCTATGGCTGGCCAAACTGATCCTCATATCTCACTATTTTCTCCACAAGAGGTCCTTCTCCTCTTCACTTGTATGCGTTTCTTTGCAAACTGTCTGCATTGGTATAATTTGTTATCTGTTCATACCAGATTGAGTTTATGGCCGAGGACGAATTGGTGGAGATTGTTCCCAATATGAACATGGAGCAACTCAATTTTATCAGTGTAATAATCTCTCCTGATATATACAATCCTGAAATCACTGCTATGGAAACCTTTTTGTTAATCATGCGATTGATATGTGAACCGATGACAGGGTGATTTTGGTCGGTTCATTCCTCAGATTCCTACAAAGGTGCCTCTGTGGCTTGCAGTGGCACTGAAGAGAAGAGGAAAATGCACCTTCCGGCCTCCAGGGTGGATGTCTGTTGGTAAGACAAAAACAAGTTGCACATTTAGCAGATGAAACTGCAAATTTTTTTTTTAAGGAGAATTAAATGCTCAAGGGTTAACTACTGATGTTGCTTCTTCGATTGTGAACCAGACAATTTGACTCAGATCTTGGAAGCAGAACGGGAATCTCAGTCGACATTTCAGGCATTACCATTTAGTTACGTGGAAATTGCCAGACTACTTATTGACCAGTAGGTTCTTCGACTCTTCTTCCCCCTTGCATTTATAACATCTGAAGGTGCTGATGAGTATTTTAAAATCTCACTCTTGGCAGCGCACGTGATGATATTCCAGACATGTTTATGGTAATGTCATACATCTGCTGGGATTTGTCTTCCATTCTAACCATGTGTTTTGAATCTAAGAAGCGTTTACAGCTGTTCATGAATTTTGTATAGGTGAGATCCCTGGTTGAGGACATCAGAGATGTGCGGCTTCACAAACTAGAGACTAACTTGGGATCATTTCAAGGTACATCAGCAGTAAAGGTAATTGTTTTTTATTGCTTCTTCTTGACGCTACCTTTTCCTCATTACCTCTCTAGAGTGATTCCAATAATAACAGTATCCTTAATTTGAGAATGTAGATCTCTAATGTATCAGCAATGGAAGTGAACATAGTTCGCCCGTTTGTGAGAAGAGCCTTAGAAGCATTTTATAAGCATGATAAGCCTGAGGCTGATGTAGACAGAGATACTAGAAGTAGCAGACAACAGCGTGAAGCCAATAATGAACCAAGGGTAAGGCTCTTCACACTCCTCACTCATTTTTTGTTTTCTCTGCTTTTTAAAGACAAATACAAACCGCAACACATGTTTTACAGAGACCTCTAAGGCAACGCTAGAGAGCTTCTTCCTACGTCATTGCCTAAGTGAGAACCAGTCAGGTATCTTCTGTGCCAATGTTGGTCGAGCTCCAAAACCATCAACATGTATTGGTATTCTAATATATGCCTTGTTTCTCCTGTGCACTGGTACCTACTCTTTTGGTATTAAGCATCTTTGGGCTTACAAATTCTAAAATAAATTTGGATTCTGGTGCGACTAAATGTTCATTTTAATGAAGATGGATTCCAAATAAATATTTGGTACGTGGGATAAACAAATGTCAAATAATATTGATTAACACCACGTCTGCAGACTGCAAATACGAGTCCAGTGTTTTTTTATGTAATAGAGCACAAAAGGTTGAAACATACGAACTCATAATTCATAAAAACCACCTAGTTTAATAAGATCATCTACTAATTATGACAAAATGAAATATTCTTATGTTGAAAACTTCAAATGTGGAGTCAAAGGTTTTATACTAAAACAGTAAACATACTGATGATAACAAAGACACGCAATCATATTATGAAGCGTTGATATAAGTTTTTTAAGATTCATAATGAACGTAGACGCCTTTTCGTCCTTATTATCCATCGCAAACTGGAACAACGCTTCTCTGTTTCTTCATGCTACAATCAAGTGATACGTCCCTCGTCACGTTGATCTCAGTCTTCTCTACCCCGACCAATTCCGATGTCCGTCACCGACAAGGATCTCTCCGCCGCTTCATCCTCTTCTCCTCCGGCGATTCCGGTCAAGGTCATTCCTCTCCAGCATCCCGACTTCACGACTTCTGATCCTTGTTGTCCCTCCATTCCTTTCCAAGGTTACTTTTCCCAATGGACGGCGATGATCAAGCGTATGACTTTCTTCGACTGGATCGATAATGTGTTTCCTTGCTTCCTTTGGATTCGAACTTACCAGTGGCATCAATACTTTAAGCTCGATCTTATGGCTGGTATCACCGTCGGTATCATGCTTGTTCCCCAGGTAATTTTCTTTTTCTGCATTCTCTGTCGCTTCCTGTATCAACTGTTCTTTGGAATAACTTTTTTTGTTTTTAATGGATTTGAGCAGGCAATGTCGTATGCAAGGTTAGCTGGGCTTCAACCAATCTATGGTCTATGTGAGTTCATTGTGATACAGACCCTTTTTATGAATTCATCATTCTGAAACTAAGCTATTTCCACTTTTGCTTTTAGTTATTAATCTTGTTTGGTGCAGACTCCTCATTTGTTCCGGTATTTGTGTATGCTTTATTCGGCTCATCCCGTCAGCTTGCAGTTGGACCTGTAGCATTAGTTTCCCTTCTCGTCTCTAATGCCTTGAGTGGTATTGTTGATCCTTCTGAAGATTTATACACTGAGCTTGCCATTTTGTTGGCTTTTCTGGTTGGAATGTTTGAGTGCATCATGGGATTCCTGAGGTAATTTTAGTCTTTCTATAGCTTATTTGTGCAAAAAAAGTCCTGCATTTATTATAGTGTTAGCAGTCGTTCGTTTGTGTTTTCAACTCAGGCTTGGATGGCTTATTCGTTTCATAAGTCACTCAGTCATATCTGGATTTACAACTGCTTCAGCTGTTGTGATTGGCTTATCCCAACTGAAATACTTCCTGGGATATAGCGTTTCCCGGAGCAGCAAGATTGTGCCTATAATTGAGAGCATAATTGCTGGAGCTGATCAGGTGAAACTTTGCCTGAGCTGACATTTTGTTACTCTGTTCCTTTTCTCTATGTCCTTAGGATGGTATGTATCAGTATGATCTAAACTGTTATTTTGGTTTTTCGCCTTTCTTAATCTTACTAGAGTTTTTGGTCTACAGATTCATTTTGGGGTTGCAATTCTTTGTGGTTCAACATACATCTAATTGCATAACTTTATCTGGTTTTTTGTTTTGCAGTTTAAGTGGCCGCCTTTCTTGTTGGGATCAACCATTCTGGTGATCCTTTTAGTAATGAAGCATGTGGTATGAGCCTCTTTTCCGGCGTTATCAGGATAGTTCGTGCTCTCCCTTACTTTTAGTATGCTAAGGCACTGTATTCCACTGCAGGGGAAAGCAAAGAAAGAACTTCAGTTCGTACGAGCAGCAGGACCTCTCACAGGGCTTGCTCTTGGTACAGCCATTGCAAAAGTCTTCCATCCACCTTCCATCTCGCTGGTCAGATTGCTAAAGAAATAAATATTGTTATATTGTTGTGTTTGCAGTAACTGCAAAGTTTCTAGGATTTCTCAGGTGGGAGATGTACCTCAGGGACTTCCAACGTTTTCCTTCCCAAAAAGTTTTGATCATGCAAAATTATTGCTTCCAACAGCGGCTCTTATTACTGGTGTTGCCATCTTGGTAAGACATTATCGTCATTAACTTCATCCTTGTCGACTTATGCTAAGTGCAGCTGAACCTAATCATGTGAATCTGTAAATGGAAGGATATGGCTTAAGACATGGAGTAATCTGACTTCTTGAGAAGCAGAAGAACGAGGTTTAGCTGCAGTTTTCACATGTTTCGTGTTTCCTGATGTGCTAGTTTGATTTTTTTTTATCCAGGAATCTGTTGGCATTGCGAAAGCACTAGCTGCAAAAAATGGATACGAGCTGGATCCAAATTCAGAGGTATTAACCCCTATAGAATAAAGAAAATTAAGTGCTGGCCCAATTGATTCCTTAAAAGTTGTTATACTTGTTTCTTTTTTTTCTCAAAATTTCATGGTCGTTGAGAGTTCTAACTGTTTCTCCCATGACTTGACAGTTGTTTGGTCTTGGTGTTTCAAATATATTTGGGTCATTATTTTCTGCATATCCGACTACAGGTATGTTTATCTTAACTCTTGAGATGAGCAAAGCCATAACTACTGAATGTAATGTGTGTGTTTCCTATTGAAAAATTCAAAAGAAAAATGAAAACCTAAGCTTCTTAGTTATAGCTTAAATTTGATGTATCTGTTAATGCTATGTATCATATAGGATCCTTTTCTAGGTCGGCTGTGAATAGCGAAAGTGAAGCTAAGACTGGCTTATCAGGCCTTATAACAGGAACTATCATTGGCTGTTCTCTATTGTTCTTGACCCCAATGTTTAAATATATACCACAGGTAAGTCTGTGTTGAAAATTTCTACTTCTACTGTCTTGGGCTCTTTACTTCTACTTCACAAAATTTCTTAAAAAAATCTGAAACTCTGGAAAATTCTGAAACTGAAATCTGGCTTCAAATTCCTTCCTGTCTCTCAAATTTTCAGTGTGCTTTAGCAGCAATAGTGATATCTGCTGTTAGTGGCTTGGTAAGTTCAAGTCAACCCACCAATAATATGGCATATGTACTACTACCGTTGGTTATTGGTGAATAAATATTTACATTTACTGTTTCTGGATGGTTTACCATATTAGGTGGACTATGAAGGGGCAATATTTCTGTGGCGTGTGGACAAGAGAGATTTTACTCTCTGGACCATCACTAGCACCACCACTTTGTTCTTTGGAATAGAGATTGGGGTCCTCATTGGTGTGAGTATGTTTAGATTCAACTAACTTTATTTCTTCAGCCCTTTGTTATATAAATGAGTGATGATGTTGAAAAGTAAGATAATCTATACGATTGCTCTCTAAGGACTCACAGACTTACAATGCCTGGAATTTTCAGATTGGTTTTTCACTTGCATTTGTTATCCACGAGTCTGCAAACCCTCATATCGGTAAAATGAGTTTACGTCCTGGCCTAGTATTCAATGTTTTGTTTTCTTAGAATGGCTTTTAACTCATCTTCTTGATTACATTCCATTACATATGCTTTGGCAGCTGTCCTGGGGCGTCTTCCAGGGACCACTGTGTACAGAAACATAAAGCAGTATCCGGAAGCATACACTTACAACGGGATTGTGATTGTTCGAATTGATGCTCCCATATACTTTGCCAACATAAGCTACATCAAGGACAGGTGAAATTGACACTTGGTTCCTGACTTGCCTTGTGTTATGTTCCACATTAAGAGCAAATACGACAACACTGCGTTTCAATTGCAGGTTACGAGAACATGAAGTAGCTATTGATAAACACACAAACAAGGGGCCAGATGCGGAGAGGATATACTTTGTCATCCTGGAAATGTCTCGTAAGTCCAACATTTCTGATTCAGGTGTAGAACCTTACATAGGTGCTTAATCGATAATTGTTTTGGATGTAACGCAGCTGTCACATACATAGACTCAAGCGCAGTAGAAACATTAAAAGATTTGCACAAGGAGTACAAAACAAGGGCCATTCAGGTGCGAACCAGATATCATCATTCTTAATATAGTTCTTGTTCCTAATTTGGAAACACCTAGATGATTGTGTTTTATTTCCAATGGAGCAGCTAGCGATTTCAAACCCCAACAAAGAGGTTCTGTTGACTCTGGCAAGATCAGGCATAGTGGAGCTAATTGGCAAAGAATGGTTCTTCGTGAGAGTACATGATGCAGTCCAAGTTTGTCTTCATTACGTGGAGACACCCACAAATATTGAAGAAAGCAGCAATTCAAGCGTATGGAGAAGGAGTGGCGAGAAAAACTCATCATCCTACGCTGAAGTTAAACCCGACACTAATCTCGTTTTGAAGGAACCATTGTTGTTGTCCAGAGAGAAATAAGACATTCAGCACTCCCATTCTTTTCACAACATAATGTATTGTATGTAATTTTATGTATCAAATAAAACATTCACTTTGGTATAGAAAAAATATGATTCTCATTCCTCTGTTTTTAAGCCGTAAGTATGTTTTGTCTGATCCATGGAAAACCACAATGAAAATTGAAAGCCATAAGAACACATTGATGTTAAAATCAAGCCGTATGATAATCAAATAAACCTAGTCTGGACACGAAACTTCTAATACGACCACCATAGCTTGCAACTAGAATTGCGAACAATATCAACGTAGCTAAAAAATAGAATTGAAAATGCATCAGCCGCCTTAGGGCTTGGGTTGAGCTCTGTCGTTACCAAGAAGATGCTGCTGACTACCAGAACCTTGAGATCGCAATCTGGCGTCGAGTTCGTGACTTAGCCTCGCCAACGTATCATACGCAGCCTCCAACTCCTCCGGATTCATTGATTCGAATTGCTTAGCATCTTCCCACCAAAACCTCTGAGTTTGAGACGAAGAGGCATCATCCTCTTCCTCTTCCTCTTCCTCTTCATTCTCGGAATCCTCCTCTGCGTCATCCGCTGGTGCTGGGTCGGAAGAGTTATCCTCGAGGAAAGTTTTAACAACGCCATTGACAGAAGGGTAGCCGAAGGAGTCCATAGATTCGGAAGGAGGACGGGTAAGGAAGATGGCGATTTTGGTGGAGGGAACGTCGGAGACAAGTTTTGCTGCTTCACGGAAGAGATCGTCACGTAGTTCTGCGAAATCGACTGATCCTGATTCAGATGTTTCCTTGTTCTCTACCTTCTCCATGTGAACCGTCGTCTTCTGCCTCTTGGTATCTCCTCCTTCCATTGTACTACTTACGTTTCGAATTTTCGATTCCCACACTGTCCATTCATTGATTGATTTATTATATAAGAGAGATGATTATGCCACTAACCGACTTTAAGCGGAAAACAAAACCAATCCAAAATCGGCAATGCTCCATCATCCATCCACGTGGACGGTTGACATTATCTTCGTGACTGAACCGAACTCGATTAAATTAAAATTTATACCTTTTGATTATAAATCCCATAACAAAAAAAAGGTTTAAAAATTCATGAGATTATTAACAAAATCTGTTGAAATATATAATCTATGAAATATGATTGACGTAATGATGATTACTAAAATCTATACTTTTAAAAAGAAAAAGAAAAATACCCAAAAGCAAATTCTAACTGAACTTGGATCAGTCGTCGTCTAACGAATCAAACCAATGCAACAAGCCAACAAGTAACTGGTTTTGATCATTGTACGCATAGTCTGTGCTACTGATAAATTATTTCGTAGAAACTAGCAAGTATAATTAATTAAGAGTACTTTTAATCACTGTTTCTAGCTAGTTGAAAACACCAATCCAACTCCATATGTCAAAAGGGATAAAATGATTATGTGTTGTGAAACATGAATACTGTATAAATTAAGAAAAGCACGACTTCATTGATAGATCTCAACAGATAATCTATCTATTCCGGATATTGACGGGAGTAAGAAAAGTATAGATTGCTCTTTGGATAACACAGGTTTCTAGAATATAGACAGCAAATCAAATTGAATATATTATACCTAAGTCATTCATAATTATATTACAACTTGGTCAATAATAAGTAGGTACGTAACAAATAATTAAATCATTCACTATTGGAGGTGGTTCAAGTTGTCTTTGCATGTGCATGAAATTACAAGCCGTGGCCTGATCAGACTTGTTGGTTATAATTGTTGGAAGGAGGGACATAAAGTGTTTGTAGCTAGCTTGAAGGAAGGTTGTTTCATCTTGATATAATTTTGTAGGATGATCACTTAATGCATGTGAAACTGCCTCGTTTTGGTTCTTCGTTATTTCATTAACTAGGAATAATTAAAAGTCAAATTAGTAGCATATTGCAGTTTTTTCCATGCTCTATTATTTTACCCGAAAGTGACTGCAACGCAGCCCACTAGTACTGATATATATATATGGAGATTAGAGACTCGGTCAACGTACTTAACGTGTAAGTGTTGTTACATATATAAATGGAAAGAGATTAGATTAGCACGTAGTTAGCCGTATATATAAGAAGAGCTGCACGCAGGTTTCGTCGAGATTTTGGATTTTTCATGGTTTGTAAACACGACACGTACTTTGGATAAAACATTAGAATAGCAAGAGATAGAGATAAAGTCATGTGTCATGATGAATTGAATGGGATATTAAACATTTCCACGATTTGGTCTCTAGTCATTATAACATTAACGGGCTGATAGCCTAATTAATACTATACGTTACTTTGTGCAATTCATTATGTATATCGAAGCGACGAAGTCTCTATATATTTTTGGATTAAAGATGATAGAGTGAACCAGCCGCTCATATTCATAATCAACTAAAGTTTTTTTTTTTAATCAACCAATTAACTAAAGTTAAACTTTTCGTTTTTGTCAACGTTCATTTTCATTCATAGTTAAATATTAAGACACGTCTATTTCCTTGTCTCCACGTTATACGTAGTTTTTGACTATTCTTGCACCTCTTGCTATCTATATCTGCCTTTAAACCAAACCAAACCCTGAGTCTGAGTGTGTGTGTGGATTATAAGTACAGATCTCAGATCATCGGTTAGTCCGCAACTCCAGTGCTATTAATGTGTTTTCGGACGGCTCAAACTCCCACGTACTCGATTATTGATGTGTGTTAGTAGTATCATATATATAAAAACGTAATTTATTTGGATTGTTCCACTTATCTAAAGAACATGCAAAAATTCAAAAAGAGTGAACTTCCTATATAGCTTTTGGTCTTCTAAAATTGGTAATCTTTTCTACCAGATTTAGTACAAATTTTTCAGCATAGAAAAGTCATCATCATTTACTTGTAGCTATAAACATTCCCAAAAACAAATCAACATTTAACAACATGTTGGCGGCAAAGGAAAATAATTATATAAAGAAACAAACCTACCAAATACTATTTTGTTGCCCATAGCCATACTCCACGGAGTATAAACTATGAGAGAAAAATAGAAATTTGATGTGATTTATTAATATAACACACATACATTGAATTTTGTGTACCACTATATATATACATGCCTACAAAAACTCTCATTAAACTTTTGAGCAAAACATGAAGACTAATATTTTTCTCTTTCTGATCATATGCTCACTCATCTTATCATTTTCCACAGCCGAGCAATGTGGTCGTCAAGCCGGAGGAGCACTCTGCCCCAACGGTCTATGCTGCAGCGAGTTCGGATGGTGCGGTAACACTGAACCTTATTGTAAGGTGCCTGGCTGCCAAAGCCAGTGCACTCCCGGCGGTACTCCTCCTGGCCCCACCGGCGATCTTTCGGGCATCATTTCAAGATCTCAGTTCGAAGATATGCTTAAGCATAGGAACGCCGCTGCCTGTCTTGCAAAAGGTTTCTATACTTACGACGCCTTTATCAGCGCTGCTAAGTCCTTCCCTGGCTTCGGCACCACCGGAGACATAGCCGCAAGAAAGAAGGAGGTCGCCGCCTTCTTCGGCCAGACGTCCCACGAAACCACAGGTAATATATATACTGATTAAAAGTTTAAGACATATATTGTTTCAAAGCACAATTGCTAGCTATTTTTCGGTGTTTATATTATAGTCAAACCTCAGAATTTGTATTTTTTGTTTGTTTTGTTTTGTCTAGAAAGAGTTTTGGATCCAAGTTGACATACAACAAACTAGAAAACTATAGGTTTTAATTCAAAAATTAATATATTTGAAAGAAAGAAAAAAAACCAAATGAAAACGCTAAATGTAAATAAAAATGTTTTGGTGTTAGAACAGATGTTTGCGTTTACGATTAAAACATTATATAAATTATAGAAAACTATGGATTCATCTAGAAAAGATCTACACATAAACACAAATAAACAACCAAGTAACTTAATTACGAATATTCCAATTTCCAAATAATAAACTTAAATAATGCAAGTGTGATTTATTGATGAAACGGATGGTTTACATGGGCAGGTGGGTGGCCTACAGCACCGGACGGACCATATGCATGGGGCTACTGTTTCAAGCAAGAACGGGATCCTCCTTCAAACTACTGTGAACCGAGTGCCGCATGGCCATGCGCACGAGACAAACGCTACTACGGACGAGGACCGATGCAGCTGACGTGGAACTACAATTACGGTCAATGCGGGAGAGCTATAGGAGTTGACTTACTCAACAACCCTGACCTCGTAGCCAACGACGCAGTGATCGCTTTCAAAGCTGCGATCTGGTTCTGGATGACTGCTCAGCCTCCCAAACCGTCATGCCACGCAGTTATCGCCGGCCAATGGCAGCCGTCAGATGCGGACCGTGCCGCCGGGAGATTACCCGGTTATGGAGTGATTACGAACATCATCAACGGTGGATTGGAGTGCGGACGTGGTCAAGACGGGAGAGTCGCGGATCGTATAGGGTTTTATCAGAGGTACTGTAACATATTTGGGGTAAACCCTGGTGGTAATCTTGATTGTTACAACCAGAGGTCCTTTATTAACGGCCTCCTAGACGCTGCTATATGATTAATGATATAATGGTGCAAGCTTTGTATCCAATACGAATAAATATCATAGAAATAAAACTCTTTCCAAGAAGTTACTCATTTAACATGATGTTGTTGCAATCGTGTTTACGTGTGGGCCTTTAAATGGGCTCTGCTAGATGAGATTGCATTGCCAAAAGGTGTATCTATAGGGTATGAATGCTTCGATTACAAGCAAAGGTGTTTGACGATTTCTGTGCGGACTGTGCCGACACGTTTCGTATAACGTGCCGCTATCTCCACTCTTCAGCATCAATTTTTTCGAATGTAAAAGCTACTAGTTGGTATGACTTAACCACCGATTGAGGCCGAATCAAACCAATCTAAGACTCCAGTCAATACTCTTTTCTTACATATGTTTCAATGGTCCTCCAATCAAATTACTGCTTTTTCTATTACAGTAGTGAAAAAATATTTTCACAGAGAATGAATAATTGAACCTGATTAACACAGTACCAACTAAACCAGCATCAAACCGATTGAACGTAATAATCCGGTACACGGCGAATTTACCGTAAAAACGAATTGACATTTCGACGACTGAAACGAAAATATCTAAAAATACAGAGCACCGAACCAAATAAAGGTGTGAATGATGATGAAAAGCCGTTTCTCATTCTTCTTCTTCTTCTTCGTCATCGTTTTCTCTCTCTCCCTCTTCATTTCCCCTCTGATCGCCAGTGAGTTAGGCTTTTGTAACGGCGACATGGCTTTACTCGGCGGCGTTCGCGATGTCCCTGCTAATCAGAACAGTGGTGAGGTCGAGAGCCTCGCTCGTTTCGCTGTTGATGAGCATAACAAGAAAGAGGTTCTTAATCTCTCACCATCTTTCAATTTTTTACATCTTCGTCTCGTCTCGATATGTGTGTGTGTGTGTGTGTGTGTTTTATGCTATTTATAGCCTTGATCCAGAGCGTGATTTGAGTAATTTTGAACGAATTTATCTCTTGATCTCGATTTCAGTTACCAGTAGATCTTTGATAGTGTTATATTCTGGGCGATGATTTCGTTTACGTTGTGGGATTGATTGGTTGATTGAGTTTTTGGGATGACGTTTTGGGTTTGATCTGTGTTTTCACCTTCCTAGAATGCACTTCTTGAGTTTGCGAGAGTGGTGAAGGCCAAAGAACAAGTTGTGGCCGGAACACTGCATCACCTCACTCTGGAGATTCTCGAGGCTGGGCAGAAGAAGCTTTACGAAGCAAAAGTGTGGGTGAAGCCTTGGTTGAACTTCAAGGAGTTACAGGAGTTCAAGCCTGCCAGTGCCATTACCCCCTCTGATCTTGGCTGCAAGAAAGGTATGACTAGTTACTGATAAGGGCATTGTAATGTCACGAGATAGATAAATAATATTAAAAAGCAGAGATTGTGGCTGATAAAGAGTTTGATCATGAATTTTTGGAATCATGGATCAGATGAACATGGATCGGGATCGAGGGAAGTTCCCGGAGATGATCCTGAAGTGCTGCACGTTGCTGAGCATGCTGTCAAGACCATCCAGCAGAGGTCTAACTCCTTGTTCCCCTACGAACTTAAGGAGGTTGTGCATGCTAGCGCTGAGGTATGGCTTTGTTTCATTCATCTTCACCCTTAACTCCACAAGTTTTACTCTTTGATTTCAATTGGAAACTTGTCAGTATTTGACTACACGTTTTGCTAGAATTCATCTTAAAATTCTTGTAAAGAGACGAAATAAGTGTAAGAGAAATCATATTGGCATTTAAAAGTAGCAAAGCCTTTATGTAACATATTGGTTCTCCTTGCTATGAGACTAGAGCCTGAGTCGTAGTGGTTGCGATATTATTGAACTTAGTTGAAAAAACATTGACTGCAGGTAACTGGCGAGGCTGCAAAATTCAACATGCTTTTGAAGTTGAAGAGGGGAGACAAAGAGGAAAAGTTCAAGGTGGAAGTCCACAAGAACCACGAAGGTGATCTTCATCTCAACCACATGGAGCAACACCATGACTAGTCCATTTCCTCTGTGTATGTACTTACGAGTGTTTTAAATAACTCTGTAAGATATTTTAAATTCTGATGTAAACCATAAAACCTTAAAATAACATATCAGGAGAATAAATTAAGTTTCATAAAGCGCATACAATCTTTGATTCATACAATAAATGGAAGCAAGGAAGAAGATTTTGACGACAGGATAAGCATTTTCTAAAACAAACCGCTAAACGCTGCTACTCTATATATCCTATGGTGCTGCCTTAGCCTTCTTCGTCATAATCTTCTTCATCCTCGTCTATCCTCTTACCCAGACTGGCGAGCTGTGCTGGATCCAATTTGCCAATATCCATCATAGGCCAGCCCGAGTATTCCTCTGGGGCCGTGGCTACGCTTGTGGTTGTGCCTGTGGGTGGTGCCAATTTGGTCTCGTTTAGGTCAAGAGATTCAGAGTTGAGATCAAATTCAATGCCTTCTTTTGGACTTTGAAGGTGTTGCTTGGTGTCTTCGTTTGATGCTGCTGAGCCATCAACATCTTTCTTCTCATTCTCTTGTGGTGATGACTCTGATACATGCATCCCAATACTGTCTTCTGGAGGTGGCTGTTCAGCCATGGCAGTTTCTAGTTCCATCTCGCGGTTGAGACCCTCCCTTTCAGCTGCTCTTGCAGCTCGTCCACCACGACCTCTTCCTCGCCCTCTTCCTCTACCACCTCTGCCACTGGGCTTAGCATTCCCCATCTCTTGCTGCAGTGATTTCCACCATATCAATAAGTTCAATAAATCTAAGGAGCTGGAAATACACTATATAAATGATGAAGCAAGAGCTCACCGTTTTGCTTTTCTTATATTCCTCGTCGCTGTCATTCACTTCGTCACTGATGGGCTTCCTGTATTGATAAACCATCTCACATCAGCTTGACGCAGACTATCAATAAATAACTGGGACATAAAAAACCGAAATATCAAACATAGAGACCTAACCTTCTCTTGGAGATGCTGCGATCATCCATGGTAACATCACCATGGCCTTGCCCTTGCGAATGGCCATAGTCAGGCACCTTACTCACAACTTCCCTCAGAAAATCAAACACGTTATACCTTTCCACGCAATGTTTTCTGTAAACAGCAAGACACTTTGATAAACGTGGATGCAGTAGTAGTATCACAAAAGTAGTATGAAGAGAGCTAAAATGAACTTTATACCAAATTTGTGGTATAAAGTTCTGTAACATCAAACAACATCCTCTCGGTGTTGGACGCAGTCAAAATAGAGCCTATGAGTTGGAAGCTCTTCCGCTTAACAACATCATGTTAAGTTTTAAACCACAATATCAATAGTTACGACATCTGAAAGCTCTAGAATTTAACAATGCATTCAACTAAACATGTTCCTTAGGCAACGAAGATGTTAGCAAAAATAAAGGTTAATCAATAGTTTGCTTACAGGTGCAAAGAGCTGACGGTCTTGGCTCCTCTTTCCAGGGTAATCTCATATGTACGATCACAAAGGTCTTGCAAGAACAATTCCAAAGATTTTGCTGTAATAATAGGACATGATGTTAAGCCAAAAGGTTATAAAATTCCAACAAACAATTGCTTTGAAACTGAAGTCAACAATTACAAGATGACTCACAGACTAAGACAGGCACTGCCAAAGCTATCTTGCCAACATCTTCATCAGCTTGCATAATCTTTTTAATACGAGCCTGAAAATTGTGTATACGCATCAAATGAAGAAAAAAGCCAACCAACATAATGTAAAGCAAATGGTAAAAATGAGAAACAACACCAAGCGCACTCTGTATAATCATCAATCATAATGTTTAAACACCAAGACATTAACAATCAAATGGAAGTCAAAATCTGAGAATGACTATCAAGTATATTTCAGCCCTAAGCTCGAACAAGATAAACCATCATCAACAATATATAACTTATGAACTCATCATCTGCACAAAATCCAGCTAACAAAAAAGGAAGCTTAACAGCCCAGCTTCAACCATTACTATCTAACCTATGCAATCCACCCACCAATAGCTAGAATTCTCGAATTCATACAGAAAAAATTCCACAGCGGATCTTGACAATACATATCCCTAAAGCTGTATAACAACGGAGTCGATGGGAGAAATTGAACCAATTCGCCAGAAATGGGATACCAAATGTTAAAAATTCGTCATGGAAGCAAAAGCCCGAAAAGTGCTGGAAAAATTCGATCCAGAGAACCAACAGATCAAGCAATTTTCGACTTCAATTTGAGAAGAAAAACTTACAGCTGGGAAGCGAGTATCGAGCTTCTTCCTCATGGTATTGAGACACCGTCGAAAATTAGAAAACGCAAAAACCACCCAAAAAAAAAAAAGGAACACCGACCCTTGAAATCAAAAAGTGAGGGTGAATCTTATATACACAAACTCGATTATAAGATCGGAAAGTATTTCTTCATCTACTCCATGGATACGCTCACTACCAGATCCGGCGACGGCGGTTTCTTTGTTACAAATCTCCGTGCGATGGAAAAATAACAATTAAAAAATATATTTAAATATATAAAAGAAATTATTTTGGGTCAAAAGGAAAATAAAACTAAAAAAGCTGGTCGACGACACGACATGGTTATCATTTATTAATTAAGTTTATAAAAATACACGGTGGATCATAAAAATACTCTGAAGACTGAGACTAATCGGATTGTTCAACAACATCTAACCATACACGTGTCTCTCTATTACTTGATTGTATACGTCTTCTCTTGACAGGCTTAATTCTGTAATTCTGTAATCTTCTTCATTTCTTTCTCTCTCTCTTTTTTTTTTTTTTTGGTTTCTTTTTCTTAAGGATAATGCATCCTTGTAAGTTGTAACTTTGTTGGTACATAAATAGGCTCATATACTTTTTTTAGATTTATTTGTCTTTGAGTTGGTTTTTAGGTAATAACATAACTGATTATGTATATACCCAAAGGGTCTAAGTTTATAAATAAATAAAAAATCCAAGTGGCGTATAGTCGTATACATCCAAACAAAATTTTGTGAGATAAGTACTGTTTATACATCATTAAGTTAAAAAAAGTATCTATATATATAAAGTTAACTTTGCTCTCTTCTCCTTAAGCCACCTCATCATCCTAATCATCATCCACATCATTTTATTATTTAATTTTAATAATTTATTTATATTAATTTATACTTTAATCTAAATATTTATACACATGTAAACAAGTTTTTAAAAAAGAAACACGAAAAGTCCTTTCAAACATCATCCACATCCTTTTACTATTTAATTTTAATAATTTATTTATATCATTTTATCATTTAAGTTAAAGATGTATACACATGTAAACAAGTTTTTTCAAAAAAAAAAATGAAAAGTCCTTTCAAATAATAATTATAATAAAATAAATATGTTGGTGTTAAAAAAAAAAATAAATATGTTAAATTAGTATAAAGTAGATTATACTAATATGTATGTTAAATAACAATAACAAATAACAAATATAACAAAAAAATAACAAATAAAAATAACAAACAAAAACATAACAAACCAAAATAAATAGATAATAAACAATAGATCGCCAAATCAATAAATACAAAATACAACAATCCGCGCGAAATCCAAAAAAGATTCTCAACTTTTGGACCAACATATTAAAAGGACCCACAATATTAACATCATCTAGATCTATATTTGGTGGGAGCTTTAATAACACATTTTTTCTACAACTCTCCATAACACTTCTGTTTATGCTTACACATCGATTTATACTATAGACACTTAATTTCTCAACTACTATCGAAACTAAAATAAAATAGATTTTCTATACAAACACAACATGAGATAGAAAGTAAAAATATGTTGTAGTGGAGAAAATAAGTACGAAATAAAACACGAATCAATTACTCATAAACAAAGTAATAAAATTCCCGCGCGTAGCGCGAGCAACTGACTAGTTGTTTATAAACTAATGATCTAATCCCGTTTAATCGGAGAAAGATGCTTAGCCTATTTTTGTTTGAAATTAAAACGATTTTTAAAATATTATTATTTTACTTATCTACCTAGTTTAATCCCCTCGAATACAGTATATACTAATCTTATACATTTCAATTACAAAAAAAAAAAAAATTGAATAAAATTTTCATTTTCTCATTTACATGAAATCTTTATGGATAAAATCAAAATCCAAATTCAGAGCGATAGTGAATATTTTTGCGTACATATAGGCCTGAGTCCTGACAATGTGACAATGCATGCATCTTAATCCTCGACCGTCGATTTTAACTTTACACTTGATCAACGGTGATTTTAATAAGAAACAAAAACAGACCCCTATAACAAGAAAATGAAACCTCTTTTCTCTCTCACACTCACTGAAGGTGAAGTAGAAAGATCAATGGCTCCGACGATCAGAACCATCGGAAGTTTCCGTACTCACCAAAAACACTTGATCGATTTCTACGGAGAAGACTTGATCGTCACCGTTACGCCGACTGCCACCGTAATCCGCCGCTGGATTCGTAGCGTCCGCTCCTACAACCGTAATCACTCAGTGCATCCTCTCGTCGTCGGAGTCGGCGTTCAGTGGACACCGGATAGTTCCGATCCAGATCCTCCACCGGAAACTCTCCAGCTATGCGTCGGTAGTCGCTGTCTGATCATCCAACTAGGTCACAGTTACCGTCTCCCCAAAGTCCTCCGCACTTTCCTTGCCGATCCCAAAACGACTTTCGTCGGCGTTTGGAACGGCCAAGACCAGAAAAAGCTCGCGGGATGTAGCCATAGGGTGGAGATCAGGGAGATTCTGGACTTAAGGCTGTACGTGAAAGATTCGAGAGGGGCTATGATGCGGCTTTGTTCGTTTGAACAGATCGTGAAGGAGCGTTTGGGTCGCGCGGGAGTGAGGTTGGATCCGGCGATTTGTATGAGTGATTGGGGAGTTTACATCCTCAGCCATGATCAGGTACTTCAGGCGTCCATTGAGTCGTGTGTTTGCTTCAAGCTCGCTGTTGAGGAACGTCTTTGGGAGCTGCAAAATATCAAATGCATGTAAAGTCGCTAATCTTGTGATTTGATTAAGTTGTTCTTCACTGTTTTTATCAATGAACGTCTTCTAATTTTTTTAAAAAATTTAAACTTCAGAAATGTTATGGTATATGTCTGATTTGCGTGTTCTATGACATGGTGCAATGCTGTGGTACTTTTTTGTTCTTTTTGATGTTCGTTCCTGACCTGCAATTCTGCAAAGATGTGGTACATTTGAATCGTCGTCTTGTACTCTTTTTCGAGACTTCATGATAACATAGACGAAAATAAATGTTATTTCCATCTCTCACTATAATATAAGAAAGAACCGAATAATTAACAAAAACATGTCTTATAAATTTAAAATATGTATACGCCCACATCTATATAATTCTGTTCCGATGGAACTAGATTTAACCACGAACCAGATCAAGGATATGGCTAAGTTGCGTATTTGAATCATAAGCTTAGATTTAGGATGATGCTTATAATCAACTATAGCATTATCTGAAATGATTCTCCTTCATCAATTCAAAATTTGAGATCTTTATAAAATTATTTTTGAATTCAAATAAATAAAACTTTTTATAGGGTTGGGTTAAGCTGAACGCGTCGTCACAAACAGTATGCACGACGTCTACTCTAGCCCTGGCTACATGCGTCTCAACCGTTCAAATTTAAATTGCATCTATTTTTAAAAAGATCAACGGTGATAATAACATTGAGTACGACACTAAAGAGAATCAGTGACGCAATATAAGTTCTTTAGCCTGCTGCTGCGCATATGCCAAACAGATAGCAGAATCGTTTTTATTTACAATCTCTCCTTCAGGAAAGTAAATGCAAAATCAATGGCTCCGACTCCGACGATCAGAACCATCGGAAGTTACGCTACTCAGCAAAGGTTCTCTGTCGATTTATTCGGAGATGTGTTCAACGTCACCGTGACGGCGGATCCCTCGGTCATCGGCCAATGGGTCCACGACGTCCTCTTCAGCAGCCGCCGCTCCTCTCACCCTCTCCTTGTTGGAGTCGGTGTTCAGTGGACACCTTTCGTTAGTTATCGCTCCGATTCCCCACCGGTTAGTTATCGCTCCGATTCACCACCGGATAGTTATTGCTCCGATTCGCCACCGGTTCGTTATCGCTCGAATTCCCCACCGGTTCGTTATCGCTCGAATGCAGAGGCGGATACTCTGCAGCTATGCGTTGGTAATCGATGTATCATCATCCAGCTCTCTCACTGTCACCGCGTTCCGTTGGTCCTCCGTCGTTTCCTCGCGGATCCAGATAACACGTTTGTCGGTGTTAGGAATTATCAAGATGCGAAAAAGCTAAAGGGATCTAGACATCAGTTGGAGATTGTGAGGCTTTTGGAATTGATCGAGCACGTTGTGGATTCGAGAGGAAGGAAGTGCCTCAAGGGTTGTTCGTTTGGGGTGATTGTTGAGGAAAATTTGGGTTACCAAGGTTTGGGGCTGGATTCGGAGGTAAGCAGGAGCAACTGGAGTGTTGAGAACCTGAGCTACGATCAGATTTTTCAGGCGTCCATAGATGCTTATTGCAGTTTCAAGCTTGGTGTTCTTGACCATCTGTGGGAAGTTTGAGTAAACGTTTTCAATGTTGCAAACCGTCTTTCTTTTGTTTTCTGAGTGAGAAGACATTGTTTTCCAATCGTAACATTTTGTTTATGTTTATTTGCTTGCATGATTATAGGAACAAAATTTACAAAATTTATTTGCTTTCAAAATTGGTGAGATAATTTACGAGCGTGTTGATTAATTTTGTTGGCATTTGATATGAGACAAAAAGAACACACAGAACGTACCAAAAAAAAAAGCATACTAAATATGTCATGTCATGGTGCAATGCTATGTTACATTTATTAAATCGTCTTGTTCCAATCAAAAACATTCGAAACACATAAGCGAAGGTAAATTTTATTTGTCTATCGTAAGTTGTAACTCTGAACAAAGCAATTTATTTCACTGTAGTCCAAGCAAGAACCGAACGATTGACAACAGCACCACTCTTTTAAATTTAACATCCCCAACCTTCTACACGGCTACAAGTCTACAATCATACAAATGTTTTCCGATTTTCTCATCCCACGAACCAGAACAGGGATATGGCTAAGTTGAGTTAAGATATTACTAAATTAATTTTAATTAATTATTAACAGTAATGACCATTATTAACATTAACTATCTTGATCTGAAATTATTCCCTTTAATTCAAAATTTTATAAAATAATTAATTCAAATAAGTAATTATCTAGGGTTGGGTTATGGCTGAACGTGTCACAAACACTATGCACGACGTCACACACAGGGACCCGATGACGTGAAAAGCTAGCCATGGCTACATGCATCTGAACCGTCCAGCTTTAATTGCATCTATTTTCACAAAGATCAACGGTGATAATAACAACGCTGAGTACGACACCAAAGAGAACCCTACTACGATATTTAAGTACCCTCCTCCGACTAGTTATTAAGAGAGAGCAGCAGAATCGATTTCTTTTTTCTAATCTCTCTACTTAAAAGAAAGTTAACACAAAATCAATGGCTCCAAGAATCGGAAACATCGCTAGTTACGCTACTCAGGAAAAGTATCTTGTCGATTTCTTCGGAGACGAGTTCATCGTCACCGTGACGCCGGATCCCTCCGTCATCGGCCAATGGATCCACGACGTTCTCCTTCGCCAGCGCTCATCCTCTCACCCTCTCGTCGTCGGAGTCGGCGTTCAGTGGACACCGTCTGGTTATCAATACGATCCTCCGGCGGATACTCTGCAGCTATGCGTGGGTTATCGATGTATCATCATCCAGCTCTCTCACTGTAACCGCGTTCCCAATATCCTTTACAGTTTCCTCGCGGATCCAGAAACGACGTTCGTCGGCGTGTGGAACAGCCAAGACGCGAGAAAGCTAGAGGAATCTAAGCATCAGTTAGAGATCGGTGAGCTTTTGGATTTGAGGAAGTACGTTGTAGATTCCACAGGAAGGTGGAGCTTGAGGGGTTGTTCGTTCGAGGTGATTGTTGAGGAATGTTTGGGTTATCGAGGGGTGAGGCTAGATCGACAGGTAAGTATGAGCGATTGGAGTGCTTACGACCTTTGTCACCGTCAGATTCTTCAGGCGTCGTTAGATGTTTACGTTTGTTACAAGCTCGGTGTTAAGTATCGTCTTTGGCAGCTTTGAGAAAACATGTCTATGTTGCAAGCTTTTGAATCTTTCTTTTTTGTTAATGTGAGTGACAAGAAACTGTTCTTTTCTTTCCACTCGTTGAATTTTTCCTCTTTTTCTTCTTCAAGACGGTTGTTCATATCTTTCCATGTGTAATTAGGAAAAAAAAACAAATTAGGAGAATGGTTAGAAAATGGATGGATTAATCTGAGTTATTTATCCCATATAGTGTTGATTTAAAATCTGAGTTAATCTATGAGAATAGCTAGGATTACGTCCTATATTCTTACGAAAACACTAGATTCGGACCCGCGCTATAGCACGGGGGAAAATTACCGGGTTTGTAATCCTTTGTACGTTGCGGAATAATTTATTTGTGTTTGCTTTACTTTATTATGATTATTAATTAAATTCTATCATTTTTAGATTGTACTTTTTGTGTTGGTTTCGAATATGTTCAAAATTATTTAAATTGTATGATTTTAGTTAGATTGTTAATTTTAGAACAATATGTGACATATATACATGTATAAATATTATACTATGAATCATTTTTAAAGTTTAGGGATTGACCCGCGGTATACCGCATAATCATAAATACATGATTTTAACTTGGACCTTTCATGCAGTTTTGTAAAATTGCAAATCTCTAGAATAAACAAATAAAGAGCCAATGATTTCTTATTTCTTATCGTGTTAAAATGTAAAATCTGTGTTTATGTTACAATTTTCTGGTAGCAGAAACTTATTTATATAGATAATATTTTCTTAGAGTTAGGTTAGCGTTGAAAAAAAGATTAGCTTTATAATCAAGCCAGAAATTCGAAACTATTGCCAAATAAATATATTAAAGATGGTTGAAAATGAATTATCCCGTAATTGGTGTGAAGATCATAGTTAATATAGGAGAAAACTATACATCTAAATATTAATATAAGATATTTAAGGAACATTTTGTTTTGAAATATTATGGATAATTTGATAAATATTTTATATTTAATTTATATTTCTGATTTTTAGGTTAATTTGTTAAACCAATATACAAAATCATACATTAATGTATTTTTCCTTAAACAAATTAAGATTAATGTACTTTCCAAAACGATATTGATGGTTTAATTTGGTAGATTTCGAAATAATATATATGGAAACTGATATTTAATATCTTTAAATTTTTAGTAAGATCCAATTGAAAAATTTCGGGTTAATTTTTTAAAAAAACCCGACCCAAAAAACTTTTGTACTTCTCTTTTACTATAGTAGGGATAGTCGGATATGCTAATATTTTTGTATCAAACTAAGAAAAAGGTAAACTAAATTTTTACCAGACGAATCAAAAAATGAATATTAACCTTGATTTTAAATTTCCATATCAAAATCTTTCTTAACAAATCATAACTAATTTTTTTGGAGACAAGATATTCAGTAATAATTATTTTGCTATTTGCCTATTTGGTGTGTATTCTTGATGATGTGACAGACATGCATCACAATTCTAGACCGTCCGATTTCAGCTGTACAAAAGATCAAACGGTGGAAATATCTCGTGTACGTACGAACTACGAAGACTAAAAAGCACTGTGTAACAGAACATAGCAGCCTTGGACGATAGCGAGAAAAATAAAAAAGAAACCGCTTCTCTTTTCTTTTCTTCTTTCATCCTCCCTCACTCACTCACTGACTCCTCTCAAACCAGAGAAAAAAATCCAAAAGGAGAGAACTCGATGGCAGCTCCGACGATCAGAACCGTCGCATGTTACCGCACTCACCAAGAGCACTCGGTCGATTTCTTTGGAAACGAGTTCATTGTCACCGTGACACCGGATTCTTCCGTCATCAGTCGATGGATTCGCGACGTCCTCTTCAACAACCGTTTCTCCCCTCACCCTCTCGTCGTTGGAGTCGGCGTCCAGTGGACACCGTTTACTTATTACTCCGATCCTCCGCCGGGTGATTATTACGCAGATTCTCCTCCGGGTGATTACTACACCGAACCTCCTCCGGGTGATTACTGCGCCGATCCTCCTCCGCCAGCTGGTGGATACTACTCCGATAATCCAGCGGATGTTCTCCAGTTATGCGTGGGAAACAGATGTATCATCATCCAGCTAGGTTACTGTGACCAAGTCCCCAACAGTCTACGGAGTTTCCTGACGGATCCAGAAACCACGTTCGTAGGCGTATGGAATGGTCAAGATGCAGGGAAGCTGGCTCAATCTTGTCACCAGTTGGAGATCGGAGAACTTGTCGACATAAGGCGGTACGTGAATGATTCCTGGGGAAGGAGCATGAGGGGTTGTTCATTTGAAGAGATTGTCGAGGAATGTATGGGTTATCAAGGAGTGAGGCTAGATCCGGAGATAAGCATGAGTGATTGGGCTGTTTTTAACCTTGACCACGATCAGATTCTTCAGGCGTCGTTGGATGCTTACGTTTGCCATCTTCTTGGCGTTTGGGCTCGTCTTTGGGAAGCTTGAAAATAAAAAGTACTATACCCAAATGAATCAATTGTAGCTTGCGCTTGAATCTTTTCTATGTTTTTTCGTTGACCTGTGGTTTGAAACTTCTTTTTCTAAGCATGTGAGAAAAATAAACTGTTTTTGCTTCTCTCGTTAATTCCATAACTCTTTCGTTTATCACAATATTTGATCTTCCCATTATGTTTTACGGTTTAGTTCAGTTTTTAATTTTTTGGGTGTTGAACATTTCGGATCCTAATTAACACTTTTTAATATCACATTATGCAAGAGTCGAATTATGGAAAAACGAAAGAATCGGCCTAAGGGCAAAAGAGTAAATAGCTCTTAAAGACGCGTGTAACATTGCTTCTTCTTCTAAAATCAAATCTCCTCCCCTTTAATGCCGTCGTCATCTTCGATTTGGACTTCCACCGCCGACACCGTTTAACTCCGATGGTTCCTTCGCCGACGAATCCGCAGCAGATTCAGCAGTTCCTCTCCTCCGCGCTCTCTCAGCGCGGCCCATCTTCTGTCCCCTACGAAGAGTCTGCAAAATGGTTGATCCGGCAACATCTACTAAACCTAATCTCTTCGTACCCTTCCTTAGAGCCTAAGACGGCATCGTTTATGCACAACGATGGCCGCTCCGTCAATCTCCTGCAAGCAGATGGTACGATCCCTATGCCTTTCCATGGAGTCACCTATAACATCCCTGTCATCATCTGGCTCCTCGAGTCTTATCCTCGTCATCCTCCTTGCGTCTATGTTAATCCCACCGCCGATATGATTATCAAGCGACCTCACGCACATGTCACTCCTTCTGGCCTCGTCTCTCTTCCTTATCTTCAGAATTGGATTCACCCTAGCTCCAATCTCGTAGATCTCGTCTCCGAACTCAGCGCTGCTTTTGCTCGTGATCCGCCTCTTTACTCACGACGCCGTCCTCAGCCGCCGCCTCCGTCTCCTCCTACGGGATATGATGCTTCTCTTACACGGCCTTCTTCGGCTGATCAGTCGTTGCCTAGACCGTTCCCGCCATCACCTTACGGCGGAGGAGGAGGTAGAGTGCAGGTGCAGCACGTTCACCACCAGCAGCAGTCGGATGTTGCTGCGGAGGTTTATAAGAGAAATGCGATTAATAAGATGGTGGAGATGGTACACAGCGATTTGGTTTCGATGAGGAGAGCCAGAGAAGCTGAAGCAGAAGAGTTACTGAGTTTGCAATCCGTGTTGAAAAGAAGAGATGAAGAGATCAGCAGAGGATTGAAGGAGATGGTTGAGGAGAAAGAAACACTTGAACAGCAATTACAGGTGATCTCCATGAATACTGATATCCTAGACTCTTGGGTTAGAGAGAACCAAGGCAAAACCAAGAACTTAGTTGATATAGATGTGGATACTGCCTTTGAGTGTGGTGATACCTTATCTAAGCAAAAGTTAGTCTGTACTGCTTCGGATTTAGCCATAGAAGATACTATATATTCCTTGGATAAGTCGTTTCAAGATGGAGTTCTGCCGTTTGATCAGTATTTGAGGAATGTGAGGTTGCTGTCAAGGGAACAGTTCTTCCACCGAGTCACGGGTTCTAAAGTCAGGGCAGCACAGATGGAGGCTCAGGTTGCAGCGATCGCAGGTAGGTTACATTCATGAATGTAATATAGTGGTCTTGTTTGTGGGATGCTGTGTCACAATGCTTTTATATAGTCTGAGATCTACATCTTTGAGGAGAGGAGAATTCTGTGGCTATAGTGTGATGCTGCCTCTTTAAGATTGAATTAAATGTCTATAGACTATATATACACGCCTACACTTCTGTGCACATACAGATTTGAATAGATCCTCCCTGAGAATTTTCTCTGTTTGTGATCTATGACTACTTATGTTTTTTTGGGGGTCTTTGTGATGAACACATTATTATCTAATGAATTAATTGGTTTGAGAATGTTATTACTACCTTGCTTGGTATTGGAACACTTTTGACTACTCTCCTTGGTTTAGTTTATTCATCATGCAGAAGGAAACAAAAGAGTAGATGTAATAGACCTTGCTGAATTGAATCCATTACTCCATTAGGTCTCAATCCATTAAACTTTACTTCCTCTTACTTGCAACTGAGCAACATCCTCTTACTTCCTCATAACTTTGGGTGCCTTTGTTGTTTTGAATAAAAATAAAACAGCTTCCTTCTTCCTTGCCTCTCCTTAGTCTCTTTCCTTGAGAAGTTAGGTAGTACACATTGGCTTGATCGCAGCTGTCTCTGAGAATAATGGTCCTGTTGAATCTTTTGAGTCTATTAACCGCCACTTCTAGCACTTTCCACTTTGTGCAGCTTATGTGTCAATTAACCTCAGTGGTTTCCGCAACACACACTAAAACCAAACAGATTAAGCAAAGGAAAGTTCTAACAAAACGAATCATAATGCTGAGATGTATAAAAACTTGACTCCTCGCGAGAAGTATCAGGGGTTGTTTCCTCCATTTCATATTTTGAGAGAGATTAAAAGAGTTTCAAGGCAAGGGCTTAGTGTGCTTTTGGTTTAAGTGAAAGGTATATCTCATGTGGATTTTGTTCATTAAGCAGACTCGCCTATTACGCTAATAGGCGTACTAGAGTCGACACTCCGACAAGGACTGAAGTATCAGCCTTCAACTTCGTTTGAAACATCAACTCCAAGAGCAATAAACCCTCAAATATGAAATAGGACAAATCTTACTTACCCGCGAATTGTAGTTTGTCAAAAGCTCATAAACTTAAACGCAAACACTTGATATTTCAATATATAAGGTAAACTTAATTTCAATAACTTATGGGGGTTTATAATGATACAACATTGAAAATCTCTTCAAGGAAACATTGAAACCACAAATTCCCAAAGTACTTTGGACAATCTCTGGCATATAACTCGAGTTAAACCACGTCTATGTAGAAAAGATTTTGGTTTAGGTGGTAAGCTCCATGATGGCAGAGACAATATCTCCATCTGCAGCCTTGAGAGCCTTCACAGCCCTTGGCTTAGACACTCCTGCTTGGGTCATCACCAACTCAATGTCCTTTGGCTCAACACCTTCGTCATCAACCTCCTCATCATCTTGAACCACTGCAGCGCTTGAGGACTCACCCTTTGAAATGACGTTGCTGAGATCTGGAGCCTTAAATTGCTCTGCCGCCTGCGACTGGAGTTGAGAGCTCAAATCCTCGATCTTGGCCTCTCCAAAGATCACATATGTGTCTGATGCAGGGCTCTTGAACACATCAGGTTTTGATATGACAAACAAGATCTGTGTTCAAAAGCAATGTAGATCAATTCATCTGAATGTGTGAGTGAGTAAGCGGAATAAAGATTGACTGAAGGTCCAAGAGAAAACACCAACATTCTTGCTCTTCTTGACGGTGACTCGGCTAACACCAGTGATGGGTTTCATTCCGAGCTTCAGCATAGCTTTGCGACTCTTCTTCTCGCTTCTGCTTTGTTTTGACTTACCTCCTGCCTCTCCATCTGCTCCTGTTTTATCAATCACAGCTTAATAATTAATCAACAAAAAAAAACAAAAAAGATCATAACGTTTAGTTCCAGAAACATGACAGCCAACACGAGTCACTGCAAAGATTCTATGAAAACAAAGAACCCCATTCTATAGATGGATTCATCTTAACAAAGTTTGAACGCTAAAATTACCCGATAATTATCATTCCTACAAATTTAACTAAAAGAGATAATAGGACGTAAGCTGTTGTGATCTATACCAACATCCAGTAAATTTGATAAATGAAATGTACAAAGCTTAAAGTGAAACAAAAACAAGAAGACATACCCTCAGCCTCGTCATCATCCTTATCATCGTCATCGGAGTCATCGTCTTCGTTATCATCATCGTCCTCAACTTCAGGCTTATCGAGCTACAACAAATTAGAAGACATAAGCTATGTCAATAAATAATTGAAGAAATGGGAGAAAAATAAATATAAATTCAGATCCAAAGTCTTATAAGCCCTCAAATATTAGCATAAAGAAAAGAAATAAATCACAAACTGACCAAGAACATATCAAGAATCAGAATTCAGTTAAACAATTCACAGACAGTCGTAAGACAAACAAGAACAAATAAACCGAGATTAATGGATAGGTAAGAATAGAAATATCAATTACATCGATCTTTTGTTCCTCCAATTTGGCGGCGAGGATCTCTTTCTCTTCGGTAGTCATGATGTTTGTGTTATTATTGAAAGTGAAGTGAGAGATTCGTGATTCGTGATCCGTGCGGAAACTCTAAAACCCTAGAAACGTAATTTGTGTTAGGGTGGAGAAGACGACTGGGAGTAGTGTTGTTAGTTAATTATTGCAAAAGGAAAATAAAAAAGGCCCAAAAACTTACTGTATGAATGTGGTGATATTATTACACACCTTGTCCGTTGGGCTTGCCAGTTGAAAAGGTTTTGTCGGACTATTCCAAAAACAGCAAAAAGACAAATGTATGAGGAAGGAAACTCAAAATCGCCGTCTGTGGGGATCGAACCCACGGCCACGTGGTTAAAAGCCACGCGCTCTACCACTGAGCTAAGACGGCTTACGTTTATGTTATCTCTAATAATATATATATTTTAAAAATAGGCATTGAAGTTTAATAATTTCCACGTCAGGGAGCTCCATATGTGTCTTCTTCTTCTTCTTCTTTCGCTCACCGGGGCTCTAGGTGGCCGAATCAGTCGATGACTGACGACGACGGCGACCAATTCAACACTGTAGGAAGAGGAAGCATGCCGTTCGTTTCGAGGATACGTAGGCAGACTGATTACAATACATATCCATCTTCGATCCCCATTGTTATTGATAATGGCGCCTCTTACTTCCGTATCGGGTACTTTTTTCCATAAACCCTAAAATTCTCATCGCTAACTCAGTTTTTACTTCAGATTCTAGTGGTTTAGTAATTCTCTTCCTCCCAATTGGTACATACAGTTCATGTTAATTTTTTTTTTGAAATTCTCTTTAGGTGGGCCGGAGAAACTGAGCCTCGTGTTGTTTTCCGCAATATCGTGCACAGACCACGCCACAAAGCTACAGGTCTTTATTCATGTCTACTTTCCCACATTTTCTGTATTTCGTGCTTGTTTGCCTCTTGATTGCTTCAATTACTGGATTGCTGCTCGAGTTACCAACGAGTCTAAAGATATGTCTTAAAGTACTAGAGCTGAGCTGCGTGAGATTTTGGCTGTGATTGAGTGATATATATATGAATATGCCTTATCTTATTTAGCTTAAAATTTGCTCTGCTTCTAGATTCTTATCTAGGTGTTTATCTTCATGTCATGTAATGCTGTAATGATTTGGTATTTTCTCTAGCACAGGTGAAACGGTTACTATTGTTGGCGACATGGATCCTGCAATGATGAAGTACTTTGATTGCACTCGCTCAGGACCACGTTCACCTTTTGATAGCAATGTGGTTTTTCAGTTTGAGACCATGGAATATGTAAGGATTCTATACCTCTTTTATTCAATAACGAATTGTAAGGTCTTCTGTTTCAGGACTTTCTTGCTCTGATCGTTTCTTTTTGTGAGCTTCTGCTCTTTACCATTTTTGGATTTGGGTTGGCTTGTGTTACTGTTTATCTCGTATTCCAACTTCTTTGATGTTTATGCTCATTAAATAATGCAATCACTGAAGAAACCATGGCACTTGTCTAATTGATTCTTCTGCTTTTTAGATTCTTGACTTTGCCTTTGATCGTTTGGGTGCTAATGGATCAGGGGTATGTCCGTGATCTTTTTTTTCATCTTGCTTTTGAGTTTTATCGTACTTCTTGTAAGAAATTTGTCTCTTCACTTAACGTCATTTGATGGCAGTACAGATTGATCACCCGATCCTAATCACTGAATGTGCATGCAACCCAGTTCAATCTCGAAGCAAAATGGCAGAATTGCTATTTGAGACTTATGGAGTGCCTGCAGTTGGTATGAATCTGAGTTATTTATTTGGTTTTTCAATTTGATTGTCTTCTTGAACTAAATGTTTGATGGTAATTGTGGAACCTTTTGTGTATTGCTTTCATTAATTCATTAACCCTCATGTTGTCACAGCATTTGGAGTGGATGCTGCTTTCAGCTACAAGTACAATCAACTACATGGAATTTGTAAAAAAGATGGAATTGTTCTCTGTCCTGGATACAATACAACGCACGCTATTCCAGTATGTATATATGACTACTGTGAATGCAAGCTGGTGTCAAACCTGTTTATTTTCTGTCTTGAAACAATTGCTTCCCTGATATCACTTAGTCATTAGTCTGATAATGCTTGTATGTCTTATTGATCTGGTACATGATTTCATTGGTTATCAGTTTGTCGATGGAGAACCTATTTATAAAGGATCCTGCCGAACAAACATTGGTGGCTATCATGTCACTGATTATTTAAAGCAGCTTTTGTCACTGAAGTACCCTTTTCATTCGTAAGTGCTTCCACTGATTGGCTCTATCTTACAATGCAATTACTCACATTTCAAAATTTGATATGTTTTTCTCGCCATGTTCAACTTCACAAAAGGTCTAGGTTTACATGGGAGAAGGCTGAAGATTTGAAATTGGAACACTGTTATATCGCACTGGACTATGCTTCTGAAGTTCGGTTATTCCAGGTAAGTTAATTTATTCATTTCTTTCGTTTCCTTTTTTTAGGCAGTCTGTGACTCTAATAAACTCAATGTATATGATCATGTTGACCAGGAAGGAACAAAAGAAGCTGAAGAGAAAACAAGGTATTGGCAGCTTCCATGGATACCTCCTCCCACCGAAGTTCCTCCATCAGAAGAAGAGATTGCAAGGAAGGCAGCTATTAGAGAAAAACAAGGTCAAAGGCTGCGAGAAATGGCTGAAGCAAAGAGATTGTCTAAGATAAATGAAATGGATAGTGAACTGAGTAGCTTGCGGTTCCTTGTGAAACAACTTGACCAGGTTGAAGAGGATGATATTCCAACCTTTTTGTCAGACACCGGTTATGCGTCCAGACGAGAGCTAGAATCTACGATTTTGAAAGTGACACAGTCGCTTAGAAAAGCAAGGGGTGAGCCGAAGAATGAACCAGCTGAGAGTGAAGAGAACAATGATTCTCTTAATAATGAAAAATATCCTCTTATGAATGTCCCCGATGATATGCTTACTCCCGAGCAGGTTTGTTTCCAGAATTGTGAGAAATCCTTAACTTATGCGAGAGTCGGGTTAATTTTCATGATTTTTCATTTTCTGTTTGCAGCTTAAGGACAAGAAGAGGCAAATGTTTCTTAAAACCACAACAGAGGGCCGGCTACGAGCTAGACAGAAGCGTAATGAGGAGGAACTCGAAAAAGAGAGAAGAAATCAAGTAGAGGAGGAAAGACGTCGGTATGTATACCAATTCATTAGTCAATGTTAGAACGGAAAAAAAGGAGCCTAAATAATTCTTTTGTTTTTTATCTGTCGTCTGGTTGTAGTGAGAACCCAGAATTTTACTTAGAGGAGATGCGAGCTCAGTACAAGGAAGTGTTAGAGAGAGTTGGGCAGAAGAAACTTCTGAAAACAAATGGGTCCAGTAACGGGAATAATAAGTCTGGAGGTGTTGGACGAGGCGAGCGACTAAGTGCTGCACAGAGGGAGAGAATGCGTCTGCTGACAACAGCAGCCTTTGATAGAGGGAAAGGCGAGGATACATTTGGTTCTAGAGATGAAGATTGGCAGCTCTACAAGCTTATGAGCAAGGATAATGACGATGATGATGAACAAGCTGATTCAGATGAGGCTGAGTTGGCTCGTATAACATCTAGACTTCAGGAAATTGATCCAACATTTGTGCAGAAAGTAGAGGGTGAGAGTCTGACATCAGGGGATGTGCCACGGGTACGCCAATTAACAGAGGAAGATTACAAGATAGTGATTGGTATTGAAAGATTCCGATGTCCTGAGATCCTGTTTCATCCAAACCTTATTGGCGTTGACCAAGTAGGCTTAGATGAGATGGTCGGTGCATCGATCAGAAGGCTACCACACGAGGAGACAGAGTTAGAGAAAAGGTTAACGAGTTCGATACTGATGACAGGCGGATGTAGCCTTCTTCCGGGGATGAAAGAGCGGTTGGAATGCGGGGTAAGGATGATAAGACCGTGCGGATCGCCCATAGACGTTGTTCGAGCTATGGATCCAGTGCTGGATGCATGGCGTGGAGCATCTGCGTTTGCTGCAGATTTGAACTTCTTGAAAAGCGCCTTTACTAAGATGGATTACGACGAGAAAGGTGAAGATTGGCTTCGAAAATATCAAATTCGATACAATAAGTTGTGATTCCTCCCTTTTGCTATAGGATTTGATTAATTGTGGATTTTTCATATATGATTAAGCTTAAGCTCTCTGTTTGCCTATGTTTTAGATTTGTTTGGACAATACCAAAAATTTTATAAATCATAGAAAGAAAAAAAGAACTTTATCATATTTCCATAGAGTAAAGCCCAACACAAAATAGCCCAATTTGACCACTGGTGAGTAAGTCGTCTGCGAGACAGAGAGCAGTGAGGAACCAACCCTAGCATTTCGAATCTCGAGCTGAGTTTCTTGTGGATCGGAATCATCAGTAGCTCCGTATAGAGCGATGTCTAGCCTGAGAAGAGCCCTGCTCGTTGCAGGGAAGACGAGGATCAACCTCGAGAACTGCCATTTCATCACGGGAATCAACTACAACGGACTGAGCGTGAAGCAATTACAAGAGCTCCGTGGGATCCTCCGTGAAAACACAAACACGAAGCTCCTCGTGGCCAAGAACACCTTGGTGTACAAAGCCTTAGAAGGAACCAAATGGGAATCTCTGAAGCCATGTATGAAGGGTATGAACGCTTGGCTCTTCGTTCAGTCTGAAGATATCCCTGCTGCGTTGAAGACCTTCATCAATTTCCAGAAAGAGAAGAAGCTCTTCGATAACAACTTAGGCGGTGCCGTTTTCGAGGAGAAATTGTACGCTCCCCAAGATTACAAGGTCATTGAGACTATGCCATCTCGCTCCGATGTTTATGGTATGATGCTCAGTTCTTTGCATTGGCCGGCTTTAGATCTCGTCAATACGCTGCAGGAACCTACACCAACGGCGACAGAGAATGAGACTGTTGCTTAGAGGAACTTTCCCAGTTTCTTAGATCGAAAAATTGCTTCAGCTGTCAGTCTATTTTGTGTTTGTGCTTCCAGATTAAACATAATATTATTGGAATTCTCACTACCAATTTGTTGCGGATTACTCCATTTTGATTTTGAGCTTCGATTTCAGAATCAGTGTTTCTGGTTTTTTTGTTGGAGTGCATTGAGCTTTGCTTATCATATTCTGTTGTCTTCTAAGAAGAATAATGGTGAAATAACATCACTTGTTTGTGGACTTGAAATTCTCTTTTGCAGCTTCCCTTATGACTGATACTGTTTAATTCAACAAGATTCAGATAATTATTTCTTAAACCAATGACCTCAAAATGTATTGGGCCATAGGCCCCCTTAGCCAATATTAGTTTTGTCGGTCTTGTATAGCTACACTAGGTTAATCGCATATATTGTATATAAGGCACTGCCTCTGTTACGTATCAACATAAGAAATTATCTTCTGCAACTTCTGCAGCTTCTATTGTTTCTTGTCATGGTATCAGAGCCACAAAACCTAACTACTAAAAGGTTTTTGTGATCTATTCTGTGATCTCTCCTTCCGCTACAAGAGATTACGTTTTCTTTTTTTTCTCTTCTTCCTCTTCTTCTTTTTATTTCTCCTTACACCCTATTTTTTTTCAACGATGAGTACTGAATCTGCTCTTGCACATGCTGTGGCTACAGCTCGTATTGAAAGCCGTCGCACTATATCACCATATGACCTAAGCTCTGGAGATAATCCCGGTACTTTGATTTCTAAACCTTTACTGCGTGGACCTAACTACGACGAATGGTCTACAAATTTGTGTCTAGCTTTGAAAGCTAGAAAGAAGTTTGGCTTCGCCGATGGCTCTATTCCTCAACCAGAAGATACTCATTCAGATTATGAAGACTGGATTGCAAACAACGCTCTCGGGGTTTCGTGGATGAAGCTAACAATCGATGACTCTATCTCCACCTCAACGTCTCATCTTGCTGATTCTCATGAGCTTTGGACACATCTTCAGAAACGATTTGGTACTAAAAATGGCCAACGTATTCAACGTCTCAAAACGGAATTAGCAACTTGTCGTCAAAAAGGTTTAGCCATTGAAACATACTATGGCAAACTTTCTCAGTTGTGGAGAAGCTTAGCTGATTACCAACAAGCTAAGACTATGGAGGAAGTTCGTAAGGAACGAGAAGAAGACAAACTACACCAATTTCTCATGGGCTTGGATGAGTCTGTTTACGGTTCTGTCAAGTCAGCTCTTCTCTCACGAGTTCCTCTTCCCACGCTTGAGGAAGCCTACAACACTCTAACTCAAGACGAAGAATCAAAATCTCTAAGCCGTATGAATGAAGAACGACACGATGGTGTTAGTTTTGCAGTTCAAACTTCTGCTCCAGCTCGAAACTTCACCACTACCACGAGTTCCACTGATACTCGCGTGTGCTCCCACTGTGGCCGTAACGGTCATCTCGCTGAAAATTGCTTTAAACTTATTGGTTATCCACCATGGCTCGAAGAGAAGCTCCGCGCTAAAAACACTACATCGTCTTCGCGTGGTTCTTCTTCCTCTAATGGCACCGGACGTGGCTCGTTTTCATCCTCCGTGACTAAACCCAAACCGAATATGGGTCGTGGTTCTGCAATTAATCATGTTGCTGCAGGTTTTCAGACCACTTTGGCTCCACATTCTCAGTCCAATTCTACTTTGACAGAAGATGATCGTGTTGGGCTCAGCGGTCTCGATGATGTTCAATGGAAAATGTTGGTTCAAATACTTGAAGAACGCAAGCTTGCATCTCGTGATCAACATCCTGGTAAGTTTTTTTGTGAATCTTGGATTATTGATTCTGGAGCTACAAACCATATGACTGGAACACTTTCATTTCTCCGTGATGTGTGTGATATGCCTCCGGTTCTTATTAAACTTCCTGATGGGCGATTTACAACTACTACAAAACAGGGACGAGTCCACTTAGGCTCTTCTTTGGCTCTTAAAGAAGTATATTTTGTTAATGGTCTTCATTGTCACTTAATCTCTGTTTCACAGCTGACTAGGGATCGTCACTGCATTTTTCAGATCACTGATAAGCTGTGTATAATTCAGGACCGCATCACTCTGACGCTGATTGGCGCTAGTATGCAGCAGCAAGGTCTGTATTTTTTTCGTGGAGTTGAAACAGTAGCAGCGATGACAACTTCAGGACTCACTACTTCTCAATTGTGGCATCGTCGTCTCGGCCATCCTTCTTCTAAAGCTTTAAAGTTGTTATCGTTATCTGGTTTTACTAGTAATGATTTAGATTCAAAGACTTGTGATATTTGTATTCAAGCAAAACACACACGGGATTCCTTCCCGTTGAGCAGTAATAAGACAAGCTTTGCATTTGAATTGGTTCATTGCGATCTTTGGGGTCCTTATCGGACCACTTCCATCTGTGGTTCTCGCTATTTTCTTACACTTGTTGATGATTACTCAAGAGCAGTCTGGATATATCTCTTACCTTCTAAACAAGAAGCCCCCAAGCATCTTAAAAACTTCATTATGCTTGTGGAGCGACAATACAATACCAAAATCAAGACAATCCGAAGTGATAATGGTTCTGAGTTTGTTTGTTTAGCAGAATTTTTTGCTCAGCAAGGTATTATACATGAGACTTCCTGTGTAGGAACTCCTCAACAAAATGGTCGGGTTGAGCGCAAACACCGACACATTCTTAATGTTGCTCGTGCACTTCGTTTTCAAGCTGGTCTTCCTATTGCATTCTGGAGTTATTGTGCTCTTGCTGCTGCTTATCTTATCAACCGAACACCAACTCCACTTTTGCAAGGAAAGACTCCTTTTGAGCTTATTTATGGACGTCCACCTCCTCTTAATCACATTCGTATCTTTGGTTGCATTTGTTATGTTCATAACCAAAAGCACGGTGGTGACAAGTTTGCACGTCGCAGCAACAAATCCATATTTCTTGGGTATCCGTTCGCAAAGAAAGGGTGGCGCGTCTACAACATAGAAACTGGAGCAGTATCGGTTTCTCGGGATGTTATCTTTTGTGAAACTGAATTTCATTTCCCAGCTACTCCTGTTGAGTCATCGTCGCTCTCCTCTCCTGTTTTGATTAGCTCCTCTTCAGTTGAGGATTTTTCTACGGCTCAACCAACAACGGTCTCTCCTTGTACTACTACGGAGATTCTGTCTACTGATCCAATAGTTCTTGCTACTGATAATATCGTTCCTGCACCTACTTCTGAAATTGCATCAGTTGCTGAACCTTTGAGTTCTTCGTCTACTATGGCCTCACCTCTTTCATCACCTTCTCATTCAGATGATGAACATTTGGGCTCTCCCACTTCTACGGTCTCACCTTCCTGGTCACCCTCTACTTCCGATGATGTGTCTTCATCTGATCTCGGTTCTCCAGAAGAAAGGGAGTTACCTAGACGTAGTCAACGCCCAAAACGTCCACCGGTAAAGCTCGCTGATTATGTTGCTACTCTTCTTCATCAACCCTATCCATGTGCGACACCGTATCCGTTGGATAACTACATATCTAGTACACGGTTTTCCCCCAATTTTCAAGCTTATCTTCTTGCTATTACTTCGGGTATTGAACCTCGCAGCTATGATGATGCTATTCTTGATGAACATTGGCGTAATGCTGTTTCGGATGAGATTGCTTCTCTTGAAAATCTTGGTACTTGGACAGTTGACGATTTGCCTCCTGGAAAGAAAGCTCTTGGTTGTAAGTGGGTTTTCCGACTGAAATACAACTCCGACGGTTCGCTCGAACGTCATAAAGCACGGTTGGTGGTTCTCGGAAATAATCAAACTGAGGGCGAGGATTATACCGAAACTTTTGCTCCCGTTGCAAAGATGGTGACAGTTCGTGCATTTCTTCAACAGGTTGCCTCACTCGATTGGGAAGTCCATCAAATGGATGTTCATAATGCCTTCCTTCACGGTGATCTTGATGAGGAAGTCTACATAAAGTTTCCTCCGGGTTTTCGTACTAAAGATACTACTAAAGTTTGTCGTCTTCGAAAATCTCTTTATGGTTTAAAGCAAGCTCCACGATGTTGGTTTTCTAAGCTTACTTCGGCTCTCACGGACTATGGTTTTGTTCAAGACATCTCTGACTACTCCTTATTTGTCTTTCACCAGCAAGATATTCGGATTCACGTTCTTGTTTATGTGGATGACTTAATCATCACCGGAACCTCTGTTGATGTCATTGCTCGTTTTAAGGATTATTTGAGCTCATGTTTTCACATGAAAGATCTTGGTGTGTTACGTTATTTTTTGGGTATTGAGGTTGCTCGGAGTCCGGCTGGTATATACTTATGTCAACGTAAGTATTCACTTGATATCATTGCTGAAACAGGTTTACTTGGTGTTCAACCGGTATCATTCCCACTTGAACAAAATCACAAACTCGCTCTCGCTAAGGGTGATACCATTCCTGATCCACTCCAATACCGACGTCTCGTTGGCAGACTTATCTATCTCCTTACTACACGTCCTGAATTATCCTATGTTATTCACATACTTTCTCAGTTTATGAAGGAGCCTAAACCTACTCATTGGGAGGCTGCTCTCCGTGTTGTTCGATATCTGAAATCGAGCCCAGGTCAAGGTATTCTCCTTCGTGCTAATACTCCTTTGGTTCTCACGGCTTGGTGTGACTCGGATTTTGGCTCGTGTCCGCTTACTAGTCGCTCCCTCACTGGTTGGTTTATTCAATTGGGTGGTTCTCCGGTGTCATGGAAAACACAAAAACATAATGTTGTATCTCGCTCTTCAGCTGAAGCGGAGTACCGTGCTATGGCGGATACTGTTAGTGAACTTTTGTGGTTACGGCAACTGCTTCCTGCATTGGGTATTCCGTGTGACTATCCGATCATGGTTCATTCCGATAGTCTTTCGGCTATCAATCTTGCAGCTAACCCCGTTTATCATGCTCGCACAAAGCATGTCGGTCGTGACTGTCACTTCATTCGTGACGAGATTATAAAAGGTGTCATAGCTACAAAACACGTTGATACGAAGTTCCAACTTGCAGATATTCTTACTAAAGCCTTAGGAGGACGAGAGTTTTCTGCTTTTCTTCTCAAGCTTGGTGTTTGTAATCTCCACACTCCAGCTTGCGGGGGGGGTATTGGGCCATAGGCCCCCTTAGCCAATATTAGTTTTGTCGGTCTTGTATAGCTACACTAGGTTAATCGCATATATTGTATATAAGGCACTGCCTCTGTTACGTATCAACATAAGAAATTATCTTCTGCAACTTCTGCAGCTTCTATTGTTTCTTGTCAAAATGTGTTGGTTTTTTGGATATCTGGACAAATTCTACTACCATACCTTCACTTTTACAGTTGGTGTATTGAGTCACTTCCATGGTTTTTTCTACAAGTTCGCATTAGCTATTAGCCCTTCTAATCCCAAAATTGCAAGCCTTATATCAACTATGTGGTTTTTGGATCATTTATGCCTGAAGAACCAGTCAGAGCTGTGCAGCTGAAGTGATGGAACATAAATAAAAATGATTCCCCAACAAAAGAACGAACCTCTCTTGCAACTACACCCCCTTCTCAACACTTGCATCAATGGTTTCAATTCTCATCTTTTTCTGAAGACAACCCTGCACTGTCTTTTGGAACAAATTGAGTTGAGCCGTGTGAACCTTTAAAATTGAGTAATTGACAATAGTGTTTGCCATTTGATGGTCAGGCTTTATACACTATATCGTCTAGCTCTTCACCAAATACAATATATGTACATGTTTTTTCATTTATAAATCTTAGATTGCGAAAATGGGATCCACTTCCGAGTTAGAGAAATCTGAATGATGCCATGAGTTGGAACCGCTCCTGCGCGCACTCTTCACCTTTTTCCTCATTGACCTTGTCCTCTTTGACTTCACCACGTAATAAGTCATAGTTCCAAGAACACCAGCCATTATCACTCCCCCAACCACCGTCACTAGCTCAGCCGCCCACTTGTTCTTACGTCCAACCACTATGTATGATGATGCAAGAAATGCCACAGATGTACACATCGATGCCAACCACATGAGTTTGTTGATCACTTCCACAACCCTCTTCTCAGCTTTTGTCTCTCCTCTCACCAATGTGATCTGCACCACCACAACTGCCAGAGAAGTAAACAACGCGATTGCGTTGAAGATGAAGAAGATCTTGAATGATGCTCGGCCCACCACCACTGCTGATCCGTCATTGTTGTCTCCTCCCGGCACTGTGAATATAGCAGCAAAAGCTACAGTTGCAAACAATACAGCCACAACAGTAACCGAATTGGTTGCATTGTTGATCCCTTCTCTGTGGAGTTTCCTGAGTTCTTTGGAAATGTTGTGCACATTTTTGTTAGTCCTTTTCGTCTGTTCCAGCTGGATATGTACATCGTTCTTGATTTGGGTGACAGTACTTCTCAGCTCATCCCTTGGCTGGTTTAGCTCATTCGCCCTAAGAGCCCCGCTACGAGCAAGACACTCTTTTATGTATGAAGATTCTTCTGAGAGTGGAAGCCCTTCTGCTATGTCAAGCGCTGTCTTGTGTTCCCGGGTTAAAGCATTGGCGTTGGTATCAGGGAGTGACAGCAATAGTTCTACAATCTGCAAGGATATGCCAAAATGTGAACATCCAATAAAAAAATCTCAAAATGAATCAAACCCTCGGGCCTTGCATACCTCTGCTCGTTTTTTCCTGGTGGCAACATGTAAAGCTGTGTTACAAGACTTGTCTGGTTGCATAACAATAGCAGGATCTGCATCGAGCAGCAGTTTCACCACTTCGGAGCTCTGCCCTTTAACAGCCATGTGAAGTGCAGTTTGTCCTTTCTTGTCAACCCGCCTTGCTAAATGAGGATCCTTGGAGAGAAGAGCTTTTATGACCTCCACATGACCTTGTCTTGCAGCGAGATGCAAGGCATTTTTATGGTTAGACCGAGAAATCTCTAGCAAATTCCCAGCTTTGGATAAGAGCTGGTTCACAACTTCTGTATGGCCTCTCATAGCTGCAGACACAAGCGGAGTTGCATTCGATGGGCCAAATGTATGACTAAGCGTGGAATCATGATCTAGCAAGACCTCAACAATAGCTGCAAGAAAAAATAACCATTTGTATTTACATACTGTAGTTTACCTAAAGAAGAAACAGCTAATGAAACTTCATTCTATCAGAAGTCAATCCAAGAGTTTTGCGAGCATTACCATGATGACCTTGTATGGCAGCAATATGAAGTGGATCATATCCAGAACGGTTCTTCTTAGCAATACTCTCTCTACTCGAATACTTCAACAGCTCTTTGACGACATCGAGATGCCCTTTATCCGCAGCAGTGAAGAGGGCAGTCTCTCCTAACTCATTCACCTCATTCACAATCGATGCTCGGATCTCAGCAACTTCAGCATCAAATTCTTCCCCACTCAGAATCCCTTCCATCTGAGAGTTGATATCCTTGAGAATCTGCTGCACAGCAGCCAAATCACCCCGTTGAGCCGCTAAGTGCAGCTCGGTGTCGTTGTGGCGGCCAGTGACTTGCTTAACATACTTTTTCTTGCCAGCTTGATCCATTCTCTTGCCTGAATTAGACAAAACCAAAGCTGGTGCAGTAGCAGTGGCAGAGGGTGAAGGCGTTGGTGAAGGATCTATCATAGGATTTAGATTCTCACTGGACTGTAAAATCATTCCCCCTTTCTCCATATCTCTTTCTCCTGAAAATTTCAACATGAACAAAAAAAAAACTCAAACTTCAACTAACATGGAAGGTCAATTCAACTACCCAGATCTGGAATATATATATTAACACACATCTATCTGAAACTGGGGCAGACTCTAAACTGAAAATTACAATTATTCCGTCAATCAAGTTTATATCATTTTGAGATAATATTACAAAATTCATGTGAAGCATATGGGTGGTTCGGTATTACACAGACAAGACGAGGGACCATGAAGATCACATGTCCGAAACGGTTGAAGATTCTTTCCGACAATTATACAATACAATTACTCAGCTAAGAGAATATATATATGCTACTGCCTAAAAAAAACTGACTAAGAAATTGTTTTCAGCCTAACAAATATGAGTATACAACTTAAATCTCACAAAAATTGGATCAAAAGTTGTAGATCGTATGGACAAGACTGAAAAGTCAAGCTATGTTTTCGTGTGTGTATAATATAAGTAAAGTAAAATTAGAACTATCGGTTACCATCTACAAAGGATGAGGCAGCCATGATGGAGTGAAGCTCGAAGCTGTTAGGGAGAGAAAGGTGTTTGCTACTTGCTGGTTGAGATGTAATTTGGGGAAGGACTAAAAGGAGAGAGAAGCGAAATGGGAAAGTGAGAAGAAGGTTAGATTAGAAAAAAGGAGACTCATCTTCGTGTGGTCAATCGCATGACTAAAATATGTATCTTTAAAAATTCTTTATGTTCTCCTTTTCTTACTTTTTTTTTTGTTTTCTTGATTTACAGAAACCAATCATCTTACTCTATCTAAATTATTGAACAGCCCTCTATAAAATTATGGTTTCGCAAAGTTTCCTCAAGTTCTCTTTTTTAACACGAGATTTGTTAGGAACATGAGAAGGTGTCACAAGACTTACCACCACAACTTTTGTAGGCAACCAAGGTTATGTATCTTACTTTTTGTCCACAAAAACAAAAGAGCGGGTGGGAACCTTAAAGATGAACGGGTCAGTCAGGTCCTTCTTCATTCAGTGATGTTGGGAAGCAGTTGTGGAGCTCAGGAGGTGTAGTTGAAGGCAACATATGTGGCGCTTCTCTTTACAGCTAAATGGAGCATTGTTTTGCCTCTGCAACCAACAGAGGGATCCTAAACATGTACAAGAAATTTGAGTTCGTGGGGGAAGCAAGAGAAAGCCATCAAAGACGATGAAAGTTCAACCGTGATGCTCATACATGCTCATATATATTAGTCTTTTACAATGAACAAAAACACCGTGAAGCTTCTCTATGTACCGTCCTCTTCTCAAACTGGCTGCTACTATATTGCTGCTTGGACTTCATCTCTGGAAGTGGCTTCATGGCTATAGGAAAACTTGATCTCTGATTTAAATCCACAATTACTACATGAGCCTCTACAAGTTAAATCAACAAATCTCTTATTTATAGAACAACTGGAAAAGTTACATAATCCACAGAAAACAAATAAATAAACAAGGCAATATTTCCAGCATCCTAGTTTTCGTCAACTAAAATGAGACTAAACTTGAAAGTACAAGAGTCACCACCAAGCACTTTTTATGTACAGAAAAAGGTGATCATCCAACCATCACGGTCAGAATTCAGAATCACAACCAATAGAGTAAATCACATACAAGCTACCAACTCGTCCGCCAGGCAACCATCTTCTAGAGCAACATGTTTCAGATCAATGATGAATTGATCCCGAAGAAACCCAAAACTGAAAGTTCCATTTTCATACAACCAGACCCGCCCTTCACCTCTGAGAAAACCACCACCATTGCCTGCTTCTCCTGGCAACACCAGATCGTAACTAGAGTTCATGTACAACATGCCAGAGACAACATTTTCATGAACTTGGGCGAGAGGACTGATATGAATTCGACTATTCAACAGCAGCTCTTCTTCAGCTGAAAAGGGAGATCTGATGACCACGTGATTGGGTGTCCAGAACACAGGAGGAGTTTGCCGTGATAAGGACAAATCCTCTACTTTTCTGCATATAATGCCTCCAACGTCATCGTATTTGACCAGATATAACTCCATGTTCCTTCCCTCACAAAATCCCTGCCGAGTTCAAGAATCATTTACAATGAGCAGCTGAATTGTGGTTCCAACGGAGATAAAATCTACTTAACAACACAATTTACACAACCATCATCATCACAAAGGAGAGAAACAATGAAAGATTGTTCTTTTCAATCATAGCCTTTTGCTACAAAGTAAAAGCCAAAACTTTACATTCCCTTTACCTTAAATCAGCCTTTTCTCAATCTCAAAACATTATCAATGATATTATGATAAGCTGAAATCAATGTTAAGGAGATGAAGTTAAGACCTTCCATAAGCCTTGTAATGGCTTAGTAGGCGTGGGTGAGCAATCAGCAACTTTGATAAAGTGTTCTGGTTCCCACTTAGTCCTCGACGCTTGCCTCTCCTTCTCCTTCCTCCTCTGTCTCCTTCTGTCACCGCCTGGGCTCGTCTTATTCGCTAATTGAGTGTACATTTCCGAAAAATCGGGCGATGAGACCAAATCATCACTCTCGTCCCCTGAGCTCTTCTGCTCTTCTCTAGGATTGTTAGTAACATATCGATTCTCCTCCACCATGATATGACCATTCCCCATGAAATTCACATCCACCGGGACGAGATTTGCACTCGAAGAAGCTTCGAATTCTTTAAAATCATCCCCAGATCTAAGATTATCACCGCCACCGAGATCCAAGAAGTTCTGAGATCGTCCCTCCGACGAAATCCCCATCAAGAGAAATGGCGTCTTCTTAACCTGATAAGTATCATCTCCGGAGGCTAAAACTCTAGATCCCAATACAAACGACGGACCCCAATCGAAGAAAACAAGAGGCGGCGACGAAGCGGCGGGATTTGCTCTGCCGCAGAGACGCCAGAATCCAATTAGATTCTCAAATCCCTTGAGAGTCTTGTAAAGGAGTCTATACGCGACTTTACCGTTTCCCCATTTCTGGATCTTCGTCTTCTTCCCCCATCTGCGATCGCACATAGCGTGCCAGATTTTGCCGTCTTCCTGACACAGCGAGGCGAAGCGTTTCGATGTGCAGGCGAAGCTGGAGATCTCTGCCGGTGTGAGGAAAGACAAGATTCGGAGCTGGAGATCCTCGGGAATTTCGCAAAATGGAAGTGCAAATGTAGCCATATTTTTTTCCTCAGACGAAACGAAACTGTTGTCGGAAAATTATCAGAGACTTTGGTTTTGGTAGATTAACAAGACAAAACACAACTCTCTTCATGTAGTTTGGTTCTTTCTAATCAATCGCATATTCGAATCTGTGTTCCAGTTTTTCCCATTATTTACAAAATTAAACTCCAACTTTATATATTTATTGAAATAGCCCTCTATGGAATTATGGTTTCACAAAATTCCCGATCTCTCGCTGACGCTGGCCTATATTATCGGGATATCACTGACGGCAAAATAATTTGTTTTTTTAATCATTTTTAATTGGTTTTATTCATGGAGAAAATGAATATAATTGAGTTTTATATTATGGTTGTTTTTTTTTTACTTGAGAGGGTAATATATTAATATATTATGGTTGCTTTAAAGAGAAATTTAATATTCTCGTATTAATCGACAAAGACTATATTAAACAACAGAGTTTGTGTATAATTTTTTTTATAAAGCTAAGCTGCAGATTATAAAATTTGAATATGTTTACCTTTATTTTGCCTTTAGTGGTGTTGCTTTTTAATGGCTCGAGAAAATTGGTGGAGGTTCACTAGTAACCTTATAATATAAAACAATTCAGAAAAATGAACACCACAAAATTGTTATTTTATAATTAAAACCAAAACGTCAATTATTATAAAAAAAAAACCGAAAAAAAGATATTTGGAAAAAAAAATTCTTATCCAAAGAGGTAACAGGAGGAGAGTGATAGAGAGAGAGACGCGAAGCTCTGAAAACAAAAATGGCGATAACACCTCTACGAATCACGAACCCATTCCCATCTCTCCGCTTACTTCCCGCCGGAAAGCCCAATGCTTTAAGACTCTTCACCGTCCGCGCCGCCGACGTTGAGTCCACGGAAGAGACTCAATCCGACCCGGAAACAACTCAATCCGATTCCGGCACCGATCCTGATGAATTCGAGTCTCGTCTCTCAAACATCAGACTCAGATATCGAAGCGGAACGGGGAAGAAAGCAGAGGTGAGAAAATCGAAGAAAGGGACATCAACTGGGTCTCCGTCGAAAGGCTCGGGGATGTACTTGCCGCCGGTGAGCTTAAAAGAGCCTGTTTCAGGCGGTTTGAAAGTGGAACTAGGGTTTAGCCCATACAGTGAGAGGATCAATGGGAGGATTGCAGGATTAGGACTCATGGCATTGCTTCTTGTTGAGCTTGCGACGGGTAAGAGTGTATTGAATTATCACACACCTTCTGTGGTGTTTCTTCAGATCTACTTCGTTGCTGCTGTTTCTGCTATGTTTGTCAAGATTGAGAAGGAGAAGGTTAGCGTTTGGCCCAAGGATTAAGGAACAACACACATGATGAGATGTGTGTTTGAGTGTTGCTTCTTTTGTTTATTGAAAATGTGTATGCTTTTTTTAAGTATTGTATGTATTTTGCTATACTCACAGAATTTCAAGATTATGGATATAAAGATTTGACAAGTAAAGGATCTCACTTTGGAGCGATTGTTGTTGTTTGTTGTTAAGTAATATCAAATTCTTGGATCGTCATGATATTGGTGGCAGCTAAAGAGTAAAGACAATGAATGAATGTTCAAAAGCATTTGGTACAATGTGTCAAATGGTATGTTTTATTTCATATTCAGTTGAAGTTGACTAGATGAGATGAGATCAGACTCATCAGTGCATTTTCCTAAGCCAATGTAGCTTAACTTATTAACAGTGAAAGATGTTCAATATTAACTAGAGATTGCTGGCAATACCATAGCCATTTCAACTGCATAACGCCTTGCAACATGTATAAGATTAATGGCTTCTTTTACAGTGAAATATTCATAGTTTATGACTATTTACGTTATTTTTTAACATATAAATAGAATAGATTTTTCTCTTTTGGACACTAGTAAATTCTGTATTTTGAAACGTTCATAGTATTGTAAAAAGGAAAAAAAAAAAAAGAATCTTCTTGAACGGGAAAATTCCATAAAAAATCCCCATGTAATTTTAATTTGGACGTTTAATACCCAATATTTTTGGATTGGAAACAAAATACCTGATTTATTAAACGTTATCTATTTAATACAATAAATATTAAAAATTTGTCTGATTGAACAAACCGCTTAACGGACGTTAATGACATCGACGGAATGAGTAAACCGAGCCTAATGGTTAACAAAACGTGGGAAATTGGGGTTAACAAAAGACTACAGTGTCCTTTTCTTATTTCCCCAAATCGATTTGGGATCTATAAACCCTAATCGAATTTCTCTCTTCTTTTGCTAGGAAATCGAGAGAATGGGGAGCCAAAGCTATGGGTCTGATGCTAATTCAGCTAGTCGGAACTGGGGTCCTAATTGCTACTGTGGTAGAGCTACATCGATTATCAAATCATAGACAAACGATAATCCGGGAAGAAGATTTATCAGATGTGGTGTTCATGGTTTTGTCAACTGGGCAGATGAAGATAAACCTTATGGTTGGCAGAAGGTGAGCTTATTAGAAGCTAGAGATGAGATTCGTCAGCTGAAAGACGAAATGAAGGTGCTCAAAGAATCTGTAAAGGCCACTAATGAACAAGGTTTGACAGATATGAATAGCGTTTTAGTTAACAAAGATGAGCAAGAGAAGTATCAGCTAGAAAATGAAGTGAAGGCATGTAATGAGAGGGAAAAATTGTTGAGGCAGTTCATTGTGTTGTCTTGGGGAAGTTTCATTCTTGTAATTGCGATGATACTTGCAATGGGGAAGAAGTAATTTGGCTTGTGTTGTTGTTCTTGTAGTTTATTGTATGTTTGAACCTGTCTTGTTTGTTGTCTGTGAGTTGAACTCAAGCGTCTGTATGCATCAAATTTCCAAAAAAATGAAAACATTCCGATTGATCCAACATTTTAGCCGTTTAGTTTAAAACATACAAGGATCTGACCAAAAACAACCAAAGATCCCACCAAAACATCATCCTACAAGGTTAATAAGAACCTAAGAAAATACTAGCCTATTTATTTTTAGGTTGCCAAACATCAAAGACTTTGTCAGTCCATGGAGACATAAAGTAGATAGGGGGCTTAGGAGCATCTGATCCTTTTCCACGACCCTTCCCACGAGCTTTGCTACGACCTTTCCCTTCTCCATTTTTAACTCCAGGAGGACGTCCACGAGCCTTGCCTGTGCCACTTGGATTAGCTGCTGGAGGAGCACTGGAATGCTGAGGGTTTTGTGTGGATTGGCTTTGAGAGACAGTTGGTGTGGATTGACTTTGAGCTTGCTCCCACCGCCTTGGTGCATTGTGTATGCTCCATGGATCATCATTATCCTAGCATATCCCCATTCATAATCAACAACATGATTCATATACAAATAACAAGCATATATGTGAATGAAAATACCATCAAACTTACCAAATGCTTCCTTGGTCTCCCTCTTTTGCGTGAAGGTGGTGGGTGTACAGTAGGGTTTTTGCAAGTGCTTTTGTTATGGCCTGTCTGCCTGCAATTTGCATAAGTCACTGTTTTTCCTTCTCTTGAAGCCTTTGTTGGGTTTGTGGATGATTCACCTTGTTCCTTTGTCCTTGCAAATTTCCTTGGTCGCCCTCTCTTTTTCCTTTTATCAGGAACCTCAATTGTGCCTTTGCCAGTTCTTGTCCACAATCTTTCTCCATTTACTGGTTGTATGTTATCCTTGTAGTTGGCTTGCCAGAAAGATGTGAGATAGTGTCTGACAACATAGCTACAAAACAGAAAACGTAATTAGTCCAGAAAGTCCATAAAGTGCATGAAATATTCAAATGAATCTGCAATACTTACTCTTCTGGATCACGGTTGTGTTCTAGTATGACAAATGTTGCATGTGGACAAGGAATGCCTGTGAGAGTCTATTGGTTACAAGCACACGTCCTTGTTAGCAGATTTACACAGAAGCTCCCACTACCTTGTAACACTTCATATACATTCTCACTACTTTCCAGCACTTAACAGAATTATGCAGTCTTCCGATTGGCTTCAATAATACTCATTATGTGGGGTGGAAATCTTGTCTTACATACCCCAGTCTTATGACGTCTCTTGGATATACGCTTCATTGCTTGTCTCCTAACATCCTCAAGCATATTTATTATTGGTTTCTGTCTAGCATCCTTGATGGTTCTGTTGAAACTCTCAGAAAAATTGTTGCAAACATCCTCACAACTAGACCGGCCACTAAAGAAGGCTTTACACCATGTCTTTGGCTCAGTTTTCAGTAAATCATCAAATGCTGGACGATCATAACTTCTCAAAGCTTCCATGTTATACTTGAAGTCTCCTTCTGTTGCACTGTATGCAATTGCCCAAAAGTAACTCTCATGACAGTAGTCATAATATACCTTCCTCCAATTAGCAAAAATATGTCGAGTACAATGTCTGTGTTCTGCATCTGGAAGTAAGTCAGCTACAGCATTCAGAAGACCCTTCTGCTTATCTGAAATAACAGTCAAACCACTACCTACACCCAAATCCAAATCCTCCTTTAGCTTCTGAACAAACCAAGCCCAGCTGTCATTGTTCTCCACTCTTACAACAGCACATGCCACTGGATAAATTCTGTTATCTGCATCCCTTCCAACAGCAGCTAGAATCTCACCCTTCAACTCCCATTTCAAGAAGGACCCATCAAGTCCAATGATAGGCCGACAACAAGTCTTCCATGTTCTTCTTAAAGCCTCAAAAAAAATGTAGAATTTGTCAAATTGTTGCTTACCACACGCTTTTGGAATGGTCACAATCTCTGTATGTGTATCCTGGTTAGAACGCCTAAGTTCAGCCTCATAATCCCAGAGCTTTGCAAACTGTTGCTTTTGTGTTTCAATCACCAAATCAAACGCCATTCTCCTTGCTTTTTGGCAAATCCATTTAGAAACAGAGAGTGTGTACCTCATCATAATCTCATCTTTGATATCAATCCACCTTAATCCAGGCCTTCTTCTTGCTTCTTCTCTGAACATCCTCGCAATTACTCCTTGTTTCAACATCCTAGCTTTCCCACTTATACCATGGTGATGAGTATCTACATAGGTTTGCACCTGCCATTTCCCTGAACGCTTGTGTGAAGAGCAATAGATCTTCCAATTGCAGTTATCATGCCTGCATATAGCTGCCAGTTTGGTTGCACCCGATCTACACAACTTCACATCATAGTTTAACTTCAACACATACCTCAATAGTTGATCCTTGAACTCTTCTCCACTGTTAAACTCTTGCAATAACCACAAATATGGTTCCTTATCCTTAGAGTAAGCATTTCTTGTCATCTGTATCCATGGCTGGATCTGGTCTCTCAGCATCAAAACATTGTCTTTCAAACTCTTCTTCATCTTCTGCAGCAGCTGCATTATTTTCTTCACATTCTATGTCTTCAGCTTCACCTGCAGCTTCAGGAGCAGTTTGTGCGTCTTCATGACCAGTTTCTGCTGCAGTTTCAGTGACATGAATTTCTTCAAAAAATGCTCTGAAACGAGGATCATCATCTTCCCTTCCCTCTTCTATTGGATCTTCTCCCTCATCTTGTACATCTCCTTCAGCAGCATTTGTTCCATCACCATCATCTTCTATCACTTTCTCATCATCTATTCCATCTTCATCAGGATTTGAGAGAGGAAATGGTGCAGGGAGAGACACGACATTGTGGATGTATATATCCACTACACCACCAACAGAATCTTCACGACATAACTCCCTGATTCCACCATCTTTGTCGTCTTCTATAAGTCGGGCTGATCCTTTCTCCTCATGAGGAAGCTTGTACCAAACTTGTTCAACTTCTCCACAGACTCCATTCTTCTTACAAAAATCCTCAAAAATGGACCATGTCATCAAATCGGGATCCATCAACATGTCTTTCTCGACAGACCCTCCAACATAATCGAACACATCATCCTTGATTAATGAATCTCCTCTGTAATGTATATTGAGTTTGAGATGCTCGAAACCACTGTATAAGAAGACATAAGCAATTATTAGTCACAAACAAATACCCAATTTTAGATCCAAAACCCCAAAAATATAACCCAACAATCGATTTTAAAATTGATTCCTACGAACCTAAAATTGATTCACACAAACCCTAAACCCAGAAATCATACACAAAAATCGCATAGAACAAACCCCAGAAATCGAAACCCAGAAATCGAAACCCCTATAATCGAACCCAACCCAGAAATCGAAACCCTAAAAACATAAATCGACATACCTCATCTTCCTATAATCTCTTAAGTGTTACTTGAAACAACGATGGAACTGAGTATAAAGAACTAAATCATCGGTTCCTTATCTGATGAAACGAAGAAGATAAGAGAATTTAGAGGAAGATAAGAGAGAAATTTGATTAGGGTTCTCGATCCCAAATCGATTTGGGGGAAATAAGAAAGGGACACTGTAGTCTTTTGTTAACTCCAATTACCCACGTTTTTTTAACCATTAAGCTCGGTTTACTCATTCCGTCGATATCATTAACGTCCGTTAAGCGGTTTGTTCAATCAGACAAATTTTTAATATTTATTGTATTAAATAGATAACATTTAATAAATCAGATATTTTGTTTCCAATCCAAAAACATTGGGTATTAAACGTACAAATTAAAATTACATTGGGATTTTTTATAGAATTTTCCCCTTCTTAAACCCATTGGGGCATTAACAAAAAATAAACTAATAAAGGCGGCAAAGAAATAAAACCCTCAGGCAGCAAAAACCTCTCGTTACACAACGGAGAAACCCAAAGGGTCGGCGTTGCAGTCTTGTCTCTCTCTCTCTCTGTCTTTCACTCTTTGACCATGGCTTTCTGGGGTGGGTTCACTGTTCCTTTTCGTTTAACAATCATGGATTGAGAAAAGATACCTAATTTTTGTATGTACCACGGAGTTGGGCGTTGATGACAGATTTGTGTGTGTCTGTTTGCAGGAGTTGAAGTGAAACCATCAAAAACTTTCACTCTTAAGGCTAATGAAGCAACAGGAATCAGAAGACTTCACCTTTCCCAGGTCCTTAATCTTACCCTTAATTTGTTTCGCTGATTTTCTTTTCAGATTTTATACTTTGGACGCTTGTTTGCTCAATTTCTTATGCCTGCTCTTGATTTTAACGTGATTGGAAGTTTATAAAAACATCAATTTGGGTAGGGGGATTGGTATGCAACTTATTATAATGGAGTTTAGGCGATTTGGCTGTGTAACTTTGTTACTTCTAAATTGATAACAAAGTGTTTTTTTTTTTTTTGGCTTCTTATTTTTACTTGTCTGATCCTTGGTTGTCTTTGGTTTAGGCGACACTGGGGCATGGTAATGGAACAAACAGAAGCATTCTTCAGTGTATCGTTGGGAACAAAAGTCCCCTCTTCTTATGCGTCTTGACTCCTGACAAGGTTGATTCTTGCCAACTGAATCTGGAGTTTGAAGAAGCTGATGAAGTCATCTTCTCTGTCATCGGACCTCGGAGTGTTCACATCACTGGCTACTTCCTCGGCAGGAGTACCAGTTTTAGGTCAAATGATGATGAATCGTATCCTCTTATCGAACTTATATTAAAGTGAATATGGATAAATTGGTTCGTAGATTGTTATTTGTATCCTTGACTTAATTAAAAGGGAGTCATATGGAGAAGACATTGTGGACACAGACATGGAGAAAGGTAGCAGTGATGATTATGACTACAGTGATAGTTTCATAAACGACGACGATCCCCCTGGCCGTGGTTCACACATGTCTAGTACTGATGATGATGAAAGTATGCCATTCCCCATCTTGTTTTCAGTGTCTTCTAAATTTGAGTTTCTATGTTATGTTTGCTTTGTGGAGTTAACCTTTAATTAATAGTTGTATCTTCAGAGTTATTTTTGCTCTTACTGTGCTTGACTTGTTATTTTTCACTTACACATACATAGCATTTTCAGTTTCTATATGGATATTGTTCTGCAGCCTTTTCCTGGTCTCCAGTTGCATGGGACTTTGTGAGTTAACCATAGTTTTCGTTTAGTTTGAGTTTCTGTACTAGTATCTTTAGTAGAGATAGCAGTATGACACTTCTTCATGCAATATTTTTTTTGATCTGCATCTTACGATTTTTACATGATATTAGATTAGGCATTTGCACATTGTTTATATCTGATGCTGTATGTCAATTCCTTCACAATCTTGTCTCCTTTCCAGTATCTATTAAGGAGATGGCAGCTAAAACGAAAGACAAGAAAGATAATGGTAAACATGGAAGACTAAGGAAGAAGTTTCAGGTCTCTGATTCAGATTCTGATGAAACATCTGCTAGAGCTGATGATTCGAGCAATGAAGATTCTATAGGTAATGAGCACAAGATCTCGAAGGTCCTTTCTTCAGAGAGTCCTCTGCCTTCAAGGGTTACAAGGTCAAAGGCAAAAAGTTCGACTTTGGTAAATGGTGAGCCAAATGCCAAGTGTAAGAAGACATCAGAAGAGAGAACTCATACTAACAAGAATTTAGATGAAAGGTAAGTAAGTTTCACCCACTACAGACCAAAGTCTTAACTATTTATAAATCTGATATGTTTAATTTGTCAGGGTGGATGATAAACCATTGAGTGATGTTAAATTCTCTCCCGTTCAGAAAGGGTGTGATATTCTTTCGAAGAAAAAAAGAAAAAAGGAAAGGTCTAAGAGCTCAGCTATAATTAACTTAGATGACGGAGAGGGGGAAAATATACCTGAAAGTCTTCAGAATGAGAAGCCAGATACTGAAAAGTAAGTGGTACCATACTACTGAACAGTAACTTCTAGCTATTCCGGATTTAGATCAAAAGTCGGGAATGGATTTTTTTTGTTGTTTATTATATAAGTAGATCGATATCCAACGTGATTACACACTTAAATTAGTTGCAGTATTTTATGATGGGTCAAGTGTGCTTACTGGTTGGTTGTTATATAGTGAGTGAAACTAAAAAAGGTACTCCTATGCTTCAGAAGTTGACGTTTTATACAAACAATGGTTTATCCCCATTTGTTTGAAAGTTGATATCATTGTTATATGCATTTATTCCCTCATTGGCATTAAAGCTCACTGTTTTACACTTCACTTAACAGGGGGATCAAATCATCAAGTAATGTATCACCCTCTCCGAATGGTGATGCAACTCTGTCAAAGAAAAAGAGGAAAAGGGATAGGAGAGAGGAAACTACAGATGTCCAGGAAAATCCATTTGAATGTTTAGGAAAAAAGAAACAAGCTATTGACAAGTGAGTCTTTCAAAACTTCAGTTGAAATAATGCTAGAAGTAAATTGAATTATTTGCAAATACAAGGCAAACGGTCTAATAAATTAGTGGTTTTGTGACAAGCTTCTGTCAGAGTTGTCTCTTATAGTTATTCTTTTGGGTTTGAGTGCATACTAATTTGAGTTTTATCGGTATTTATTTAGGTTATAAACGAGCGGTGTAAATTTGTATTTTACATAGCAAATAGGAACATAGAGAAAGAAATTGATACTAAGAAACCACTATAGACTGGGTTCCTGAGACAAGCTTCTGCTGAATTGATCTCTTAGTTTTTCTTTCGGGTTTGAGTGGATACTATTTTGAGTTATATTGGTAGTTAGGTTATAAACTAGTCCTATAAATTGTATTTTCCATAATGCATAGGAATATCGAGAAAGAAGCTGGTATTAAGGAACCACTAGAAATGGGGACTTCATCAAATGGAGTGATCATTGAAGAGATTGAAAAAGGAAAGTTAGATGGAAAATCAGCTGTTAAAGGGAAAAAGGTGAGCGTTTAAGACATCTTATCTCCTTCTACGCCCTGTGCTATCTTAATGTTGTCCCAATTCCCATTACCGTTAAGGTTGGAATTCTTTGAGAAGATTGATGGTTGTTTCAGGTGAGTATACTCTATACTGGGACTTTGAAAGACACCGGGAAAGTATTTGATTCAAACTTGGGAGAAGCTCCACTAAGATTCCGCTTAGGTAAAGAACTAAAGATTTCATAGATATTGTAGAATCCTCATTATAATTGCATGTTCTCCCATCATCCAACACAATTAGCTTTTTGTTTGCTTTCTTTTATCATTAATTTTAATGCTGCTTTCAGGTGGAGAAAAGGTCATAGAAGGTCTCAGTATTGGTGTTGAAGGTATAGTGCCTTAACCCATAGATACTTTCAACTGGAAATTCATAAATTTTAGTGCCTTTTAAAGAATACGGCTGCATTTCTAATTCTCAGGTATGCGATTTGGTGATAAAAGAAGACTCATAATTCCGCCATCCCTCGGGTATGTCATAATGGTAGTTGACGGTGCCTTGATGATTCATCTCAGAATAATATAACTAAGTTTACACACCTTTGTGTCTCTTGCTCTAGATATGGTAAAGACAGTCACTCAGAAGAGGGTTTTAAGGAACAGGTGCCTAAGAATGCTTGGCTTGTCTATGAGGTGGAGGCGGTAAAAATCAGATGACCTTTTAATACAGGCGTCTACTTGTCTTATGGGAAAATTCATTTGCTCTTCCTCCTGCTTCCTGTTTGTATTCTTTTTCTGGAGCTTGCTTGAATCTTACAAAACTCACAATTTTTCTGGTTGTTCATTTAAAGTTATTATCAAATGAGTATTGTTTCAAGTATATTATTGGTTATGGCTATGCTTAGGTGTTCGTTGAAGCATGATACTCTTATTCATATTGAGAAGTAAGACTTAGGGCCAGCAGACATTGTTTATAGAAAGCATAGTGCAGGAATTAAAAAGGACCAGATTCTTTTGACAGATCAAAACTGAAGCTTACAACGTTAAGTCATCTATATATACACATATTTTTATACACATATGGTAACAGAAGACTTCATTGGAGGATGATGAGGCGCCAATGGTTGATCGTGATCAGTGGCAGCTACTGTACTCTTTCCGGTAGAGGAAAATTGCTTATGTTGGATTCCATTTTGTTGAATGTGAGGTTTGCAATGGCTCTATCGATTGAATTCGTTTCAGATTCTATTTCTTCCTCTCTACTCAACCTGCAATCAAATAACAGTCACTTTGATCAGTATAATCATAGATATCCATAGACCCGGAAGAAAGTATAGATTTTGATCCTAATAATACACGGATGATTTATAGATCAGAAAAAGAAGTGAAGACCGTTACCTGTTTCCATCACCATAATCATATCTGGACGTCTGCATAAGCAGCTTGTCTGAGTTAGTGCTGACTGAATCTGATTTATCTTGTGAGCACCGTGCAAGTCGGTAAAAGGTATCCCGGAAACATTTACGTGTCTCATCGGTTAACTAGAGAGAGTAAAAAAATGTTTTCGTTAAGGACAAAACCTACAAAGCAAGTCCAGTGACTGGAATCTCAAATGTAAGGTTGTAGTCAAAATCGTGGATAGCTCACCTTTTGTGAAGCCCTTTGTAGATCCTGCAAGACGAGTTCTTCTGAAGACAGTTCATCCCCATAGTTTGATTCTAACATGTTCTCTTCAGACAGATCCGAGATTGAAAATGGAGCTTCCTCCTTTAAGCAGAAACAAAAAAAGGCAGATTCTTAATATTTAGGATCAGAAACCACAATAGAATCAGCTTGCAATTTGACAACTGAGACACCATGTAAGGAGTAAAAATTAACCAATATCTTACCTTGAAAGACATGTCATGACAATGGAACATAGGGACTTCCCTACCACCATACATAGAAGAAGAACCGACACTGTTATTGCTGCTGGAAGCACGATGTACATCTCCATCATCCCCTGGAACATCCTCCAAAATTGAACTTCTTCAGTAAACCGGAAAACCAAAGAGAGAAACAACAATTACATCGGAAAACTCACAAACCTATGCAAATTGGTAAGTAAAAAGATTAGAATTGAGGGCTGTACAAGAAAATATCATCCATGTGTTCGATTCCTTCGAAATCATCGAGTGAGGAAGCACCGTAGAAAGCCTTTGATCTCTTAGACTCTTCTTCTTCTTCACTCGTCCTCATACCCATCTGACTATACAGCAAACCTTGTCCATTAAAACCATCGTAATCGAAACATTTCTCAGCAGCTTCAGGAGAGCTCATGCTCCATCCACCCCACATACCAGTAGATGGGTATGTCTCTGATGATGATTCTTGATAATTAGGCACAACGAGCTCTTCAAAGTTCCTTCCAGCATAACAATCCATAATCAATCGATCGATCTATAAACCTGATTAACAAATTAAGCTCACTACTTTCAGAACAAATCCAAAATATATGGCTTGATTCAAATCTAACAAGGAAAGAGAGAGAGAGAGAGAGAGAGAGAGAGAGAGAGAGAGAGAGTAACTCACTTTGTAGTGAACGGATGAGAGAATTTAGACCAGACTCAAAATCAGAAACTATCAGATTAAGTAAGATGCTTGGTTCAAAGATCAAGACAAGCCTTTGTTTAAATTTTCTTCAACTGTAAGCAAAAAAAAGACCAGAGAGAGAGAGAGAGAGAGAGGAAGATTGTGTTTGTATTGTTTCAACTTCCGAGGAGGTGAGAGATGGCAGCACAAGTAAGAGAAGAGAGAAGAAAAGAAAAGAAGCGCGTGAGAAAAATGGCGCGTGAGGTAGATCTTGTTTTCGTGGCTCAGAATTCATAGACGAGATTTGTGGCTCAGATCTTTCCTCCATCTAAAGCGCTCTCCTCATTGGTCCACGTGGACTCCCATATCTTTTCTTGTCTCCAAAGTCGGCATTGGAAAGATTAAAACTGTGCAAGTTGCAGAATTTCATGGGCCTACTTCTGTGTCATTCCGATAATGACCTTCTCCTACAGTGAGAGGATAACGCGGTTGTTCGAGGACAGACTCGTCATTTCCGCGCCGAGACGTGTCTTTCTTGGCTGATATCTAGCGCACACGTGGCACTCTCTTTGTGGAGAACAAGACACGTGGCATGTGATTAGCGGGTGGAATACCACGTTGGGAGTTTATTATCCAGCTGAAGCGCATAATATTATATTTTGTTCAGACAAAAAAAAGCGCATATTACAGTATAATGGAAAAATGGCATCTTATCTTTCAAGGCTTGCTTAGTGGGCCGAGGCTGAAGCCCTTTAGATGAGATATTTAGTTGCAGCAGTGTTTTTTTTCCCGGCCTTTGAGAACTTCATTATACTAATGAGTCTACGAGCTTCTTCTTCTCAAGGATTCGGAGACGCAGGAAGATGTTCAAGAACACGTTTCAGTCTGGGTTTCTGTCTATTTTGTACAGTCTAGGGTATGTTTTTGTTACTTTCTCCTTCCACCCTTGAATTGATTCGAATCGATTGATATATATTCTTAATTATGGAGGGTTCTTCTGATTTCTTTTCGTTTTGTAGGAGCAAGCCTCTTCAGATATGGGATAAAGAAGGTGAGCTAATGATAATTATGTCTTTTCTATATTTCACATAATTGAATCTTAGGTAGTGTGATTTTTGTCCCTGATCAAGTTACTGGTACCTTGTTCTATGATCTGAGCTGGAATTTCCCTAGAAGTTGATCAAATTCAGGGTTTAACTAAAGTATCTATATTATTCTTCTTTTGATTACTAGTTGTGGATGGTCATGTGAAGCGTTGTCACGATGATGACATTCAATCTAATGTGCTTGAAGTAGTTGGATCTAACATCCAGTCTACTTACATTACATGTCCTGCTGATCTTTCCGCTACTCTTGGTATCAAACTTCCTTTTTTGGTCTTGGTTGTGAAGAATGTGAAGAAATACTTCTCTTTCGAGATTCAAATTCTGGATGACAAGAATGTGCGCCGCCGTTTCAGAGCTTCAAATTTTCAAGTCTGTATGTCTATCCCTTTGCTTTTTCAGTTTTCTTCACTAGTTTCCCTTTCTGTAGTTTCTATACTGCCCCTTAGGTTCCTGGTTATATCTTCTTCAATCAATTGGTAATCAGTTTCTTAGTTTGATCTGATCTTTGTTTTTGACTCAGTATATTAATAGGTAGCTTTTCAATAATGTTTAGTTTACTATACTGACAACAGTTGGTAGCTTTATTTGCTGCCAACTACATTAGATATGCTGCACCTTCTGTATGTAATTATGTATACCAAAATCAAAGGGCTCTAGTATTGATGTTTTCCTATCGAACAATTTTTGTTGCTGTAGGCTGTTACTAGAGTAAAGCCATATATTTGCACAATGCCATTGAAGATGGATGAGGGATGGAATCAAATCCAGCTTAACTTAGCTGACCTTACCAGGAGAGCTTATGGGACTAATTACGCTGAGACATTGCGAGTTCAGGTTCATGCTAACTGCCGCCTTAGGCGCATATATTTTGCTGATCGTCTCTACTCAGAAGAGGAGCTTCCTCCAGAATTTAAGCTATATCTTCCAGTGCAGGTTTGGATTTCACAGTTTAGTCACTATCTTCTCCTTTTTCTGCTCACTTTGTTACTGACAAAGCATTCTCTTTTTCCTTATTGCAGAAAGCATGATAAGTTCATTCTGAATGCTTCTGCCATTGTCGACTTATGCAGGAAATTTTCGGTTTAACTATTTTAGATAGACCAAGAGCGTTTAAATGAGGTGATAGTGTCAGTGTTGCTTGTAGCATCCCATGGAACTTGGAGTTTGCCATACCTTAACCATGCTTTTACTTTACTGTGTTAAACTCTTCCTGAAATGGGATCATATACTCAATTAAGATTTTCAGTGAATATTGTACATGGTCTTGGTTGAATGCAGAGAAGTAACATACATGCTTTTGAGTCTCATGATGGCACCCTCATTATTTACTGGTCTGTGGAAATAAACATACGTTGCAAAATAACGTAAAGTAATCCAAAGGGAACGCAAATTTCAATTTATTTGAGAGGGAAAATATCATCGAGCCAAGTACACAATTACACAACGGAGAAACAAACTCTGGTTTCTTTATTACATATAGTAGAATATTTTACTGGCCAAAGACTCTCTTGGCACCGTCTACGGTGTTCCTAAGAAGCATTGCCACTGTCATTGGGCCTACACCACCAGGGACCGGAGTTATGAAACCTGCAACTTTAGAAGCTTCTGCAAAATCGACATCTCCAACCAACCGGTATCCTGATTTCTTGCTCGGGTCGCTGACTGCATTAGTTCCAACATCGATTACCGCTGCCCCTGGCTTTATCCAGTTTCCCTTAATCTGAAATGTCAAGACTTTGAATTGATGAAACTATTCACATTAATCTACACGAGGTAGATCAGATTTTGATTTAAAAGACAATGAAAATGCCCGAAAATCACCATGTGGGCTTGTCCGCATGCAGCAATAACAATGTCAGCTTCCCGTATGATACTCTCAGGATCCTTGGTATGAGAATGTACAGTTGTGACAGTAGCATCAGCCTTGAGCAAAAGAAGTGAAACGGGTAAACCAACAATATTACTCCGACCAACGACAACTGCTCTTTGCCCCTTTATCTTTACACCACTTCTCGCTAAGAGTTCCAAACATCCCTGTGCACACAACAAATCACCTCATTGTTGAGCCAAAAGAAAAACTTGACAGGGAAGTTCTAGAGGACATGTTTCTGGGAAAAGACTGAAGTCTATATGCAAAGAAGGAGAAGTACCTTTGGGGTGCAAGGAAGGAAGAGGGGTTCTCTGCCTTTCATGGCTAGCTTACCAATATTCAAAGGATGGAAGCCATCGACATCTTTATCAATGCTAATAGCACCCAAAACATTCTCCTCATTAATATGTTTTGGCAATGGGAGTTGAACTAATATCCCTGCAAATCAAGTACCAAAGCTTATGTAAGCACAGGTGAGCAAGGAACGTTCCCATTAATCTACAGCAAAACTAATCATTGAACCGAGACCGAGACATACAAAAGAAAGTGTTATTTACTGCCACAACTAACCATGGATGTCCGGATTTGAATTGAGTTCATGAACTTTGGTAATAAGATCAACTTCAGAAACTTCCTCTGGTAGGCCCACATCAAATGACTTAATCCCAACCTCAGCGCATGCTTTCCTCTTCGTATTCACATAGGTCTGTGAATCCTTCCGATCCCCAACAATTACTACCGCTAGTCCTGGGACCTGAACGAAGGTAAAATCAGCTCAACTGAATCTTGTGCCTGTATTTTTTGAAACTATATAAAAGAGATTCACAATTGTAAGAGAGGAGCAAACAGATTCCACCATCCGTTTACTCTCTCTCTTCCCTTCTACTTCATTACAAGTTTACCAAACCATATAAACTTAGCACACCATCTGTATCATATTTAGACAGATAGTATTCTACTTGATGTAATGCAGGGAGGTCAGCGATCCAGCAAAACAAGAGAACAGTTAAAAGAGTTGAGAACTAGAAGTAGCCAAACAGACACAAAGTCATTGATTTAACTGAAATGGAGCTAACATTTGAGATTGTCAAGCTTTTTTCAATAGCAAGATGTGATCATGGCTGCCTAAATCTAGTGCTATATAGAAGAGAGTAAAAATTTCCAATATTCCAATCAACTTATGATCAATCAGGCTTTATTTAGAATAGAACAGAGACATATCAAGATTAAGACATTGATTCATAAGATGCGTGTCCTATACCTTGCCATGTTTCTCAGATAGACCGCGAACTTCCTCGGCGATCTCTGATCGGATGGTCTGAGCAATCACCTTGCCGTCGATAATCTTCGCCGTTTGATCAGATGGTGACGCCATGATCCACTCGTTGTGTCGGAAAATATCTGATTATCTGGTTAGTGCAATCCACTCACAGTCGAAGATGGACCAAAGAAGACTTAAATCTGAATCCATCCGCGGATAGGACACTCCTACTCCTGCAACCAAACGTTCCCAAAAGATGTAAACAGGAGGCGATAGATCAAAACGGCGTCGTATAGAAAGTGGGCCCAACCATAACTCACACGAGGCTTTGTCGCGGTCACGAAAACCCAGACGGCGTTAATGGCCCACTCCGTTTGTTTTAACCCTCGCCGTGACGGCGAATCTTTTTCCCTCCCAGTGTTTCACGCAACAGTAAGTAAGTTTTGGCGGTAAAATTGGGTCACAGATGGGTACGTGTCGATTTATTAATGGTCGAGAGAGCGCGTATATAATTATATACGCATGTGTATGTATTCTCCGTGTTGTTTTTCCCGCGCGAGATTATATCCTTTTTTAGGGTTTGCCGCATAATCAGACCCCATTCTAGAGAGAGAGAGAGAGAGAGACAAGTCTGGTGAAGATAGAGAGAGAGAGAGAGAGAGGGAAAATAATTTGTAGGATTTACGGAGATCTCTCCGCTCTTTTCAGTGGTTCTTCTGAATTCGTCGATTTCGAAGAGGTGGAGGCGTTACCAGTGTGTGACTTCTTAAAAAAATTAGATCTTCTGCTCAGCTTTAATCGGAGCCGTTTGGTTATTTCGGGATCTGTGACACAGGAAAAAGTGTAAGCTCTTTTTATTTTCTGCATATCCTTGGATTCGAATTTTGTTTTCTGTGTTGTTTAATCTGAAGTTTTCTATTTGGGTATTTCCGTTATTCGATTCTAACTTCG